GTAGCTGCTTTTTTTTTTTTTTTTTTTTTTTTTTTCGGATTCAGCTGTTCGTTTTTTTGCCTTTTGGCCCTCTTGACACGACTGCAATGAGTGAATGATTGTATAACGTTCGTTATTTATATACATATACCTTGGTTAGATGTGACATTATTGTCACTGTTGTTTGGGAGGATTGTGTTTGATTACATTCTATCTCGCTCGGTGTTTCTCGCCCGTCGTCGCCTTCTTCTTTGACAATCGACTTGACCTTTGTGGTTGGGTGTTGGTTGACTGACTGGGAACTGAGTTGTGATTAGCTTCGTTTGATTTGATTTGATTGATCAAAAAAATTTATTGGATTCACGGCACACACTTTATCCTTTTATGCTTTTATATAATTTCGGTTCTTTTTTGCATTCGTGCAGTTCCTGTTTCAGTCTGGGACTTTGCATGTGATTGCTTGTGGATTGAGTTGGTTTATCTTGGTTGTTCTTGATTGTTCTCGGATGGATTGGTATATACGGATGAACAGGATTGTGATTAATGATGGATTTAAAGATAGACTAGAATAGACATCTACCTTCGCCTTCGTTTTCTCGTTCCCTCTCTTTTTCTCTCTATCTCCATATACAATGTAACATACAACGTAGCCCTACCTAGGATACTTAATAATAAACAAGGTAATAATAAACATCAACACATCAGCACATCACACATCACATTCCACACTCCACACCCCAGTAAAACCGTCTACAACTTCTTCCCAATCTTCTCCTCAACAGCCGCCTTCAACTCCGCCCCCGAAGGCATGGTAGCCGTACTCCCACGACGGTTTCTGGCATCAATTTCGCCCTTAATCTCCTGAACAGCCTCATCGAGATCCTTAGCAGGGTCATCCGGCAGACCAAGCGTTTGATCACGGTCATGCCCATCAGCGCCCGGTGTCGTTGGCCCAGAAGGCGCAGAAACAGAAACAGGTTTCTTAGCACCAGCGGTATCGCTCACCCTAGCTTGCAGTTTCTTGATGAAGATCTTCTTTGCAGGCGAGGAGAAGAACACCAGCGATGAGAGCGTTGTGAGGATCCCGTAGTAGTAGACGCTCTGCCAGACGGCCATGGAGCCAGCGAAGGAGAGGAAGATGAATGGCATGACGGTGAAAGAGAGGGTGAGTTGGGTGGCGAGCCAGCTTGCGATGTCGTAGTAGCGTTTGTTGGCGGTGGGTTTTGTGCCGTCGGGGGTTAGGAAGAAGGGGCGGATGTGGCGGCGGAAGTCTGTATTCGTTAGTATTGGGTTTCAGGGGTGGGATGGGGAGAACGGGGAAAGGGGAAGGGTGCGTACTCTTAGCAACGGTTTGGATGAATGATCCCAGAACGAAAGTCATGTAGTAACCAGGATAGAAACCATGCCAGAAAGCACTAGTTCCAAACGTAGCCATACTAGCCCTGAAGCCCGGCTTCTTGCCCTTGGGCGTCACACGCAGATACACGTAGTTCTTGAGCCAGTGGTTGGTGTTCTTGTTCCAGCTGCCCAGGAAGCCATGCGAGTTCTGTGCCGTTTCCAGACTCCATGGGTCGACGTTCTCCAGGCGGTTCCAGAAGACTTTACCGCTCCGCGGGTCAAAGCCGTTGTACCCTAATCCGGACAAGATGCAGGTACCCTCGGTCAGGGACCAGACGCCGTAGTACTTGAGACGGGTGGTGAAACCGATGAGGTAGATGATCAAGATACGGCGGATGAAGGAGTATTGCATGAAGTTGTTCTCGGGGTTCAGGATGGTGTCTTGGTTGTATCTTGAGCCGAGTTGGAGGAAGAGTAGAATCCAGCCTAGGCCTATGATGGCCTTCTTGGCTGCTGGCCGTCCACTGCGCGGGATGCGTCTCTTCTTCCGTGTCGGGGGTGCTTTGCTCGGGTCTGTGCCTGGGGGGACATCGAAGAGCGTCGTATCAATCCAGCGGCGGTAGTCGACATACTCGAACGACGGCCCCGCAAACAACGACGGGAAGAACAGCACATATCCCAGATAGTCCAGAACACTAGGGAATTGCGTGATAGCAGCGTATCTCTGCGGCTCCGACAGCTGTTCCCGTGGCAGTCTGCCGTCGTGAACATTCCAGCAAAATGACGACAATTTCATAACCAGCACCATCTGCGCGCCCGTGATATCAATCACCTGCCCATCATCCAGAATCTGTCTGTATATATGACTGATAGACATGTGCGACATGAGAAACACGAAACCAATCCATGGCATCAGCGAGCCGTCCACATAGTATGCGATCAGATAGACACCGGCGGAGCTGTAGGCGAGTGTGCGGAGGCCATCCCAGAGGTCGAAAAGGCCGACGATATAGAAGAGCGAGACGGCAATGATGAAGGCATTTTTCTTCCAGGGTTGACTATCGGGGAGACGCTTTAATACCGCAGCGAGGGGGTAGGAAAGGAGGAAGGAGGTGATGAGCTTCACTGTTGTTTGTTAGCTCTGATCGGTCAATTCTCGTGGGATACCGTACGCTCATCGATTGAGGCTCCCGTGAGCCTAGCAGGGTAGTCGAAGACCAGGTCAACGTAAGGCAGCATAGTGCTGAGACCTTGACTATTAATGATAGAATCAATTCCAGTGCATTGGCTGTATTTATACCGGGGAGTGTTGAGTATAGAGAGGGACGACACGGAAATGTTGAGCTCCGCCGGATGATCTCAACAGTGATTATCATATCATATCAGTCCCTCCTTTCTTCCGTCCACGCTCACTTCGGCGCTTTTCTACTACAACGTTGGGTTCAGGTTACAAGAGATTACGAATCCCTTGAAAAATATACTAGGATTCTCTTAGTTCTCTGAAAATGGACGTTGTCGCCGCGGTGTCGGGGTACATCTCCAAGATGGTCTCCGCGGGGGACTCGCCGACCCAGAGCTCTTCATCTAAAATGAAGATCTTGCTCCTCGATAGTGAGACAGTGGGATATTCCCTCGATTCGCATATGGGATAAATGCTAATAAGTGCTGCTGTAGGTCCCTATCGTATCGACCGCCATCACCCAGTCCGCCCTGCTCAACCATGAAGTCTACCTCACGGACCGACTCGATAATCCCGCGCGAGAGAAGATGCGACATCTGCGCTGTCTTTGTTTCGTCCGTCCAACCCCGAATGCTATCCAGTTCCTCGTCGACGAGTTGCGCGATCCGAAATACGGCGAGTACCACATCTACCTCAGCAACATCATCCGCAAGTCGTCGCTCGAACGCCTCGCAGAAGCAGATAGTCACGAAGTCGTGCGGGTCATCCAGGAACATTTTGCGGATTTTCTCGTTGTCAACCCCGACCTTTGTTCGTTAAACCTTGGGTTTCCCCTGCAGCGGTTGTGGAGTCACACGCCGGATCTGTGGAATGCGGATGCGCTCCAAAGAGCGACGGAGGGCGTGATTGCGACGCTGTTGTCGTTGAAGAAGAACCCGTTGATTCGATATGAGAAGAATAGTCTGTTGGCGAAGAAGCTTGCGACCGAGGTTCGATATCATATCACTCAGGAGGAGCAGTTGTTCAACTTTAGAAAGACCGACACACCACCTATCTTGTTGATTTTGGACCGTCGCGATGATCCTATCACGCCTTTGCTCACTCAATGGACGTATCAAGCTATGGTGCATGAGCTGATTGGTATCAACAATGGTCGGGTGGACCTACGCGATGTTCCTGAAATTCGACCGGAGTTACGGGAAATTGTGCTTTCTCAAGACCAGGATCCGTTCTTCAAGAAGAACATGTATCAGAATTTCGGCGACCTGGGTCAGAATATCAAGGAATATGTTGAGCAATATCAGGTCAAAACCCAGAACACCATGAACATCGAGTCCATTGCGGATATGAAGCGGTTCGTCGAGGATTACCCTGAGTTCCGCAAATTGTCAGGCAATGTGAGCAAGCATGTCACTCTGGTTGGTGAGCTTAGTCGGCGTGTTGGCGAGGATAACCTGCTCGACGTGAGTGAGCTTGAGCAGAGCTTGGCTTGTAATGATAATCATGGGAACGACCTTAAGGTATGCAGCAACTCCCCATTCTCTCTTCAAGGCCTATACTAAACTGCACAGAATCTACAAAGACTTATTCAATTGCCCAATGTCCCAGCAGAGAGTAAACTCCGCCTGGTGGCACTGTATGCTATCCGCTACGAAAAACAACCCAACAATGCCCTCCCAATTCTCCTCGATTTGCTAGTCACAGCCGGCAACGTCCCCTCTAACCGCGTCAACATCATCCCCAAACTCCTCGCCTATCATCACTCTCTCCAAGCACCTCCAGTGGCCGGAGGCTTCACTGACCTCTTCGAATCCACCTCATTCTTCTCCGGAGCGCGGGATCGCTTCAAGGGCTTAAAGGGTGTCGAAAACGTCTACACACAACACTCTCCACGATTGGAAGTGACATTGCAGAACCTAATCAAAGGTCGTCTAAAAGAAATGCAGTACCCCTTCCTCGAAGGCAGCGGTCACATCCGGGACAAACCCCAAGACATCGTCATCTTCGTGGTTGGCGGCGTGACGTACGAAGAAGCCAAGATGGTTGCGCAGGTAAATGCCAGTTCTCCGGGTGTAAGGGTGGTTCTGGCCAGCACTGCTATCCACAACAGCACTACATTCTTGGAGGAGGTTGATGATGCTGTGAGTAGCTGGCCTGATCCGAGTCCTTCGTCGGCTGCTGGACGGCTGCGGAGGGAGGTTGCGCGTTGATTTGCAATTATGGCGTTGCGGTGTTTTACCATCTTTCCTATTCTTAGTGTATATTTTAGACTAGAAATGAATTGCTCATTCTATTCAATTGAAACTATAACATTGTGATAATATACTCCGTACTTGGCGCTGTCAGGACCCTGGGATTCCCGATGCGGAGAAGATCTCGGCCTAAAATCTCCAATTTCCGTCCTCCGCTACTATTCACAACTCGGCCACCATGGACACTCAAAACTCCCCCAAAGCGAACCCCTCGTCGCCATCCTCCTCAACTCCTCGAGAACCCAAACTTCATCTCCCGTCCACCACCAACCCCCCAGGTCCGCAGAACCCACCGAAGCCGCTCGTATGGCTGGTACGGCTCCGCGATCCCATCCCAGCTATGGACTACAATACCTAACTATAATGCTAGATCTTCGGCGCAACAGGCCACATGGGCCGCTCCCTCGTCAAAAACGCCCTCTGCCGCAATGATCTCGTTGCCGCCGTCGGCCGCACCTTCGAAAACACCCCCGAAAGCATGAAAGCGCTCGAATCCGAGCACGAAAACTGCCTCGGTCTCCTCTGCGATGTGCGCGTCCGCGAAACCGTCAAACGAGTCATCGATCTGACAATCGCACGCTTCGGACGTATCGATGTTATTGCGAATTGCTCCGGATACGGTGTGTTGGGGGCATGCGAGGACCAGGACGAGTATGATATACGGAATCAGTTTGAGACGAATTTCACGGGGACGTTGAATATGATTCAGTTATCGTTGCCGCATTTTCGGGAGAGGGGTGCGGGGAGGTATTTGATTTTTAGTTCTACGTCTGGGGCGCTGGGGGTGCCGGGGCTGGGGCCGTACTGTGCGAGCAAGTATGCGGTCGAGGGGTTAATGGAGAGCATGTTGTACGAGGTGGATAGTTTCAACATCAAGACCACTCTCGTGGAACCAGGACACATGCGACGCGACGACATCGTACATCTCGTTTCCGACCCAGCCGGCTCCATTCCCCCCTCCGACTCAGCGAACAACAGCAGAAACAACAACGAACACAACCTCTCCTCCCCCCTCCCGCTCTACGGCCATTTCCTCGTGAAACCGCCCAGCGAGCCATACAACACGGCGACATCCCCTGCAGCACACGCAAAACGAATGCTCCTCTGGCTGGGCGATAGGCAGCCGGCGAGTGCTGTTAAAGCGGCGCATTTGGTTTGGGAGCTGGGGCATTGTTCTTATCCGCCGCTAAGGCTGATTCTGGGGACGTATGCGGTGGAGAGTATTAGGGATCGGTTGAAGTGTATTATTGAGGAGATTGAGGATTGGAAACATCTTAGTTTTCCGTCATTGGATCAGCCGCAGCAGCAGGGGAGTAGTGGTGGGAATAGGAAGGATAGGGCGGATTCGATGGGGTGATTGTTGCCAGACCAAATTGTCCTGGTCAGAGGACTACAGATCCATTGCCCTTACCCCCCCATCTTGAGGGAATATATCCTATCACCCTCGGATCCATGCAGCTCGGCTCGAGCATCACCTTACTCCAGACTTAAGACGGACACCTTGATATGCGTCAAACCTGGCTGGCTATTGGAGCTGGCGCTGGCTGGTTTGGTAGCCTAAGTACGACTCACTAGATCACATTCACATTTTACTTGTTGAATTAAGACGACACGTCTGTATGTACAATAAACAAGAAGAATGAGACACCCATTCCATATACACTCCCTCGCACAGACGACATCATAAACATGTATCATAGACTATACACAATCAAATCTATTCATTCATACATCGTGCCTCTCTCCCAGGAATCAATCATGAGCATCCAAAACACAGCACTCCTTAGCATGCCAAATCCTCCTCTTCTTCGCCACATCCGCCCCAAATGTATCTCTAATCGCCCCCTCCGAATCATGGAAAACGCCCTGTCCAGTCTTCTCTTCTTCCTCCTTCGTCAAAATTCGTACCTCCTCAACCGTTGCTCCAAATTCATACTCGCCCCGACAAAGCACAGTAACACCGATGGTGGCTGTTGTACTTTCCCCGCTTCCCAGGATGGGAAGGACCTGCTGTAGCATGCCGGTCCAGACGAGGCGGCGGGAGAGGTCTAGGGCGACGTTGTTAGGTTGATGGCGGAGGCTGGGCTGGAGACGGAGAAGGGGATGGATTGGTTTCAAGGAGCGGTTGTGGATTGTGATGGATAGGTCGAGCATTTCGTCGGATTGGATGTTGTATTTGGAGCGGCCGGATTGGATGGTTCCTTTTTCGGAGGATCCAGGGAAAGAAGGGGCTAAGGAGAAGGTCATTTCCACGTCTTCGAGGCGCATGGCTTCAACCATGCGTGCGTTTAGGCGCAGGCTTCGTAGGTCAACTGTTCCCTCTCGTCGTGCGGGTTCTTCCTTCCAGAAGCCGCAGACTCGTTTGAGGAGTTCTTCGCGGTACCAGAAGGCTTCTCTGGTTGCTGCTTCGGCTTCGAAGGTGAGTTTGTTGGCGCTTACCACGAATTGTCTCTTCATTCCGGTGTTGAGGAGGGGAATTGTGGCGTATGGATTATCCAGGTACAGACGAGGAACAACGAGCACGAAGCGCGTGATTTGACCTGGCTGGAGGTCTCCGTGGACGGCGTATTGGCCCTCTACGCCTGCTTCTGCGGGCCTTCCTTCTGTCGCTTGCATAGGCTGCTCGCTCACGTACAGCGACACCGACAGAGTGCTGGGCCAAGCATTCCGAAGGTCAAGAAGCAAAAGACAATGGTCGGGCCCGTATGCACCTCGCCCGAGCTGAGAAAGAACAGGAGAGAACGGATCACTGTCAGAAGACGAGGGCATCGCTTCGTTTGGTGTATTCTCGGATTGAATCTCCAGACCCTGCTTGTTCCACCAGGCAAAATCACTGCTGAGAGGCAATACATCACAGCGAGCCACTTCTATGCTGGCGTTCACCGTAACTGTAAGCGGGACGAATAATTGTCTAGTATAGAGCACATCAGGCAATTCGCCATCAGACCGTCCAATCCGCGAATAATCAATCTGGACAGTGGTGTCCTGCAGACCAGGCTTTCCAAGGATGTCAACTGTGAATGTAGCACTTTGACCGGCAGAAACAGAAAGATCATCCGCTGGTCCGTCTTTGCGCCGCCATCTTAAAGCCGGCTTTGTAGAAAGCTTGAGCTCCAACTCGTACACCTCCGTTGCCAACAGGTCTCTGTTGCCTAGAGCAGTTTGTATCTGTCTGGATGTCGAGTCTTGGAAAGTGAATGTTATAAAATCCAGGGCGCATGGCGATGTGTTATGGAGTGTAATGTCGAACGACCTGACCTCGCCCTCCAAGACCATCATTGCAGATTGTGACAACGACATTGAATCAATAACCAGAGATGGCTGGTGTCCGATGACTTTGACTTCACAAGATGTCGTCTCTGGCCCCTTTTTGGGTACTTGCTTACCATCTCTGGAGGTTGTTGAGCTCCAAGACAGAGGGCGCTCTGCTGTCGGCTTCTTCGCTGCCAACCCAGTACGTTTGAATTTCGTTTCAGACTCTGGCTTCCAGAAATTCGTGAAAATGGGGAATTTGCGCTCCCGGCAATTCCGAACTTTGACAATGCAACCTTTCACATTGAGGGGACCCTCTTCATGGGCCATTCCATAAACCACAATGTCCTGCAGACTCAGCGGTGGAAGCAGGATCCATTCCGCGACAGCATCAAATCGTACACCCTCATTGTCGAGACGAATACTCTCAATTTCCAACTCAAATTCGTATGGATTTTGAAGCGTGACCTTGAATGCCGCATGCTCACCGGCGACCATGAGAAATTCGGATGCCTTGTTGGCTCTTGAGAAAGGGTTGTACAAGAACGGGTCTTTCTTAGACTTCTCGGAATGGGTTGTAACAGCGTCCATTTCCGATTTAGACCGCCGCACAGGTCTCCTAGGATCTGGAAGAGGCAACAATTCAACACCGCGAATCAGGAAATCATCCCAGTATTCTGCCTCTAAACCCGTAGCGCCCAGCCTGTTTGCGGCACCAACCGTTCGTTTGATGTTATTCAGAAGCCGAACTTGGTCCTCTGGCGGAAGATACGGAGGAGTATGGTAGGCTTCAGCCAGCATCAAACTTCCTCGGATGGTTTGGAGTAATTCAACTGTGAAACGGAGCACACCTTTAAAGTCGGGGAGTGCCTCGCAGCAGTTGATACACGCTTTAAGAACATCGATCTTCAGGTTCAGGTCGCCGTAGCCATCTAAGGCGGTATGTCGAAAAGCACGCTCAACTATAGCGGCAACCGAGTCATATTCGGGATAAGACTCCGACCCACTAGCCCTTGACGATCGCCTCTTCTCTCGTCTCTTTTCCCATTCGTAGAAGCCAGAAGGCTGAACACCGTAGATATCTCCAATTGCAGCAAGAAGCATGCGCAAGCTTGATTCCATATTCCCAGACCCAAGGTCAAGGGCATTGATCTCAAATGCAGCATCGCTGAGAGATGCCAGTCCCGCGGCAGGATGGATCCCAACCTCTGCCGCACCAATCTTACGCGCTTGAACAAGGGTCGGCACCATTGTTGACAGCAATTCTCTTAATACAAAGGCTTTCTTCCTGGGCAAATCCAATATATGCAGAACGGAAATCACACCAACTACAATGGGTATTGCGTCCGTGGCAGGCAAATCTGAGCCGGGGGATAATGGCAACGCACGGAATAGGAAATTCGCAATGTCGGACTTTCGCAGTAATACCGTCCCACGTGGACGTTCTGGCTGGTGTAGGGGTGATAGAGACTCGTTCATGACGACATGCTTCAGCGCATTATCGTCCAGTGTGCCATCGCGAATATGCGCAGCCACCAGCAACCGTGATAAACGAATCACGGTCTCCGAAAAGACAAGTTGCGGAAGCGGCTCATCTGTAATATTAGCGGCGCGGTTGTAGAGATTTATGATGTTATGCGACAGGTCGGGTAATAAATTTGACAGGTTCTGTAGAGAAATGACGCGGTTCCCAGGTGTTGACTGTCCATGGCTCGAATCGAAGCCACTGCTAATCAATGACTTTGCAGATTTATCGGCAACCGGATAACAGATTGGAGGAATCTGAAAGTCCATCCCTGCCCATCCAAACATGACGAGACATAGTAGAATCGACTCGAGCGCTTTTGCGTGCCACACATAGTCACTGCTTGCTCTAGCACTCGAAGCAGCCTCGACGAGTTCTTTCAGTGCATCCGGCCATCGACCTGCCTGGAGATAAAGAGTACCAATAACGACGCCCACACGTCCCTTGATGCGGTTTTTTGTGCGATCAGTGGCGCTCATACCGCTTACCGACATCCGATCACGACTGTGCTCTTTCGTCGAAGATAGTGAATTGAATCTCCCAATGCTGTTGGAGCGGCTTGATATTTGTATAGATCGAGTTATCTCGTCGAATGTTGTTGGAGTTTCATGATCGCTAGGGGCAGGAGAACTCTGGTTCGAACTCAACGGAGTTTCAGGCGCGGAGTCGGGATTAGGTGGAAATTGTGAGGGCAAGGTCATCCGGTGCATTAACCTGTCCGTGGGCCGTGGCCGTAATTCCGGTCCTCGATGTGGACCCCAGGATGACGCCTTGGGAGATTCGATGGACGGGATACTCTGCATCATCTTTGCAAAGTCATCCAGTTCGGACAAGAGAAGGGACGTTATGTCGCACATCACTGTCTTCATAGTAGTCGCTTTGGAAGCTTGCGGTGGCGGAACCCATAGAACGTCGTCCGGGCCATTCGAAATGTTGGTTTGTCCTTCGAAATCGAATACTAAAAGTTGATGGACCAACGCTCGAGGATTCCTCTCCCGTACAACATCCATCTCTTCGAGGAGTTCGTCCAGTCCTTCTGGCCTCTCATCACTGCGACTTATCCCGGAGTCTGATCCACTGCTTTTCGGGCGTTTGGAAAGCTCTGCCCCGTCGGCTATCGCGATTACAACCAGCGGCTCTCTAAATATTTCAAACGGAAACAACTCGAGGTGGGATGTCGGGGGCACGGAGAAGGAAAGGTCGTAGAGCATCATGCCGGTAGGAAACGCCAACGGGGAGAACATGTCTACATCAGATCCCGGTCAGTTTCCATTATAGGGGATCCTCCGCATCAAAGCTAATGGCACAAGCAAGTCAACGCATACTTCGATTGGGTCGCGAATCGGGACTGATGTCCCCCAGTCGAACGACATATTCGGCTTGGAGTCTTGCAGCAAAGCCTAAGAACTTAGATCGTTTTATCTTGCCGATAGGAAGCAACAGCGCCCTTAGACGCACCGGCGCAATCGGAGAAAGAGGGTCAACACCCATCATGTCATCTGAAGAGAGGCGGAGCGGAGGCAGTCGGCGATATGCTCAAGACTGCGACCAAGAAAGTAAACAACAAGCAGTCGGAGGTCATGCGAAGCAACAATGGCTAATAAGCAGAGAATAACAAGAAATTCGTAAGCAAAGAAGCAATCCAGCAATCGTTGAGTGTGCAAACCAACCAATGAAGCCCCGAGAGACCACGAGACTAGTTTACCTGGTCCGAAGCGACTCTCCTATACAGCGGGCGGTCAGTCACGGGGGTATTGCTGACTCATCCAGGGACATGCTGATAAGCGTTATCGATTAACTCCGCTTGTCTCCGAATATCGCCTTCGCGCATCCTCAACTCTCCTCCTCATTCTTCGTCATTCTTCTCTGTTGCTGAGATCCTTTGCTGCGTTGCGGCGACATCATTTGCTTAGAAGACTATTGTTATTTGAAAGACACTGCATTGTTTAGAGTCAGCGCGCTGCTGAGCCTCATGCCGCCGAAGCCAGGCTCTGGTTGAAAGTAAACCGAGCTAGACTTTTAATATTATATTGAATTTTGCGAGCAAGAAAGCTTTCCTTTGACTTTACTCTTCTTTATAGAGTTAAAGAGTTCTTTGCACGATGGCGTTGAACATTGATTTCAATGCGCTCAAAGCGCAGACAATGGGGTCAGGGAACGATGAGGAGGCTGTTACAGTTGACACACGTGGTTTGATCTCTAAAGTGCTTGCAAGGTATTCAGGAAAATGGTATGTAATGTACATCCTGCTGTATTTGTTGTGATTTAGGAGACATGGCTTATCTTTTATTTATCTGGACAGGACTGTTTTGCGAGAGATGATTCAGAACGCGGCGGATGCCAATGCCACCAAAGTGACCATCAAGTTCGAAACGCTACCGTCAACCACAGTTCCTATACCAGCATCTGCGGACCAGACAGCCTTAATAAAGCATACCATTTCGCATCATACGCTGAGACGTCTCTTAGTCTCAAACAACGGTACCCCTTTCAGTGAGAAGGACTGGGCGAGGTTAAAGCGCATCGCAGATGGAAACCCGGATGAGACGAAGATTGGAGCATTCGGCGTTGGGTTTTATAGCGTCTTCGACGATTGTGAAGAGCCATTTGTGTCATCCGGAAAGGAGGCCATGGCCTTCTACTGGAAGGGAAATGCGCTGTTTACCCGAAGACTACAATTAGCCGAATCTTCAAATACAGAGACAACCTTCGTCCTAGACTATCGCAATGACACGTCTCCAGTTCCGTCGTTGCTGCAACTATGCCAATTTTTGTCTACCAGTCTTACATTCGTCGGCCTCGAGTGCATTGAGTTGTGGCTAGATGACTGGAATCTTCTACGCCTTACAAAAAAGAGAGCACCAAGCATCAGCTTATCGATCCCCCGCGACATTGAGACTAAGACGCCTCAAGGTCTAATGAAAATCGTCGATGTCACTCGTGAAGTCGCTCAAATCGATGCTTCTTGGATGCGGATTGTTGAGTGGAATCCAAACGCGAGCGTGTTTCGCTTGGATGGTCTTAGGGATACGACGAGCTCGTTGCGCTCGTTTTTCTTCTCCAAACTGACTGGACAGAACCCAGAGAAAGACAAGCCAGCAAAAACAGAAAAGCGCAATAGCATTAGTGACTCGGAGGATATGACCAAATCATTGACAGCTTCAGTGTTCCTCCACACCAACACTGCCTCAATCCAATCGTCTGTCAGTTCGTCTTTGAGCAGTGAACTTGAACGTGCTACCCGCAAGCCTCCACCCAAGAAAACCACGATTGCCGTCTTAACGCCCTCGTATGACACTAGCATGGCGTCGGGTGCTTCTGCATCGCAGTCCGAAGTCCTCGCATCCATCTTACCATCCAAGGCTGGACGAGTTTTCATAGGGTTTCCCACTCAGCAGACAACGGGACTAAATGCTCATATTTCCGCTCCCTCTGTGATCCCAACTGTCGAGCGGGAGAGTATCGATCTCAACACTCGATACATTAGCAAATGGAATACTGAGATGCTGAGGGCAGCAGGTATTGTATGTCGGGTTGCTTGGGCAGCAGAAATGGCATCCATAAAGGCCAAATTGTCATCAGTGGTGGAGAAATCGCAACCGTCGAAGATTCGCAAGGACGATATTGTGCATGTGCTTCCCGAAACAATCCATACTGCGAACCAATTTGTTTTTCGCGAGTCCACCCCATTATCGCAGCTGGGGCAGCTAATTGAAGATGGATTCTGGACATGTAACAAGAAGGCAACTATTGAGGTGCTTTCAACGTGCGGTATCATCCAGAGTCATCAAGCGCGCATAGCTCCCAAAGACCTTAACTTTATGGACACCATTCCGGTCTTGCCGAATGAATTCGTGTCCGGCGCAAAAGACTTTGTCAGGAAACTGACAGATTTTGGATTGGTGACTGACATCACAGTATCAGATATCAAGCGGGAATTGGAATCCAGTACTTTGCAATCCAAGCAGGTTGTTGAATTCCTTTCATGGCTTGGCCGGAAGGCTGCTTCGGCCCAGTTTGACATTCAATCAATTGGAAGCCTCCTGAGTGTGGCAGTTGCAAACGATGAGGACGAAAATGGGACTACTACGCGATTGTTGGTTTTTGCAGACATAACAAGCTTCTTGAACCCCCAACGGATACCTGCGGATTTACCGTTACCGCCGTCCGTTTTGCCTTTCAAATACACTAAGTCCTTGCCCAAACATGAGCTGGAAGCTCTGGGCTGGACGGAGTTACAACTGACTCCATGGTTACGTTGGATTGTCACGAATTCTGGAAACCGCAACGCTCTTCCCGTGGAACATGATATTACCAGAACATTCTCATTTGCCGCCCAGGTTCTTCCAGTCTTGTCAAAGCAATTCGAAAGCCTAAGCCACTCGTCGAAACAGGCTATCATCGGTCTGCTTCAGTCACACACTGTTATTCCGACGAAGCTTGGAATGAAATATCCTGCGCAGACGTATTTCCCATCTGTACGGTTATTTGATGACCTCCCTGTCGTGCATGGTCTCAACGGCGTCAAAGAGAAGTTCCTCGCGAATCTCGGCGTCCGCAAGACAGTTGAGCTCAGCGTCATCTTCGAGCGTCTCCTGAATGCCCCTGCAGCGCCTGAAGGAAGTAATGAGAAACAGCCAAAGTGGAGCCACGTGGACTTGGTGCGCTATCTTGCTTCTGTTCGAGATGACATCCCGACAAATGATATCCAGAAGTTAAAGAAAACCGGCATCTGCACCGCTGAAAGTCCTGGCGACCAGAAAACAAGTTCGCCAAAGCGTTATAAAATATCTGATCTGTATGAGCCGAATAATTCTCTTCGGAGCCTCGAACTTCCAATCATCGAATGGCCTGGGAGATATGAGCCTGTCAGCAATGAGGCTAAATTCCTATATATGATGGGGTTGAGGCGCTATCCATCTGCGCCGGAACTCATACAACTCATGGCGAGGGCGAATTTGGAAGGCAATCGAGCTCTTCATTTAAGGGCCCTCGCATATTACATTTCTGAGTACCATGCAAACGGTTACGGTAGCTTTGATTCCAGTGCGGTTGATGCCCCGTTCCTTCCTATTGAGGGTACGGATGAGTTAAGCCCGGCGAGGAAATGCTTCACGGATGATGGTGCCACTTTATTTGACTTCAGGATCCTTCGACGGGATCTTCAGGCACACGCCTCCAAGTTCGGAGTGCGACAGCACCCTCCCGTGACGGAATGTCTAGATCGTCTAATCCGACGGCCGCCAAGCACGAAGCGAGACGCGAGGGTGCTCTTCAAGTATCTTTCTGGAAGAGTGTCGGAGATCAGCGCACGAGACATTGATCGCGCTGGCAGCGCGCTGATAGTGCCTGTTGGGATAAATGAGACGGTCGAGAAAGGCGAAAAAGTTCGACGCGTGGCGCCTAGGCTTTGTTACCTTGGAGATGGTGAGGACTACAAGGACATATTTGATTTCGTTGATTTTGGCCAGGAAGCCAACTTATTCCTAATGGCAGTTGGTTCGAAGCGAGAACCAACCAAGCCTGAATTGGCACAGATTTTGGTGAAGGAGCCCGCAAGAATATCTTCGACATTCCAGAGCGCCGATAAGTACCTCAAGCTTCTCAGAACACTTTCTGAGAGTCTTATGGCTTTGAAGAGGGACAAGGAACTCTTCCAGGAGATGAAAAGAGCACCGTTCCTGCTGGCCAGCAGGGATATTTCTTCTTTGGCCCAACAGAATCCCAGCAAAGACAAGCCTGTCGAGTCGGACGACGAAGACTACGATGAAGATCAAAGCATTAAAGAATGGACTCTGGCTGCAGCGAAAGATATTGTCGTGGTGGACGATTTCCAAAGCTTCAACCTTTTCAAGGAGCATGTCCTAGCAGCACCACAGGAAGAGGCGTTGGAGAATTTTTACCTTGCGCTGGGAGCCATCCCGTTGAGTACCATTGTCGAGGAGCGTGCTAGTTGGGGATCAATGGCTGCCGATCAACGCCCCGCAACCAAGCTGCAGAAACTCATTCGCGAACGCACGAGGTTATACCTCCATGACCAGTCCCCAGATACGATACGACATGATGTCAGATGGCTTGAGAAGAATCTACAGGTGCAGGTTGTCAATTCGATATCTCTAACGCGGTCTCTCATGGGTCGTCGTGTGTCGCTCACGCAAAAGCGAAGTGCCGTTGTCACTCAGCAGCAGTCGCGGGCCTGGACTTTGTGGATTTGTCCTGGGAAATTCGATTTCTATGAGATTAGCCAGGCCCTCGTGCACCTGATCCTTTATCGCCCGAAGCTTCATACGACGCTCACGTTAGAGATGCTGTTGAAGACCGATCTATTGGAGCTCAAGACTCGAGGATACAACGTCGAGCGAATTCTCAAGCAGAAGGCTCAGGAAGCGAAGGTAGCAGAAGACAAGCGTCAGCAACAGCTGGAGGAAGAGCGAAAACAGCTTCAAGAAAGGGAAGCGGCATGGGCAAAGGAACGGGCGCAAACGCAGTCCCGCCAGGTGGAAGAGGAAAATTCACAGGCCGTGATGCCGGGCGATTTCCCTGACTCCCCTACGAGAAAAAATGACCGTCACGATTCACGACCCCAAGTCCCTGAACCTGTGCAAGAACAACGTCCACGCGGATTGTTCGCCAACTTGACTAGACGCCTTGGACTGGAAAATGGACGCAACTCGAATCTCCTTTCTCAGGGACCATCGCAGCCAAACCCTATCGAGTCCACCCGGGATTCCACGCCTCCGCCACCCTACTCAGCTGAAGATCCAAAGACGTCCCGCCCAGAGCAGCCTACGGTTAACCCACCGCACAAGTTGCATTCGGAACTTATCTCCGCCATTCAAGCCTGTCGACCCCATGGGTCTTCCGGCGTCTACAGTCGACCTGAAACGAGCGAGGTCACCGAAACGAAGTCTTACTGTGATGAGAAGCCCAGTCACGACCTGGACTTCATTGCCACGCTCTCTTGCGGAATCAATCTGCTTTTCACGAAGAACCTCGGAGACCGGTCCAATTTCCTCGCAAAGAACGGTGCCGGCATCAACACATTTGCCTCGGTGCTTATCGAGTGCGCCGATATCTTCTCCCTCAGCATCAACACGATGAGTGTCTTCTACGACCCTGGCGGGCGAACGATAGCATTCAACCGGGCTGGAAGCATCTTCTGCAACTACTTCTACTTCCAGCAGTTACACGAAGTAAGCCTTCTCCAGAGCCAGGACACCACTGAAGCCCTGGTGTACTGGTGGGTGATCTTGTGCCACGAACTGGCGCATAACCTAGTGGGAGACCATAGCTCTGCGCATAGTTACTATACCGAGGGCTTTGTGGCTCAGTACTTCCCTAAGATCGCGACTAAACTTGCCGCGGCTGGGAGGCAGGCTCCTAGCCAAGCTACATCTTGATGCTTTGACGAGTTGACGATGGATATTTGGATATTGGAGATTTATGTCTGAATTTGGCCTATGATAACGATTGATTGAATACCCATGTTAGGATTTTTCAGGCTGGTTTCGGCATTTTTGTATGAACAATTGCGTTTGATTTTGATTAGAACGATATAGCAGAATTCAATTTACGAACATCTTTTGACTCTCCCTATTTAGTAGAGGAGTTGGGGCAAAAAAAAAAAAAAAAAAAAAAAGGTTCCGTTATTTGCCGCTCCACTCTCCGATGTCGTCCCGCATATCATTTTGTACTCTCCACTGCTACCGTTCTAAATTCCTTTTTGTATTTGTCTATATCCTATAATAATTTTGAAAGTTGAATTGAAAAGGCACACGGGCTCGCTACCCTAAAATATTCATTTATCAGCAATCTACATGGCTTGCGCGACGTTCTAACGCCATCGCCACTTCGGAGTCGCGACTTTTGCGATGCGATGAGTCTTTTGGCTGCTCCAGTCAGTCTCTTAACAGTTTGAAGGGCAGGGCAAGGGATCCTTGTTTCTCTGCTACATCTTCTGAATCTCTGTCAGGGTCCTCAACTTTGCCATCCCTTCTGGCCCGGTCTGCATTTTTCTGATACCCCGCAACACTTGGGGTAAACACTATGGCACCATTACTAGGAAGCTGGACACCACCAGAGACCAGCGGGTTTCAATGTCTAAGCATCGAACGCAATTCTGCTAGAAAGAGCATTCTCTACATCGACGCTTACGACTCATTTTCCTACAATGTAGTCGCCATGCTCGAAGAAGTTATCAACGTCAAGGTCACCGTGATGACAATCGACTCGGAATGGCCAGACGGTAACATCACAGAGTTCCTGCAGCATTATGAAGCTGTGGTCCTCGGGCCTGGGCCGGGAGATCCCCAGGTTCCGAAAGATGTCGGTATTATGAAGGATATCTGGAACCTTGGCGAGGCAGATATGTTGCCTGTGTTTGGGATCTGTCTAGGGTTTCAGAGTTTGTGTCTTCATCATGGTATTCCTATTGGGAGGTTGCCGTATCCGTTGCATGGTCAGGTCCATCGGATTTCTACGGCGGGGGAGGATGTTTTTGATGGGACGTGGGATCTCAGGGTTACGCTTTATCATTCGTTATATGCTAAACTGGACAACTGTGGGGCTTCGGTTGAAGGCCAGAATGGTTTTTCAAAGCTTGGCAGCGAGCTTGAGCTGCTCGCTTGGTTATTCATCGATAGCACGGAGACTGATACGGGAGCGCAGATTCCCATGGCTACTCGCCACCGGAGCAAACCGTTTTGGGGAGTGCAATTTCATCCAGAATCATGCAAATCCGACAGGGAGGCTTGCGACCAATTACTCAAAAGATGGTGGGAAATGGTTCTGAACTTCAACAAAAGGACCGGACGTGGGGGTTATGGAACGCTTCCCGATACACTCGTTACCCGATCAGATGATGTGGCTTCTCTTCCGGATGTTGCGTTTACGATGCTGAAATGGAGTGCTTCTACATCAAGGAAGTCTGCCTATCGAGCATTCTCACGGGCTGATTTAACCGCGGAAGCGATATGCGAAACGCTCAACACTCCCAGATCGCCAACTGTGCTATTCCAGTCCAATGGAAGATATAGTATCATATCTGTTCCAAGTCCGGGATCATGGCGACTTGGATACTACAGCGCTTCTGGGAAGTTATTACTGGAAGACTTGAGCAACCGCGGCGCAACGAATTGGCGTGAAGACACGACGCTCGTTGAGAAGTCACTGTCGGTATCACAGTTCTGGGATGCATTGAGATATCTGATGGAGATGAAGAAGGTCGACAATGGTGACCATACTGTTCCTTTCTGGGGAGGATTCCTAGGATACTTCTCCTACGAGATGGGCCTTGCTTGCCTTGCACGCCCAAAAGATGCAGAAGGTATGCATAATGGCTTTCAAGGTCATTCTTCGGGAAATGCAGTCACGGAGGACCCTGCGGATGCCAGTCTTTTGTGGACTGACCGGAGTATTGTCGTTGACAACCAGACGGGTCGAGTCATTGTTCAGTCGACTCGGGAATCGGACGACGTGCCAGCTGGCTGGCTTGATCAGACACTACACTTGCTCAATGAGCTCTCAACCGCTAATACCCTAAATGGCGACGACAATATCATCGCGGATGATATGCAAACCCTGGACTCCATCCTCAACCAGGGCGAAATTACTTTCCCCAGTCCGCAGTCTTATCTCAAGCAAGTGGAAGATTGCAAAGCTGAGCTGGAAGCCGGCGAATCATACGAGCTATGCCTGACCTGCGAAACGTCAATTGCATTACCATCTCCGAATACTGACAGCGGCCGTGCGAACTTTCCCTGGAAGCTATACAAGCGTCTGAGGAAGTATAATCCCGCAGCGTTCAGCGCTTACGCAAAACTCGGAAACGTCAAGATCGTGAGCAGTAGCCCCGAATGTTTCCTCAACTGGGACCGAGAATCGACACTTGAAATGAAACCGATGAAGGGCACGGTGCGCAAGACCGACGATATGAACATGGAGAAGGCCAGGGAGATTTTGGGCTCAACAAAGGAAGTAGCAGAGAATCTCATGATCGCTGATCTAATTCGCCACGACCTGTACGGGATCTGCGGCTCCGGTAATGTGTACGTTGAAAAGCTCCTCGAGATCGAGGATCACGGACGAGTCTTCCAAATGATCACCCACGTCAAGGGCGATGTCAATCCACGCCGACTCGGTCCCGCGGTGCGGAACATGCCGCAACTCCAAACATCAAATATGGCCGTCCACGGTCTCACGGCTCTACAAAGATGCCTCCCTCCTGGTTCAATGACCGGAGCACCCAAGGAACGCTCATGCATGCACCTTAGCTCGATAGAGAATCGGAAGCGTGGAATCTACTCTGGTGCCATGGGATACCTCGACCTTGGAGGTGGAGGAAGCTTTTCCGTCCTTATCCGCACTGCCTTTACATCCTCTGATGATAAGGACGAGAAGCAGTTATGGCAGATTGGTGCCGGCGGAGCAGTGACTACTCTCAGTACTGCTGAGGGCGAGTGGGATGAGATGTTGACGAAGTTAAGAACTGTTTGCAATATCTTTACGCCTTTGGATTCGGACGGCCGAGGGAAGTCGTAAGGTCTCTATACTTCCATGTCCATGTTTCATCATGTCTTTCTTCTTTTATTTTGTTACACTTCGGGCCGGCTTCAACATTTACATATATTTGCATTGGGATAGATGATAGAGATTCGATTCAACATTCAGCGCTGGGGTTATGGGATTGGTTTTATTGTTTATTTCATGGCATTGTATAGTTCGCATCCTGATATATATATTTCTTGCTACCTTCCTGTAAATGTAAAACTCTCAAGCCAACTCAGATTAGAAGGCTTTAGCTTTGTTTAAGCCTTACACCAGAATTTCCATTTGAAATAGTTACCTTATTGTACAGTAAGGTGAATGATGTCTCGGTATCTATTTGGATGCAAACAGACCAAACACCACTTCCCTGCGGAGGAAACATCTCCAACATTTCCAAACCCCCAAACCAACAGTTTACAATACGTCTGGCGCATCCATTGCACTGATATCTGAGCATACTGCCAAAACGGAATACTCGCAGCGAATCATTCCGAATGGCAACAGGCCAAGATACATCCCTGGAGGAGATCCTCTGGCGGTCTCCTCCGCACGTCCAGATGATGGGAGGCTTTTTACATTCAAACAACAGTATGCACACTGCACCTTGTCAACCGCTCAATTCATATCTGAAGCTAATAATCTCCCGAGTATGAATAGTTCTCTTCTACTTCGCCGAATCCCCTTTCTTCGACGCAACCTCCAACAACGCCTCCCTCGCCATCCAAGCCAACTACAATGAAACCTTCCGCCATTTCGTCGAGACCCGCGAAGCTTTCGAGGGCCGATTAAGTACAATGCAAGGACTAGAATTTGTGGTAGCATACGACCCGTTGCAAGCAGCGGCGCAGTCAGAGACGAGCTTTACGCACGAACCGTCGAATATCTGGGTAATTCGGAAACAGGCGAGGCGGAAGCGCGGTGGGTTGGATGATGATGTTGTGGTGTTGTCGACGTTTTTCGTGGTGGGGGATTGCATTTATATGGCGCCGTCTGTGGCGAGTGTTATTGGGAACCGAATTGTGGGTGATGATACCTTGGGTTTTGCGGTTAGGGGTTGGTACTGACTTTGGATAGCTTTCGGCTGTTACGTCTTTGACGAGTTTGTTGAAGACGGCGTCTACACTTCCGAGCTTTACTCCGTCTTACGGACATACCTATATGCCACCTACGATCAAATCGAGCGAGTCGAGTCAACCGGGGATACAATCTCAGACAAGCAAAGAAGACAGCACGCCCATGCCCGAGGGAGAATCCCAAGGCAAGACATCATTACAAGGAACGACTACTAGCAACATCGGCTCGACGGTACAGGATACAAGGACGTTGGCAGAGTCATTCAATCTTCTCTCGCGGTATGGAGACGAATTCATGGACGAGAGCCCGTTAGTTGGAGAGCCGGGATCTTTCATATTGTCACGGTCAGGAGATGTGGATAGAACGAAGCAAGGACTACAACCACCGACAGCAACGACCGGCACCGCCACAAATGCTCCTACGAGAGTTGGGACGCCGCAAGTCAGGATTGAGACGCCTGGCAAGTCGGATAAAGGCGGCAGCACACCTATTGCTGACGAGAAGCTGCGGAAGAAGAAAAGTAAGATTGGAGTTTGAATTGTATAAGATACCCTTTTTCTAGTGTTTCATAGAGAATCTCAACGCATTGTATCTCAGTGAGGGATGCGGGGAATGACATTTTAGCTTCACCCGATCTATGATGCTATTTTGGAATCACAACCACATAATTGTATACCTGTTTGTACTTCTTTGGTACTGTTTACTCACCACTAGTATATTTGCGTAGAATTGCTGAGGTGGCATCTTTTGTGCAGCAATTGAAGCGTGACTATTTGAATGGAGCGGTTGCTGAGAACGTCAACCTAACATCTTATCATCCAACTTCCTAACAACCGTCAACACTCTACTACAACACAACCACAACATTCAAAATGGCTAGCGAAATCAAACAGCCCGTGGTCTGCGTCTTGTAAGAAATCCCACCTCTAAACCTTTCCAAATGACCAACCAATACTGATAAAACCACAGCTGCGGCTCCGTCTCCGGCAACGACCCAGCCCACCTCGAAGTTGCCCGCGCCCTGGCCCACGAATTCCACAAACACAACATCCGACTAGTCTATGGCGGCGGCACATCAGGCCTAATGGGCGAAATCGCCCGCACCCTCGTGCGCCTGTCGGGCCCCGAGTCCGTCCACGGGGTAATCCCACGCGCCCTGATCCGCATAGAACCCGGCTACGACAACGCTCAAAAGGCCCAAGAACAAGAACACAAGACCATGTCCCACGGAAAGGATGCCGAGCGCGTTCTCAACGACCCCATCAGCAAGGCTGCGTTGCTGCAGGAGTCTGAGTATGGGATGACGACTATCACGGCGGACATGCATACGCGGAAGAGGTTGATGGCGACGAAGGTTATGGAGGGGGGTCCTGGGAGTGGGTTTGTGACGCTTGCGGGTGGGTTTGGGACGATTGAGGAGGTTATGGAGATGACTACTTGGAATCAATTGGGGATTCATCGGCGGCCGATTATTTTGATGAATGTTAATGGGTATTGGGATGGGTTGTTGGCGTGGGTGAAGAATGCGGTTGAGAAGGGGTATATTGGGCCTGCTAATTCGCAGATTCTGGTGGAAGCTAAGGATGTTACGGAGGTTTGGGGGAAGCTCCTTGGTTATAATTCTAGTTGTGGACAGATGCAGCTGAACTGGGGTGATGAGTAGACTATTCCTTCGAGGGTTTATAATAGCTAGAGTTAAAAATCTCGTTCCGAATTGATGATCGTTGTACGCATTTAGAACACCATTATTCTTAATTCATACCTGGATAGTAACATGTCTTTTCATCTGCAAACATCTTCGGGCATAAATCGACCTTATGAATCAACCTCCATCTCCCCCTCTCTAGTCTCCCCAGATTCCGTCTGCTCCAGAGCTTCCAGCAGTGGTGCGATAGTCTGACCATCGTATAACTTAAAGCTCTCGATCCGGCCCTTGGAACCCTCAGGGGCCAATCCAACCACACCAACCGAAGTGTTTTCAACAGTAAGCTCCTTGTCCTGAGAAAGAGTATCCTTCAAAGCCCGCAGACCATGTGTGATCAGCTCGTCCCGACTGCTGTCAGCGAACTTGTCCAGATTCCGCTCCAAGTACGTTCGGGCCATCTGCGACCGGGCTCCGATGGCACAAGCAGACATTTCGTATGTCATTCCCGAAGGCTGGAAGTCGAAAAGATGGGGCCCCGATTCGTCGACTCCGGCAACGAGCAACCCCACACCATATGGCCGTCTTCCGTATTGCTGGGTGTTAAGCTGGGCACGGTCACTGATCTGAGAAACGATCCGCTCAACGGGGATAGGACGGCCGTAGGTCATGCGGGAACCGAGCGACTGTTGCTTCATGAAGTTGGAAAGCACACGGGCATCCGATGCCAGACCGGCGATAGCAACACCCATGTGCGAGTCGATTTCGATGATCTTCCTCTGATACGACGACAGCTCTTCGGCGTTTCGCTAGCGAGGGGCAAGTGTCAGTTCTCTTTCTCTGATCAGAGCAGCAATGACGCCGACGAACCTTTAAGCCGACCAGGACAACATGTGTCTTGTTGACAAGCCCCACCACGACTGAACCTTGCTTAACTGCTTCTTGTGCGTATTCGACTTGGAATATCCGGCCTTGCGGGGAGCTGTTCAGAGCCAATGTCAGTTGCTGGGGAGCTTCCTGGATAGATAGGGTAGCTAATGGGGCCGTACAAGGTGACCGCATCATTGTCGTAGTTGTTTCTGAACATGACGAAAGATGCTGAATTAGATTAGACAGCCGTGAACCTGAGAGAATGTGTATAGTAAAGACGGTAGAAGTGAGGGCAGATGAATGACCGGGGGATAGGCGAGAGATAGAGACGACGAGCAGCAAACGCGGTGATGATGATGATGGGGAGCTTTGGAGTCCCGCTGAGGCTGGCCTGGGATTGTGGCCTTGGCGCCTCAGGCAGTCATTCCCCGAGTTCCCGTTGCTGCCGCCTTCTGCCAACGTCACCTTACAGACTGAACGACGCAGTTACTGTCAAGCATCGTTGATCCATTCGCTGCGGCCTCGATGCAGACGAACCTTGCACGCTCTATCGGGCCCTTGTATCTTGTTTGAAGCCGGACTTGCTTCAAGGTACTTTCGTTGCAACGCGATACCTTCAGCCCTTCACTACATACTACCCGCAGCTCCTGGACCGAGCAATAGGTCCTCATCTTTGCAGTCATGACAGCAGGTCTCAAGACCATTATCGGTCTTTCTTTTGTATGTACTGGCTGCGTGATTTCGCTATTTAGCGCCGATACTGATGCTTTCGTTATCTAGATCCTCGCAATCGGGTTCCTTCTTGTCATCCTTTCCTCGGCCATCTGGCACAACTTCCTTCCGTTGACTGTCGTTGCGACTTATGTTGTTGCGCCTCTACCCAATTGGATCTGCGCTCGATGTGCGAACCCAGACGACTTTATCGACAACTCGGGCAACTCGGTGGCTGATTTCGGGCGGTTCTTGACTGGATTTTTGGTGCTGATGGGTATTGGTACGTCGCACGCTATCCTAAACTTTCTTGCTAGGAACACTGGGAGCAGCATACTTTGACTCAATATGAAAGCAAGCTAACAACTTCCAGCTCTGCCCGCAGTACTGGCGCACAGCGGCGCGATCGAGATCCCTGCGATGGTTATGTCGATTATCGGCGGTCTGCTCATTTACGGGACGATAATCAGCTTCTCGATGTTTTTCCAGGAACAAGAAGAGTTCTGAATGTGATGCAAATGCGTGATGGATTGGCCGCGTGGATACCCTGTGCCAGGAGATGTTTTTGCTCTCTTTCTTCGCTGAGATACTCTGCCTCTTGCTACTATATTGAAGGAGTATGACTATTTGCGTTACGTTTCTGTTTTGGGTACGATGGGACTGCTTCTGTTCAGTTGCTTTGTTGATTTAAGCGTTTATCTGATATTCTGGCGTGTACTATAAGCACGAATGATGAGTGCTTGAAAGGTCTACAGGAACCTAACCTCTGATCTGAATTCTTTTCAACTTCTTTGACATCGTCTTCTAGTTTCCCTACAGTAGCACTGTCCTTAATGACATAAATAACGACTATAAAGTCACGTGATACCGCGCCGCTTTCAGCGCGTCCGCGTAGGAAGGCAGTTCTTCATGACAATTCCACATTCCAGGAATAGCGGCTAAAGCTTATTTTACTTTGCTTTAGTATGTGACATTCAACTATACTACAGCCCTCGCAATGAATATCTGGTCGGGAGCCATTGCACTGAATGAAGAATCACGGCTCGAAGGTGAGAACGCTGTCTTCCCACCAAGGCAATGATTGCTAACACACTTGTCTAACTAGGTCTACGCTTGATCGACCCGACCTCCCACTGGCAGACAGATATATCCAAAGACTCAACGCTTCGATTCCGCTGCTTCGTCAATCCGGCCTTGGTACCCCTCTATGCGCGAGCCGGACCGAATCTTGAACTGCACACGACGAACGTCTCTACGGCGCAATGGCTGAAGAACAGGTTGCTGGGGAATATTTGGCTGGAGGAGGATGATGTGGATAGGTTTCAGCCCATTCAAGGTCCTCTTGGGCTTCTTGTAGGTGTGGAGGGTACCTCCCGGAAGGCTTCGGGGTCAAGTACTTCGGAGCTACTGGTGTATGGCGTGTTGTCGACTACGACTTCGTTCGGACCGATCTCTTCGTCATTGGACTATCCCGAACACAACCAGGAACCTGTGATAAGACAAGAATTGAGAATATACGCCTCGCCGCTGTCCGGGTCGATCATTTCGAAGGCTCAGAAAATCGCACCTCCACCACAAAAATCGGATCTTGCAGGCGACGATGAGCAGATTGCGCAATTTCTTCCTGACCTACGGTCACCGAGTCCGAAGAGAAAACGGATGGCCAGTTTGTTTGATTCTGTCACGGATCATAAGAGGATGCGGCAGTCGTCGTATTCCCAACCTACCCAGCCGCTGCAGAGTTTCAAGATCAAGAGAGAATCCGAGGAACCTTCACTTCCAGTCTTGGACCGGATTGCTTCGCAACGAGCGAGGTCGCTTTCGATTGGGGCTAATCTGAAGTCTGCGGAGTCGAGGCCGGGTAGTGCTCGCGGATATGTGCGCGGACCAATCTCGAGGAAGAACACACCGGCACCATTCATAGAATCCTCTTTGAAACGGGAACAGTCGCCGGGGTTGTTTTCGTCAGACACGAAACAAGAGTCTTTCTCAGAAACCCCCAAAGATGCGGAGACAATCCTCTCAGAGAACAAGAACACCATCACACGCACGATCATGACTTGCATGCGCCTATATGGATATAACCGGCCGAAGACCGGAAACCCGAACAAGAATACAGAAGATAAATCACAAGGGGACGAGAAGGACCCACGCATAGGGACAGCCGATTCGACCGAGGAGGACGAGTTTAAGGCCATGTATCATGCTACATACCGTGCGTCAACATTTGCATTACGAAAGTACCTAAAAGAGCCCGTCGCAAATGGTGAGGGCATAAAGGCACCTCCACCTTTACTGGAAAAGAAGAAGGCAATGGGGTATATCGATGAATTCTTGAGGCTGTTTTGTGAGGAGAATTAGCCCTGTTTGGCACAGGTGATGAGTTATGATTTATGATACTATATAATTATAGAAGTCAACAACATACAAACAATAAATTAGAATAAATGACTGGCAAACAATTTAGACAAGTAGAGAGGGTTTGTAGCTGTATATATCACGTGACACTGACGGTGCATACTGCATCATCGCCAACTCCGGTATCCGAGCTGCATCCAGCAACAGCTCTATCAGCCGACAAACATCGCGTCCCTTGAAACCCATCACGGCCCAAAATGGACGCCTCAAGCAACCGTCTCTTCCGCTTCTCCAAGCCAGAATGGCTCAATAACAACACCGTCCGCAACTCGGGTGTCTACACCTCCGGCGCCTTGGTATATCCCCAACCACCCTCTACCTAACACATCCCCCAACAACCAACAACCAATAAACTAACAAACCACGCGGTAAACAGTTCTCAATCGGCTTCTTCTTTCTCATCGACGCAGCCGCCTTTTCGCACAGCTCGCGCAACGGCTCCGACGTGCATGTGAAATTCGTCGACTGGATCCCCGGGATCTGCTCCGCGCTGGGAATGCTGGTGATCAATTCTATTGAGAAGTCGAGGCTGCAGGCGGATAGCTGGAGTTATAGTGGAGATGGGGTTGCGTGGAAGGCGCGGTTTGTGTTGTTCTTGGGGTTTGCGTTGTTGGCTGGGGGGTTGGCGGGGAGTGTGGTGAGTTTCTTTCCTTTCCTTTGTATACTCTTGGGATTGGGTTTGAGGTTGGGTATGGGGAATGGGTTGCTAACTGGGCCGGTAGACGGTTATGGTTCTTAAGTATTTGGTTCAGGGATATCCGATGCCGACGTTGTATTTCGGGGTTGCAAATGTTGTTGCGAATGGGATGATTATGCTGAGGTTTGTCTCTGTTCTTTGGTTTGGTTTGGCAGATGCTAATTTTTGCAGTTCCGTTGTGCTATGGATTTCTCAGAACATCGAGGACGACTACACGTACAACCTTACGCTGTAGGATGATGCCTACGTACGATCTACAACTGCTTGTTTTTTTTTTTTTTTTTTTTTGGTCTGGGTTAATTGTTGATTGGTAGCTAGGATGGCGTATTGCAATGATTGTGTTTCTAGCTTGTTCATGATTGCTTTATTTGACTTGTGCTAGGCAGCGGCTTTTCCCCGTATTCCAGTTTGCATGTAGAAACGGCGCAACACGCGGTAAAATATATCAGCGTCGCAAGTAGGGACGGCAGCCTGTCACGGCATAACCATCACTTGACGCAACAGCAGATACAAGTCATTCCCTCATGACTGGCGTACGCGTCACTTGTTACAGTGGACGCTGTGGTTCGTCTTCGCATTTGTATATCCATAACTCTATTCCAATCTCGTAATTCATGCAGAAGGCTCACATGGGTGAGCCCGCAGCTTGTCGATAATCACATCGACAGCCTCCATGTCGCCGGCATCGACCTTCTCGCCACGTGGGTATCCATCGGGAAGATGCTTGACGAGCTCGTCCATGCAAGGCTGGTAATTCCGGACGGCGGAGGAAATCGCATAAACGGCCTTCTTGCGAGCGGCAGGGGCAGGATCGGAGGTGGCCATCGAGACCAACTTGGGGAAAATGTTCAACACAATTAACTAAACAATTAGCATCATTCCATAGAAATATCATAAAGAGGAAGACATACCTTATCCTGCGCCTTCTCATTATTCTGCACCGCAGTTCCAATACACCAAGCCGACATCCGTCTCATATCCGCCTCCTCATGCTCCAACAACTGCACTAACGGCGTCCACAGCCCCAAGGGCTCCATATTATTCGCATTGTCAATCCCCTCGATCATCTGCTCGAAGTTTTCGAATGCGATCATCTTATTCTCCATATCGACATCGTCGGAATGCAGCGCTGCCATCGCGGCTTTCATGAGGTCTGCGTCGGAGGGGCCGCCGAAAAGACTCGAGAGCATTTCGGGTGTGAGGCCGCGGGCGGCGGATTCTGGGGTTGCGCCGGTGGCATTGGCGTCGGTATTTTGTTGGTTCATGCTCCATTTGAGGAGGCTGTTGAGGTTGGGGTCCATGGCCATGGTGGTTGTGGTTGTAGGTGGGATAAATTTGATAGATAGATTTGGTGGGGTTTATCGTGCGATTTGGCGGGTGATGGATTCGTTGAGGGCCCAAGAATAAAGTAAATCAAGATAGCACGAGGATGTACTGTAGATAGTTTGCGCAAGATAAGAATTGAATACTCTGATCTTTTGTAGGAAATAGATCTGAGCGGAGTGGATGATTCATGCAGCGGCGAAATTCTTCCACTCCGTTCCACCGCCGTCGGTGGCGGAGAGACCTATTACCTATTTGGGTTACTACCCTACGGCACGCAGTATACAGTAAAGTATTCCGATGCTGTTGTTTCAAGGCATTCTCTGAAATGTCTGCTACTCTAGCTCGTGAAGAATAATAGCAGAGTAGGAGTATGAATGGTGTCGCAATCTTCAAACTAGGCTACACCTGAGTGAATAAGATCGACCATACTTCCCCGAATCTCTCGCTATACTTACTATTTTTTTACTATGCGACATGGCTGTGAACTTTGGCTAGCATGATGTAGTGCATATCAAGAGCTACTAAGAAGCTACTTCGGAGCTTTCATATCTCCCAGCCGAAGGTCAACGAAGAGGAACTTACAAAGCAAAAACAGGCCATGATCCGTCACCTACAGCATTCATTTAACGAGGTTGAAGGTCTCAGGACCCCATACATAGACTCACTAACACTCGAATAACTCAACATCAGGCCCAAGATATTCAACCCCGAAGAAGAAGAGCGAACGCAGCAGGCAACATAATGGAATCGATTCTTCCAGCCCATGCCATCTTTCCAATTAGCACGATTCCCCGTCAACTCAGATGGGGACTCAATGAACCAGGAAATGCTTGATAATTTTGAGAGACACGTGGACGCGCGGGACAGATCACGTCCAGATAGAACTTCAAAGGGTATCTATCGCATGTATGCTGGTCATTATGCCATGCGGGCAGATTATTATTTTTCGGATGCTCCAAGAGCTGGTATTGAGAGGCTGAGATCGTTGCGCAGTATCACGAAGTGGTTGCCCACATATGTATCCCCGTCCCATAGTAAAGAGGTTTGAGGTGACCAATTCTTTTTTAGGGCATCTGGTGAAATAATTATAGACTCGAATATTGACATCGTAATGCCTGATAGTACTGTCTATTGGAACATAGATGCCAGTTACAGACTTGAAAATTTTGTCTCGACTGTCCACATGCAATGCTTGTGTTGTACCATGCAACCGAGAGCAAAGACCAGCTCCTTCGAGGTGAGATCCTTATAATCCTCGAAACGATGAGAATTAGATTGGCGCTTCCAGAATTTAAATACCATATTGTTACACCAGTGAGTCAAATCTGCGGGGACATCATGCAGTCAATAAGTCTAACTTGTCAATCCTAAGGTTATGATGATTTCCATTATAAACGAGCAGAGCAGGATCATACAAGTGCAGTCTAACGAAGATGGAATCGTCATTTGCATGTCGCAGCTGTACGATCTGAGTACTAAAGATATGGCCCCGTATGATCTTTTGACTCGATATATGGCAAGTTGTCTCATTGGAGACACCAAGTTCTGCAAAGTGAAATAGGAGCACAGGAAGTGAATGGAAGTTACAAAGAGAAAGAGACAATCTCGTCACTCGAGGATCTCTCAAAGTAAAGTATGACTCTGAGAAATGGGCCAGGGCTGAAAAGTTGGTTACGCATCGACTGTGCCTTGGATACATTTCGATGTACTGCACTAGGTTCGTTAATTATAGGAAGACCATTCCGATTGCTCAGGTACCTACACGCAGATACCAAGAACGCACATTAACTTCGGCTGGAAAACAAGGATCGCCCAAAACAGCTATTGCGGGAGAAGGAGAATGTTGTAAAGATCATTCACTCGTTTGTCAAAGGCGCATCTCGTAGGCCTCTTTACTCAGACACTTTCTATACGCTTCGTCATCTCTACCATATCTTGGAAGACTGGAGTGCAGTGGACTCACAATTTAAATCAAGAGTCAATTGATGTCAAAATGTCAAGCCCTATACGCGAAGCTCTCATCCTGCTATCATAAAAAGACCGCCTGTACTCCAGTTTCTTGTCACACTGAGAGGCATCATTTTTCAGTCAGTGGTGGCAATTTTATTGAGGCCATACTTCAGCTGCATGTTTTCTTTGAGGCCTACTTCACCAAGATGCGACATCTGCAGCTGGCATCTGGCCAGGACATGCGTTTGCCTGGGTTTTATCATGGTATTGTTGGTGTCTGTTCGCAGCATATGAAGCACATGGACGCATTGTAAGGTTTCCTAGGCTCTTCATGGACTTGCTTTACGCACCAAAACACTAAACATTTGTCGAGAATGTCAGCGAAGTCGACACAGACACAAAGATCTTCGCAGGGATATTCAAGCTCCACAACCTTTTCACCTGGAGAGTCGTGTCAACGTAAGCGGAAGCTTCAAGGGCATCCGAGGATTTATTACAGAAATGAGCCGAAAAGAACCCCCAATGTAAAGGTGAATAGTGAGAAACTAGGATCATGTACTGCATACCCTAAACCTACTGTCATTTTTTCAAGAACAATGACCGGGACAGGCCTTTGAATTACTGTCTAGTCCAGAGTAATTCGTCCTGGACTGTACCAAATGCAGGAGGAACGTCAGAATACTTGGGGCTGTTGAACGGCGAGTAAGTTGGTTCTTTCAATCAGATACCAAGCTAATTGATAAACTGCCTTTTGTTTGCTCACGGCAGACACCAGGTTTTCGTGACCTTCGCTGCTTTTACCCAGGAATACCTGACGGAACCAAGCACCCAGACGCCTTCATATTCGAGCTATGGGCCTTGGAACACGCTAGAAGCCGAAGATATGAAGGATGTGGCCATATTAATCATGGCAGCCCTGTTTTATGTTCGCGAGGTCCTATTAGCCATGTCGCAAGCGGATCATGGGTTTTTGTACAGAGCCCTACGGACCTTGCTCACTTATTGAGTTGTCCTATTTATGAACTGGAAAGTGGTTTATATGTAAAACTTCCTCATGAGGACTTCACTAATGGCTGGACTCGATCATCGCTGCCTTAGGTTTAGAACCTGGAAGTTACCATGTCGCCATGTCTACGGAGTACAGGGACATGAATACCCATACTAATTATACCCGATAGGGTCCAGTGAGGCGTAGACTGACGTATACCGTACTCGTATACAGGACCCTGGAACCATGGAATGATCAGCCTCGCGGGCCCGAGTGGCGGTATCCGATTCCGCACAAGTCCAGGGTATTTTATTATATAGGAGCAGAGTGTAAGAGTACAAGTAGTCTACTCATTATTCTAGACGAAGTTGAAAAGGAGGCAATAGCGCCGTTAGTGAGTGCAAATCCCCCTAGAAGAAACTAAGAATAGGAATCTCCATAAATACCCAAATAGTCGACTCCACACAATGACAGGGTGTCAACTTGGCCTTAGGTCTCTATGGCCGTACTCCGTAGTAATAGTAGAAGTAAAGGCCTAATGACAATAGAATACTCCATACCCTGAATAGAATATTCCCTGGGTTCCGGACGGAGGACCGAGACCTGAAGGCCCCACGAGGATGCGCAATGGGTTTGCCATCCTTTTCGAGGGAGGAACTCTACGAACGGTTCTGCCTGTACAGAGTACAGAGTATACACAGAGGCGTAATCATAAAGAGATTCATCATCATCAAGGCAGATATATTATTCAGTATATAGAAGAGTGTACAATTATACAAGTACTTGTAGTAGTAGTGTAGTGTAGAGTGATAGGGGATTTGATTGTGGCGGTGGACAGCAACGACGACTGCCGGCGGCCACACTAGACTCTTTACTGTCCTGTACGCTCCTCTCCTTAATCCCCCTCTTCTTTTCCCTCTTCCCTTCTTCTTCTCTTCTTCTTCCTCTTTCTTCCTCTCCAGCAAATAAACCATCACCACCTTTTTTTCTTTTTTAACCACCTCTTCTCTCTCATCTTCTCTTTTCTTCTTTCTTCTATATTCTCTCTCTCCTAATAATCTTTACCCCGTTGTAATCCCATTTCTGCCACCATGGAAGGTAAGCTCTTCCGGACACCTCAGCGGCTTCTTGTGCGACGCTCAACGCCCTCGAGCTGCTTTTTGTCCTCCCTTCCATCCTCTCTCTCTCTCTTTTTTTTTTTTATATCTATAATTTGCATCAAGACTGACTTCTATTGCTTTTCCAATCTACAGAGGAAGTCGCTGCTCTCGTTATCGACAATGGGTACGTTTGTTTGTTGTCCTTTTCCCCTCGTGTTGCTGCTTTGGACACTCCACGATCCGGTCGCTAGCTACAATCTCGCTCCCGACCGGTAGAGAAAGCTCGAAGCAACACTTTACCAGGGACTATGGCAATGCTTGAATATCCTACTGACACTCTCTAGTTCGGGTATGTGCAAGGCCGGTTTCGCCGGTGACGATGCGCCCCGGGCTGTCTTCCGTAAGTCAACCCCGCCATCCCCTTTCCCAACAATGCCGTCTTCTTCAGATGGTGTCAGTTGTCCTTGCGTCAACTGGCATATCTGAAAAACGTGCACGTCAAATATCAGACGACTGACAGAAAATTACAGCCTCCATTGTCGGTCGCCCCCGTCACCATGGTATCATGATTGGTATGGGTCAGAAGGACTCCTACGTCGGTGATGAGGCACAGTCGAAGCGTGGTATCCTTACCCTCAGATATCCCATTGAGCACGGTGTCGTCACCAACTGGGACGACATGGAGAAGATCTGGCACCACACCTTCTACAACGAACTCCGTGTCGCTCCCGAGGAGCACCCTATCCTCTTGACCGAAGCCCCCATCAACCCCAAGTCCAACCGTGAGAAGATGACCCAGATCGTCTTCGAAACCTTCAACGCCCCCGCCTTCTACGTCTCCATCCAGGCCGTCCTGTCCCTGTACGCCTCCGGTCGTACCACCGGTATCGTCCTGGACTCGGGTGACGGTGTCACTCACGTTGTCCCCATCTACGAGGGTTTCGCCCTCCCCCACGCCATCTCTCGTATCGACATGGCTGGTCGTGACCTTACCGACTACCTCATGAAGATCCTTGCTGAGCGTGGTTACACCTTCTCCACCACCGCCGAGCGTGAAATCGTCCGTGACATCAAGGAGAAGCTCTGCTACGTCGCTCTGGACTTTGAGCAGGAGCTCCAAACCGCCGCCCAGAGCTCCAACCTCGAGAAGTCGTACGAGCTTCCCGACGGTCAGGTCATCACCATTGGCAACGAGCGTTTCCGTGCTCCTGAGGCTCTCTTCTCGCCTTCCGTCCTTGGTCAGGAAGGTGGTGGTATCCACGGAACCACCTTCAACTCCATCATGAAGTGTGATGTTGACGTCCGTAAGGATCTCTACGGCAACATTGTCATGGTAAGTTTTTCTCCTGTGGTATAAATGAAGACGTACACTAACAAAATTAGTCTGGTGGTACTACTATGTACCCTGGTATTGCCGACCGTATGCAGAAGGAAATCACCGCTCTTGCTCCTTCGTCGATGAAGGTCAAGATCATTGCTCCTCCTGAGCGTAAATACTCTGTGTGGATTGGTGGTTCCATCCTGGCTTCTCTGTCCACCTTCCAGCAGATGTGGATCTCGAAGCAGGAGTACGACGAGAGCGGCCCCTCGATTGTCCACCGCAAGTGCTTCTAAGGTATGATCCATTTTCCGGTGAATCTAGGACCCAGTCTAACAAAATGCAGCTCATGCGCGTGGTTGATTTGCTTGTTCGTACTTCTTTTCTGGCGTATCAAAAGGCAGGACAGTGTGGCATGCGGACCTTTTCTGACCTGATGACGAGAAGGATCGCCTAAGAAAAAGGAACTTTATTTTAGTTGTGGAAATAGAGACGGTTTATTTGACGCTAGTTCTCGTCCAGAGCATCCTCGAGACGGTAGTTTGGGCCCGTTTTGAGCGATATATGGTGGTGATTCTCTTCGTATTGTTCCTGTACCTGTACTAAATATTGCCTACACTATGTCCTGTTCATTTCTTCTCTGTTTGCTTTGCGTTAGACCTTATAAATTTAAATGTTGTATTGCTCCCCGGATCTCCAGAGCTCTCCCCAGATCCACAACTTTAGCATATGCGTTCTATTCGGTCTCGACTTGTGATGTCAGAGCCTCTCCACTGACATTTGGAGCCGTGGTAGAAAGTACTATATTTGATTCATGTAACAAACTGACTTTTATCATTTCATCTCGTCCATCATGTACCATAACAAAACATAAAAAAGAAAACAGAAGTAAATAAGAAAGCTGACCAAATCCAATCTCAGGTGCCTCTAATTCCAGCTCTCCAACCCACTCAGCACACACCTCTCCTCATCCTCCTTCTTAGCCCTAAGCTCACCAACCTGGTAAACCGTCTCGCCCTCACCCTCAAACAACCCCTTAACAACACTCTCACTACCCTTCTCAACAACAACAACCATACCAACACCACAGTTAAACGCGCGCGCCATCTCTGGCGAATCAACATTCCCGTTCTTCTGCAACCACTCAAACACAGGAGGCTGAGTCCACGACCCCACGTCAATGTGCGCGGTCAGCGTCGAGGGAAGCATACGGGGAACATTGTCGACGAGTCCACCGCCCGTGATGTGTGCCAGGCCCTTGATCGCGGAAGACGAGTTGGAGACACTGCTGGCGGGCGACGAAGAGAGGGCTTTCAAGATGGATTTCACGTAGATGCGTGTCGGGGTGAGGAGGGCGCGGCCCAGAGTCTCGTTCTGATTCCAGGGGGCCGGGTCAGTGTAGTTCATACCCGAGCGCTCGACGATCTTGCGGACGAGCGAGTAGCCATTTGAGTGCGGGCCCGAGGAGGCTAGGGCGAGCAGGACGTCGCCTTCTTTCATGGTGGAGGTTTCCGGGAGGATAGGGCGGGCGTTGGGGCCGGAGGTGTTGATAGCGCCGACGGCGGCACCGACGGCATCGTACGTGTTGTCGACGAAGAGGCCGGGCATTTCAGCTGTTTCGCCGCCGATCAGGGCGCATCCCGCGCGAACGCAGCCCTCCGCGACACCGGTGACGAACTGCGAGGCCATGGTGACGTCGAGTTTGCCGCAGGAGTAGCAGTCAAGGAAGAAGAGGGGTTCAGCGCCCTGGACGACGAGGTCGTTGACGTTCATGGCGACGAGGTCGATACCCACTGTGTCGTGGGCGCCGACGGCGTGGGCGATCTTGAGCTTCGTGCCGACGCCGTCGATGGCACCGATTAGGGTTGGCGAGTGCGGGTGGTAGGCGCTGTTTGCGGAGGGGAGGGAGAAGAGGCCGCCGAAGCCGCCGATGACGGCGTCCGTGCCGGGGCGTTTAGTGCGGGCGACGGAGGATTTGATCTGGTTGACGAGGTCGTTTCCTGCGTCGATGGAGACGCCAGCGGAGGCGTAGGTGAGGGATTGCTGGTGGGAGACGACGGCGTCGCGCTGGCGGAAGGCGCGGTGGGCGATGTCCTTGCGGTAGAACATGTCGTCGAAGTGGATGGTGGCGATGCCCTCGTAGCTCTTGCGGACTGCTTCTTCGAGGGATGAAGCGGTGGCTGTGGCGGCGATGACACGCCCGCCAGAGGTTTGGAGTTGGTTACCTGCGAGGGTTGTGCCGGCGTGGAAGATCAGGGTGCCCTCGGGGGTGGGGTCGAGGGTGATGGCCTTGCCCTTGGCGTAGGAGTTGGGGTAGCCGCCGGCGACGGCGATGACAGTTGTGGAGAAGTTGGGCTTGATGTTGATCGAGACGCCGTCCAGCCAGTGCTCAGCACAGGCGACCATGATCTGGGCCAGATCGGTGTCGTCGCTGAGCAGGGGGAGGAGGGTTTGAGTCTCGGGGTCTCCGCCGCGGACGTTGTATTCGAGCACCTTGGGGCCGTTCTTGGTCATCATGAGACCGGTGAAGAGGATACCAACGAAGGGGTAGCCGTCTTTTCTCATGCCGTCAATGGAAGGCTGCACAATGGTGCGGTCAATCTCCTCGAGAACCTCCTTGGTGCCAATAGGCGTGGGAGCGTAGCAGCCCATTCCACCGGTGTTGGGGCCCTGGTCGCCGTCGAAAATCCGCTTGTGGTCCTGAGCAGGAGGGAGGGATCGGATTGTGTAGCCGTCACTGAAGGTAAGGACACTGAGCTCGTCTCCCTCGAGGTACTCCTCGATGACAACCTCGTTTCCTGCCTCTCCGAACTGGAGATCGACCATCATCTCGCGGAGAGCCTGGTGGGCCTCCTCCTTGGTCGTGGGGATAATGACACCCTTTCCGCCGGCCAGACCATCGGCCTTGATAACGACCTGGTGGTGCACAGAGTCGAGGTATTGGCGTGCGGTCTCGTAGTCGTGGAAGTTTCCGTACTGCGCGGTGGGGATGTTGTGTTTCTTCATGAAGTCCTTGGAGAAGGTCTTGGAGCCTTCAAGACGGGCGGTAGCCTTGGAGGGACCGAAGCATCTGATGCCGGCTGTTCAATTACCAGTTAGCACATTGCGTGTGCTTTGCTTTAGAGAGTGTGTGACTAACCAGCCTGGAAGTAACCCTGGATACCCTCGACAAGAGGAGCCTCAGGACCAGGAACCACCAAGTTCACACCATTCTGCTGAGCAAAAGCCACAAGGGCCGGGTAATCGTTGCCCTTGACATTGGCATTGTAGATCTTGCTGTCATCACCAAGTCCAGTACCACCGTTTCCAGGAGCGACGTAGACGGCGTTGACGAGGGGCGACTGGCTCAGTTTCCAGGCAAAGGCATGTTCGCGGCCGCCGTTACCGACGATGAGGATGCGCAATTGGTCTTGGGTGTGTGTCATTGTGTCTGCTTCTCCTGTTCTTATCAGCTATGTTCTTGTACAATATCACTATGGAGGGGCAGATTGCCCCTCATTATCTCGCAGAGATGGATCTCAACAAGACATATAAAACAACAATGACAATTGAAATGTGAAGATCAATAATAAAAGAAAAGAACTCACCCAAAAACAGCCGCGAGGACAGCGAGAAAAGTGCAAGTGAAGTCTTGGAGAAAATCCCATCTTTTTTTCTTCTCGGACGGAACGGCGGGGCGGCTTTTCTCCGACGTCGGATTGACTTTCTATACAACCACTATCATCCATCCGTGAATAAAGCAGAATGTTAATGGATTTCTTCGAATAGCTGTCTCTTTACTTTGTTCATTCACCCAAAGAAAGACGCAAAGGAAGCACAAGTTACTTAAGGTGGAAAAAAACTTGCCGAGTTTACCTTCTACTACATACATCCCGAGAAGCCCAGAAAACATCGCATGAGAACAACTTGATGACCGCGCGCTCCATTATTACCTGATCTAGCCATGGAAGTGATTATGGTGGCAAACCAGGTTTTCTTTAACCGCCCAAGTCGGCGATCGATTCCACCAAGTTGTTTAGAACGGCCCTAGGTAGGTGCATAAAATGCAGGGAGAGTGCCTCACCATAACAGCTTTGCTTGAATGGTATTGATTACAAGAAAGGATGTGAAGATCTCTCTAAATGAGATGATCCCATATTGGAATTTGTGATCACCCAACACGCCTCATGACCATTACAGCTTCCAGAGTAATGGGAAACTGCCCTAGAGAATGCGCGATGACCTTCAAAGAAACGAACGTTGCAGAGGAGGAACTTGAAAACACCGAGTGTGGCGTTGTTAGACACTTCTACCTATATAGCATTGAAGCAGCAACCAGAGAAAGTAATCTCTAACAAAGGGCATGAAGAGTAATTGATATCTCCAAAGTTTCTAGTAGGGCATTGCCAATCAAGCGCTGCGATTCGCCGCTGAAACCGGTGACCAAGGCGGTGAATATTTTGACCAATAACCCGCATCATACGGCGAAAGCGGGGGCAGAAAAAGAAAATGATAAAAATGCCCTCCGATCAAAAGGCTCCTGCAGACAAGCTCCCACATTGCCAGCGCCAAATCCTCCCTGTGTTCCGCAAACTGAAGGACCCCTTTACCAACTCTCGGCTACGACTCCCGCTGAGCAGTATAATCCGATACATCCTGGCCTGAATGTTTCGGGCTTCGCTACGGTCTGCCTCAGACCCTCTTCGCGAACATGTCTGCTTGTCGTGTTTGACCCGGAGGTTTGGAGGCAACATCCGTTGGCGCCCATTTCACACCACTCTTATCCGTCGCAATGAGTCTGGCAATGGGACAGCTACCAACGGGATGGCGCAGTCTAATGAGCCGCCGAAGTCCGCACCAGTTCCGGAGGTAGGGATGCCTGTCTCTTTTCGCTATGAAGAAAGGATACTGACAATGGTGAAAGAACAAAAGCATACTAGTCGAAGCGAAGCCACGAAGTCCGGATTCGAGTTCGAAGGATGACCAGAAACCAGCGGCGCAAGAGCCCGGCTCCGAGACGGCCACTCAAACCACACAAGAAACCTCGAAGAATACCTCCAAGGGCAAGAAAAACACTGAGCGGAAAACTCGAAAAGCAGTAGCTCGAGAGGCACGAAGAGCCGCAACACTAGAGAAGGAACGGAAGAGAGCCGAACAAGCTGAATTGCGTGCTAAAGCCACCAAAGCTAAGACAACAAAGGCCAAGGGCAACCCGGATGTAGCCTCTGCGATAAGCAAAGGTCCGCAATTGACCCCCGCCCAAAAAGCGAGGACTGCAACCAATGCCGACAGAGAGAGTGCTGGAAATGTGGCGTTTCTTCTTAACGAATCGCACAAGAGAGTCACCGGTTCTATCAACAAAGAGCAGGTGTCACTTGCACGTGAGTTTCTGTTCTGTCTATTCTCAGGCAGTTTTGCTGATTTTCGCAGCTTTGGATGTGGAAACGCCGAAAGTCCCGCGTCTTTCCTTTGGCCTCGAGAGAGTGCTGTTCAAGTAAGCTCTTTCTCCCCCTGTGATGCCAACGTGGACTAACAGAGGCCAAGCCCCGGTGTCTACAACCTCCGCGATCCCCGATCCCGAGTATACAACTTTGACCCCTATCTGGGTTCCATCATGCCTGTCACCGAGTTCGACTTTGATGCGCTGAAAGAATACATTACATCCTCCAAGGACACCACATTACGCGACATAGCTCGGAAAGAGAAGAAGAAATATGTCGGTTCGTCGTCGAGTATGACGTCGGTTCTTTCACAGTTCCATTATCTCCTCTCCTCGTGGCGAGGGATCAATACACAAACTTTGTCTCAAGGGTTCCCGGATAAGCTGCGGACTTTCACCCGGCTCCTGCGGGCGCCTTCCGCTATGTTCCTTCGTTACCAAGACGGCGTCTATGCCATTGATGCGGACAAGGAATTCGATAGCGCCAACATCCTCATGAACCTCGGAAAATCCATGGAAAAGCTCTTGACATTACCGAAAGAGGACTTTGAGCGATACCGCAGGTCAAGCGATAATAAGATTACCCCTGAAGAGGAGCAAGCAGTACCGGAATCCTATCACTACTCTACTCTAGGTGATTTCGTCATGAGATCCCAACTCGATGCCTACGATCCCCGGCTTCCTGGGACTGGAATGTTTGACCTGAAGACACGAGCGGTCGTATCTATCCGCATGGATGCGCAGAACTTTGAGCACGGCCTTGGCTATGAAATCAAAGGTCAATACGGCGCGTTTGAGTCCTACGAGCGTGAATTCTTCGACATGATCCGGGCTGCTTTCCTCAAGTACTCGCTGCAAGTGCGAGTTGGCCGTATGGATGGTATCTTCGTGGCCTTCCACAACATCGAACGCATTTTCGGATTCCAGTACGTCAGCTTGCCGGAATTGGACCAGACGCTGCACGGCCAGTCCGATACTGCTCTGGGAGACGCGGAGTTCCGACTCAGTCTGGGACTCTGGAATAAGATTCTCAATAAGGCCACGGAGAAGTTTCCTCAGCGCTCCCTGCGCTTCCATTTTGAAACGCGCGACGCTGCGACTCCGTTCATGTACATTTTCGCGGAACCTGTGACCGAGGAGGAAATCAACACTATCCAGACGAGGAACGCAGCTGAAATTAATGCATACCAGCAGCGAATCTTGAACCTGTCACCAAAGGGCGATGAGGACGATGCTTCGAGTACAGCAGAGGCGCAATCCGAGACTGAAGCCACGGAAGAGCACGCAAAGGAAGTAGACGCGACTGAGAATGCCATATCGGAGTCGACAACACCTTCCGATGGACCCTCTGAGACGCCTTCGGAGACGCCCTCTGAAGCGACATCCTCAGAGGACCCTGCCACCACGGAGACAAAAAAGGAAGAAGAACCAACCGAACAGCGCGAACTATTCGCCATGACCCTCATGGTCAAAAACAAGATCAACGGCAAAGAAGTCGAGCGCCCCACCGACTATAAAGCAACCCAAAACTGGCAAGTAGACTACGAGCTCATCGAGCTCCCAACCGAAAAGGCACGAGTAATCTACGGATCCTGCCAACGCCGCCGCCAAAAGTCCCTCATGGGCCGCGGCGAGGACGAGACGGATGTTGCGGCTAATGTGTACATCCGCAAGCTCCGGGAGATCAGCAAGGCAGGACGCAAGTTCCGGCAGGAGCAGGAGAAGCTTGATAAGGAGAATGGCGTTGTGGTTTTGGATGAGTCTGCATAAAAGCCTTGCTCTGTCTTTTCTTTTCTTTTTTCTTTTTCTTTTTTTTTTTTTTTTTTTTTTTTTTTTAATGAATGTGGTTATGTCTCTTGATGAGATATGGGGCCATTGATTGATGTATAATATTTGTACGGTTTATGGGTCTTTTGTTTCTAGATGGGTTGCTGGTTTCAATTGCTTTGTTTGGGTGAATGAATGAATGATTGCATTGGGTCTTAAATGACCCTAGCTAGCTTCTATAACATGGTTTTATTTCTCTTCCATACCAGTCACTGTGGTCTGTGGATGAATATCTTGATACTGTTGCCCTAATAAATATCCATTCACTCTCAGGTGTCTAGACTAAAACATAATAACAATGCCTACAGACAAAAGAAAAAGAAACCCATAAACCCCAAAACTGCATCTTGTCAATTATCTCGGTTTCAGTCCCAATCCCTGGCTACATCATCTCCAAGCCATCATAGCCACTAGACCATCGAGGAATGTTTTGCATTTGGCAGAAATTCCCAGATCCCATATACTGCCATATTATCCTAATTCCCCAAGGACAATTGGGTAAACGAGCCACATTCGCTATACTTTCTCAACATCGATGAACATAAAAAGTGGAATATTGATCGAGGCATTCAGCTAAGTGGGCCCATATCAACACATGTTGACTTCGCTGCGGTTTCTACGGCTTTTATGTCCGTTATTGTGAGAAACAGCCACCCGAGAAGTCGGAATACGCGTGGAACGTGGACCGATATGAGAAATCACCCGATTGAGAGAGAAACTTGATGGATGGTTATGTATTGGCAGTTGGTCATTATGCGGGAGCTGGTACTTCCTCGTCGAGCTTCTTTGCGCGTCCCAAATGGCGGGGAAGCAGAATTTGGTACTGTAGACAGGGGAGGTGATTGGGGGCTCGAAGGCGGATATGATCACCTGTATGTATTTGATTTAGTTTCATACAGTGATAAGATCTGCAGACTAACTGATATACAATGGAAGCAACCGGTCAAAAAGATTCTCTTCCAACAATCGAAAACATTTATACTCAGCACGAGGTTTCCGGAGGAGATACTAATGCTTCCCCGGTGATGTGGAAAACCCTGTTGAAAGGTTACAAAGAGACGAAAACACAGAAAACACAAGCGATATGCTAACCATACTCTATTGGAATGCAATAATTGACACAATGGACGTTAAATTTGTCCTTGGAAGCACACCTGTTGATTCAGTCAGGGTACTGCTCTGCATCGTCCCCAACTTATCTTTCTGGAAAGTCAACTGCCAAACGAATATTCAGAGATGCATGCTGTCGGGGTTCCATGATGCTGACTAGGTTGAAGAGTTTTCAATTGGAGAACAGGATAAGATTATCTTTCGCAACACTTGCGAACTGAATGTGGACACATTGTGCCGTATTCCGCGGGTTTATCGGTCGAGGACGGAGATCGACAAAAAAAGGCGTAAGTGAGCCCTAATGATCAAGATGCGAGCATGAGCTAAGATGGATACTTATTGAGATAGAAAGCAAGATTAAACCCTGGGCACTTATTTCCCCATAATTACTAGGCATCTATTGCCGATATCGAAATTGCCACACTGCACAGATCCCATCAATAACCAAAGACATCGACCAATTCCTTCTGATATTATGCCTGGCTGAAACGCCACCGGCATGGAAGGAGCCTTCGGTCTGAAGAAGACACATCACAAGTGAGTGAGCGAGTTGAAATCCTTCGGCTCTTCATGGGCCTCACTCAATATCTAAAAAGCAAGGCGGCACTAATCAGAGCAATGCAAATAATTCGTTCCTTTTGGCAAGCGGCTTTTCAATGTCAATGCTACCCCGTGACTTCAACATGTTCGAAGCGTTCGTCAAGATCTTGGATACGAAGCTCACTCACGAGCAATCTTTCTTTGAGCTCTTACGAAATTACGACGTCGAACTATCCATCCTCTAAAAAGTCACCAGTAACACTCTCCCTGTCCCAGTCGAAAATACATCTTGCTAACTTGACACAGGCGACAAGAACGTTTTTTTCTGTTACCGCTCCTCGTTCGTATTTCCCCAGACTACCTGTTGAAACTTTATCTTTGAAAATGAGGCACCATACTTAGTGGTCTGTTGCTGATGTTTGTGAAAGATGCATTCTTAGCCAATGGGCATGGGGCCCTTCCCTTGTATTTGATTAAATTATGTGAGATGCCAGATCTGTTCACACCCTTATTATCAGTGCATTGCTATGAGTCTTCCTTACCTTATCTCCTTTTCTCTTGGCTGGCTGCTAACCTTTCACATAGATTGATTGATGCGTACTCCTTCCGGTCTCTATTTCCACTCTCAAGACCACAACTCATAAGATCAGAGAACGAGATGGGGTGGTTTCTTTACGGGAGCCGATGAGTTCCGAAGGTCTCTTAACGACATCAAAGAGTCAGGAGCTTCAGGGACCCATTTGCTTTGGCCCATAGTTATCAAAAGCAATCAGTTGATACATGCCGGCGCGCTGTGAGCTTCCAGCATGGGTCTTTTTGTTCATCTCAGATACGGGCAAGAAACGTATCCCGGATTCATCCCCAATTTCCACGTTGTCAGACCCGCAAGATCTACTGAACCAGCCCCCTGCTAATGGGCAGATACTCAGGCCTGCGCCTTTGACAACAGACCGTACGAAATCCCATCTATCTTATTTTCCCTGAATCCATTATGTCGACATGTTGAATTGGAAGCTAGAGCGACTCACCCAGTCATATGACAATTCTGGCTCTGTGGTCCCGTTTTCGCCCAGATACGAGGTATAATCTGTTGCCTCAAGAGGAACTAGCATTTAAAAAAAAACCAAGCACTCTCAGACATCCCGCAAGACCTGGACAGCCCAGCGTTGTTAAAGTCTGACTTGAAATGGAATTACAGGGCCTAATGGTGGACTACAATCTCAGGTGACGACCACAAAGGTCCGTGGGGAATGAAGTCGATAAATGACACTATCCCCACGGGGACAATAAATCTGGCGTTTATGACATGATACTTCTACAAACAATAAAGTTTTCAACTGATCCCCGGGACCCCGGTACTTCGTCCGGCTGGTCAATTCGTTCGAAGAGATGGTTGAAAAGCCTCATTTCCTGGGCCAGCGAGACGATGTTCGAAAGTGGGATGATACTCGACAGCTTCATCATACCTTGAGCTATCTAGCGTCATGAGGACATCCGTCCTAGAATCACGACTATTTAAGAAGCTACTTAATGGGGCAAATGCATCCCAAAAACACATATAACGCCACTACAAACCTGCAAGATTGACATATTCGACATGCAGTGGGAAAAAACAGACTATAATTGCTATTAAGAAACAAATGGCTCTTTTGGCGTTCTCGCTAACTTACCAGCTATTGCCGAAGCGATGGCACCAATCGAGATCGAGCCGCCGCGTCCATTTGGTCCAATTTCACATATTGGGGTGCGATCATTGGCTGATTGAGATGTTTAACACTACATCGAACGGGAAGTGGTATGTTTTCACAGTGTGAACCAAATGGTTCAGACGCTAACATGAGCTCCAGCGTGCTATTACTATTTGCCTAGACACTTCTGAACTGCCCATAACCCTAGCCGAAAAGCTAAAGATATCTATTAATCGACTTATTCAAGCGGCCAATACCCAAACGCCATCCTTGTCCGTCCGTCTTTAAACCCCGGGATCAGTGAAGACAAACATGCCTAAGGGGCTATCATGAACTATCATAATATGGCTAAAGCCAATGAACGAGTCCAGAGTCACACCCACAAGCAGACACGATTCAGACACATTACACTTTGGTCCCCCTTTCACAATATTCCTCAATGTAAACTTACCAGAATTAATCAACGGCAAATACCTTTACAGGGTTCCACACCAGCAGCATGTGCCTCGGAAAACACCAAAGTCCCTTCTTCACAGCTCACCTTCAGACATTCAGTACTAAGCCATCAGACACAAACCTGCTGACCGTACATCCCATGCCAATGTGGTGGCTGGAGAGATACATGCGGCACAAAGGAATCATATCAGGGAAGTGCCATTGCGTTTTCCCAGAGATTCCCATCGACGCTTATACAAATAAGCACGCAAATATTCTCAGGGGGACCCGATTGGGCCGTTGATACGTGGCTGACGCAAGTCGGATGATCGAGATAATGGGCTTGAACAGCCGCCTCTCTGGACACCCAACGATAAACAGAGCCGGACACACACGCCCAAGCACTCTTTCAACTTATCTCACGCTTTTATAGCCACGCAAAAAGATGATGGCTTTCTGAACGAGATGGCTTCACACTCCAAGAAAACAATGTATTTGTTCCCTAAACTAGGGAGAAGTCTCTGTGTATGAAGCACTCCGGACAAAAGATCCAACGCAACGCTTGCAATAAACCAAAGCCAGTCGAAGTTCTCGCTGATACACTGCTTTCTCGAGTTATACCAAATACTAATACTAACAGAAACAGCGCCTGCTGGCTGAAACAGCCGCGTGATTGATCCCCATCAATTGATACCCCTATCTTCACTCTTCCCTCTTCACATTGATCGGACTCGAGGGTGTATCGCTAAAGGGGGGAGAAATGAAAGCGTATTTGAGAGGGTCCCCGTCAGAGTCCCTGCCAAACCGCTTGTGTACAGACAGGTGACTCTGCTCTTGCGCGAATCGCAACCAGTTCCTTTGGTGACTTTGGCAGGCTGGACATATCGACGAATGCTTGCGGTATTACTTCTGATTTTGTCTTATGCAGCAAGTAGCAATATCTACGCAATGCAGCCGCCCTAGAACCGACTTCCTTGCTCGGGTTTGTTTTGCATGGAACCGGTGGTATATCGGATACCTGTTGTCTGTATGTTTTATTGATATCATCAGGCCTTACAGAGCACATTCACTTCACGACTGCATGATACCAGATTTATATCTCTACTATTCAAAAGCTGCGTGGTGGAGGACGGTGCAACAGTCTTCTGATCGATTTACTAGTCTTCTTCGCTGCGTTGCTTTCGGCAGTCGACCATCCTGCCCTACATCACTCGCATACAAGGCGTTCTAGTTCTAGATTCAACAGCTTCGACAAATGGATAGTTTCTGTTAAGGATTCGTTGGTACTCGAGTCTATATGTATGAAGTTGCATATGTATGCTTTCTTGTTAAATAAATCTATCAAATTATCAATTAGGACCCGCCTCCTCCAATATCGTATTGGCAGGGAGAAATGAAATGAAGTGAAATGAAAAAGATCAAAGAAAAGAAAAAAAATCCCCCCAAATCCACACATACACACAAACAAATAAAGATAAAAAAAAAAATAAATAAATAAATAAAAGAACGCCTCAATCCTGGTTCTAGCCCTAAGCACCACCCAACCAATCGAACAACCAAATAAAATGAATAAATCCCACATGCGCCGCTTAATCGGTACAAGATACATAGTTGGTATCTCCTGTGCTGTAATGAAACTGTGAAACGCCTGCTGGTCGTGATAAAAAAGAAAAAAGAAAAAAGAAAAAGCAAAGGACGGTGATATGTATGCAATGCCTCGTATCGTATCCAAGATAGAGGTTAGGGATGTCCGGACGGACATTCCTTGAAAAGACAAAGAAATGTACAAGTATAGATAGATTGACACATGTCAATCAAAATCGTCGAGAAAGTTAAAAAAGAAAAGGTGGTCGACGGTATCGTGTTGAAGGTAGATGTGATCGTCAGTCATCTTAGGACATGAGAAAGTATGTAGACCGAAAGTCCTGTCGGAAGGTGTGCCCCTTGACAAAGGAAGCACCATACTGTACAGAGAAAGAAGAGAAAGTCGAGTACAGAGTTCACTGAAAGCCTCCCATGTTAACCTTGGGAGGCGCCCAGTCAAGCTTAGGAGGAGCCCAGTTCAGCTGCGGGGCCTTGTCATCCGACACACAGAGCCCGGGCCTCATTTTTTCAATCTTGCGTCGTTCCTTGGATGCGCTTCCACCGAGGAAGCCCTTTAATGCCGATGACGCGGTGCCGTAGGTGCTCCGTGAACTCGCGTTAGTACCAGTACTGGACGATACAAGACTAGAGCTGCGGGCGCTCCGGACACTGTCAGGCTTGACGACTGTGGACGGCACTGCGGGGACGGGAACGGCCAATCGTGCGGAAGAGGCGGGGGCATATTCAGGCGCGTAGTAGGGAGCGGTCTGGGGACGCTGTCGCGGATCTAGTATTACACCAGTCGGTTCGGAATTCAGACTGTCAAAAATGTCCAGATGGGTACCAGGAGCCGCCTTTGGTGTTTCCACGTCGTCTTCTGCCATGGTCGATGCTGTTGGAGGCGGTGCTTGCTGGACGTTGGGCAACTCATCCGCAGAGACGGTGACTTCGAACTTGAGGTTTTCCAACATCGTCCCCAAGCTTGCTGCGGTCGTTGGTCGTCCATCGCTGTAAGCATCGTCACCTTCAACAGCGGGCTCGTCATCTATTCCACTGGCAATGTTGTAATTACGAAACAGGTACCGCCGCAGACGTGCAACCTCTCCATCCCATTTCCGGTGGAGAGATTGCAAGACAAAGTCGACATCATGGTCTAGAACCTGCGGCGCCACCGAAGAAGAAGACATGGTCCCACTGCGGTAGTGACCGGCCGACGGGGGATTTTTGGTCAGCTTGTTTCCAACCGCTGCGTGACCCACAGTCACAGCCGCGTGGAGAGACCGTCGGATCGAGCTTGACGTGGAGCTCTGGGCGTAGGTGACTTCCCGTTTCAACCCCTCAATTTCCCGGCGCAGCTTATTCAGCGATTGGGCCCGGTCTCGATCCATGCACGAAAGACTTAACAAGGACTGGTTCCGCTGCAATCCATTGACGAGAACTGTAAAAGACTGCAGATTGATATCGTTGCTCTCACAGTAGATCTCACGTAGGCTGGTGTTGTCTTCCAGGACAGACGACAGAGTGTTAGCGCCCTGCAGGCCAAGCCTCTGATGCTCAATCCGCAGCACCTTCAGAGACTTGTTCAGTTTCAAACCAGTCAATGCCAGGTTGAGACCAATGCCAAACCGGGCCACGTCCAAATGCGCGCTGTCGCCACTGATATCCAAGTCCTCTAGCGTATCATTCTCCTCGAACATCGCCTGCAGCGACTTGCACGTATCCGGCCCCGCATCATACGGAAGCGACGCCTTGGAGATATCCAGAAACCGCAACGAGCGATTCTTGCGAAGCGCATCGACGAGAACTCGGAACTGCTTCTCCTCCTTGAAGTCGATCATTCTCATCGACAGATGCGACGGGGTCTCGTCCTGACCGATGGCTTTGAACAGTTGGATGCAGCCATTGTCGAGGCGGTTTTCATTGACGTGCATATGAAGCTCGCGCGGTTTATCGCTCGCGGAAGCAATCGCATGCAGAAGCACAGCCACGTCTTGTCCGTTCAGACCGCACTGATCGAGCCGAAGCACCCGCAATCTCAATGACTGCTTACTTCCCAAATAAATGGCAATTGCATCGACGGTCTGCGTGTTCACCGGCGTCTGACTCAATGATAACTCATCGAGTTGCCAATTGAAGAGCGTTTCAGCCGTGACAAGCGGTTCGGGCCCCGAGGTTCGGGAAATGCGTGACAAATTGATCTTCCTGATTTGACTAAAGTAGCCAATGTACTGCTGCAACACATACGGGTTCAAGCGACCTTGCACTCCGGAGATGTCAATCGCTTCCAGCGTCGACTCCTGAGCGACGATGGTCGACAGAAGTAGATCAATGTCGTGCACGGACAACCCGCAGTTGCCCACTTCTAAAGCCCGCAAATGACTTGATCTCTGAGAGGCTGCGTCGACGAGGTAGTCGAGGTCAGAGTCGCCAAGTTTGATACCATTGAGAACCACCCAGTCCACGCTCGTGAGCTCCCGCCGGCAGACGGGGAAGATAGCCTCTGGAATACCACAGCCAGGGTCATGGCTCTCACTATTCGACTGAGGAACGCGACTGAGAGAGTACGAGAAATCCATGCGCCGGAGATATTTGCTCTTCAAAGTCAGAGCTCGAATCTCCTGTGACAGCACCGACAGATTCTCCTGTCCGGGGATGGTGACCGGTGAACCTGCGCGAGTCAGACGGGCATCCTTGTCTACACCGTGCAGATCGCGAATGCCTTGCAGCACATCCAGACTGACACGGTTGAACGAGATCGACCGGAAGGACTCGTTGTAGCGCAACGCCCGCAAGACCGCAATCAGCTCCATGGGTGTGTACTTCTGGCGATTCGTATATGCCGGTGGTAAAAGCTTGAAACACGGCGCATCCTCACACTGCATGTCGATGGTGTAACGGATATTGGACGTATCGATATCATAACTGGCGGAGTAGGCAACCAGCGTCCGGTCGAAACAGCCATAGTCCTCATCGAGCGTCACAGGGGGGAAGTTACTTTCATCGTCGAGGTCGCGGGGAACGATAAAATCGAAGGGTTGTCTGATCCAAAGCGGCCGCAAGAACTCGGTATGCTGCCTTATCCAGAAGGCAATCTCCAGCGAATGCACCGAGGCCAGAAAGATCGAAAATGGTTTGCGGAGCGGGACTCGGAAAGTCAGATGAAGGCTATCGTCGCCCCACTCCATTGACAGCGAGGTAAGGTTCATCAGCCCAAATGACGATGCGGATTCCATATCCGGAAGGGAAACCACGGAACCGCGGTGGGTCGGTTTCTGCTGAAACGGGATCAGGTGCAGCTTGTGCGATCCAAGGGCGAGATAGCAGCCGGTAGGGGAAAGCTTGGTGATATCTTCAGACGACGTGCGGGCCGGGTATTTGCCGCTGCCGCTCCCAGTGCTCCCATGCATGCTACCGTTACTGCCTCCGCTGGAGGCCATCTGAATAACACGGAACATGCGAAACGTCTCCGGGTCGTAATCCCGCTCGTACTCTAGTATCCGCGCAACATGCTCGACAGTTCTCTGGCCAAAGGGCAATGGATCGGACATGCGAGTCATCTCGGCTGCCGAACGGATTCCCACCATCCACAGATTCAATTCCTGGATTTCGGGCGTTTGCATCTGCACGAAGGCGGCCTTTTGAGTGCGGTCGTCCACGTAGGCAAGCTCGACCGAGGACGAGAGTCTCCCATCGTCCAGCATGTAGACGGCGATGATACTGTTCAGGGGGATGCCGACGGAGGTATCGGCGGCGGCGGACAATTGCGCATCTTGAATCGAACTGACAGAGGCCACGGACTGCCGGTGATGTTGCAGGTTACTCGAGGTACTCGGGCGTTCGAAGGAGGCAGGAATGGACGGGAAGGCTTCAGCGGCTTTCTTCTGGCTCTTGAAACGGACGAGATGGGTGTTGGTAAGGACGAGAAATTGGCTCTTTTTCCTCCACATGCCACCAGTGGTCTGAACCTCGCCATGATGTAGAACCATATTTCCAATCATACATGTCCGTGCGGCGGAGGCATCGTCGTCATCCCCGGAAGAATTCTTGGAGCGCCCGGTGGACTTGGTGTCTTCGTCATTCTCGAACGAGTGTAGCGATCGGAGGGACCCGAAAACGGAGGCGCGTTTTTTCTGTAACGATTTCCGTCGGGGACGAACCACGGCGTCTGGGGGAGTGGAGGAGGCCATGGAGGCGGCCCATGCTGCTATTTCGGCATCTGCAGTCGCGGAGGCTGCCAGATTCTGAGGCTGGGGGCTGACATTCCGATTGCCGCCAAAGAAGCCGGAATTGCGACGGTTTTTTCGTTTCTTCAGGACATGGGTTTCGTCGGAGGGGGAGCGATCGTGGGAAAGGGAAGCTGTTAGGTTGGAGGCCGCGGACGAGGGGCTGAAGACGCTGAGACTTTTTCTTCTTTCTTTTCTTCCAAAACTGTCGGCCATGACGGAGTCCTGTAGAAAGAGCGGAAGAAAAAGGAGAAAAGAAAGAGGGGGATAAAAAAAAAGCCTCAAATCAACCAAAACAATTGGACCAAGAAAAAAACAAAAACAAAAGGACAGCGAGCGGTGACAATAGTAGGACGACAGGTCACATCAACCGGGGAGTATGTACTGTATGTACTGGGATGGAATATGTACAGAAGGTTCCTGCAGAATTAGCCTAGTCCATAGTGATAAGAATTGAAAAGAAATGAAGAAGAGAAGAGTGTTGGGGATGAAATGGTGAGGCAGGTTTGAAACCAAAATCTCCGCCAGCGACACGGGGAGAGCAAGACACTTACAGCAGACCGTCAAGGCGCCATCAGAAGAAAGAATGAGAAAAGAATGAGAAAAGAGAATGGGATTGTGGTAGAGTAGGATTGTATCGACCAGCAGAACAATCAAGCAAAAACGACAGAAAACGACGGAAAGGGAAAGGAAGAGATGAAAACGGCAAAGAAGAGAGAGAGAGAGAGAGAGAGAGAGAGAGAGAGAGAGAGAGAGAGACCAGCACCCAAGAGACACAGAAAGAAGTAGAGAGAGTGAGTGTAGAAGAGTACTCCAAAGTAGTAGTAAGACAAAGAGAGGGAAAGGAAAAGGGGAGAAAAAGAAATCCGGAGAAAATCAGATCCACGCAGATCAAATGATGTCAAGCGGTACTCTACAAGTACATACAGTATGGACAAAGTAACTATGCTGAAGTATAGAGTGCAGCGTAACTGTAGAGCACAGTTTACAAGTACTCTGTATGCTCCTATTATTTTACTCCCATTAACGTTGGCTCGCAAACTCCAGTTCCTCTGAAACAACCACCGGTAATCCTCCATATTAATTCCGCTCCACATAGTTCCATGGATTCGATCCGTTTTCCAATATTTACGAATGGTGCATTGGCAGCTGCAAGCAATGGTACAGTAACCATATTGCGACAGCTACTACGGAGTACATACACCATACTATCCTACTACTACTATACAATACCATACTATCATGTATTTCGTAAACTAGGTAGGAGTGAGGCGGCCATCCATTATTAATGTCTCGCCCCATCTACGTTGCAATAGTTCCTACCGAGTTAGACATCGGAGTCCTCTTCCGTTTCCGCATCCGTATCAATCCAATTATCCGTGCTGACCCTACTATATACACGTACTTTGTCCATGCTCAAATTAGAACAACTTGCCACAATCCAGGCCCTGATCCTGGTTCTGGCCTGTCTATCTACCACTGATCAGATTCTCCCGCTCAGCAGTAACCCTCTGCACCCGCTTCACCTTACGCATAAAATCAATATATTCCGCCACCCGTCTCTCCGCCCACACGCACCCGCCCAACGTCATCGCCGCGATCTGCAAAAACACTTTGAACTGCGGAGTGAGGCCTTGGTACACCCGAGCCGTCGGGGAGATCCACTCCGAGAAGCCTTCGAGGGGTCTGTGGAGGAAGCGCGCGCGGAAGTATTCTTTTGTGAAGGGGGATGGTCTTCGTGCTCGCGGTTGTGAACCTGGCTGATGTGGTTGTGGCGGACCGGCGTTGCTTGCGAATGTAAAGGGATGAGGGAGAATTAAGATCATATGCGCGAGGATAGAGACGGAACCGTACTGCGGAGTGTGTTAGCTCGATTCTCTGCGCCTGGGCTGGGGTGCGCACCCGAAATGCACCTGCTAAGAAACCCTTGACGCCTTCTGTGGTGACTTCCTCCGGGGGTTCAATTTCTGCTCTTAGGTCTGCTGGGGGAGGCATTTTGTCTGAGTAGCGTTATGCGACTTCGTCCGTGTACTTCGAAAATACGGAGTAGAGCTCTTGAGCAAATCCCGAGATACCGGCGGGGTACGGACACGGATCAGTGCAAGACGGCGCTAATGATAGATTTTCTATAACGCAGATAACAGAATAAAAGACAATTATAGATACTGGACCAGCCAGACAATTGCAATCCCTATACAGACAAGGGCAATGAACTCCGGCATGAACTCCGGCATGAACTCCGACTCCGACATGACGCAGCCGGATCAAAATCCCCCCGCTCCGCCATGCGGGACGGATCACATTCACTCAATTCGAATTTTCAATTGATATCAGCTAGAATACCAACTATACTCTCCAGCTACTCCTCCAAAACCGAAGAACAAACAACCACCATCATGCCCTTCACCCCCCGCACCGCCAGCCTCTCGCGCACAACCAACGAGACCAAAATCCAAGTCTCCCTCTCCCTCGACGGCGGCGTTCTCCCCGCCTACGAACCCACCGACCACTTCCCCTCCCCCGCCGACCCCCAAGAAGCAGAAGCCGCGAAACACGGCATCGTCCCGCAAAAGGATGCCGCGCACGCAACGCAGTTCACGGCTACCCAGCAGATCACTATCAGCACGGGGATAGGCTTCTTGGATCATATGCTGCATGCGCTGGCGAAGCATTCGGGGTGGAGTTTGGCTGTGAGGGCTAAGGGTGATATTTACAGTGCGCCCCTCCCCTTCTCTTCTCTAAGAGTGTATATACTAATACTGGTAATGAACAGTTGACGACCACCACACAACAGAAGACACCTTCCTCGCTCTCGGCAGCGCCTTCACACAAGCCCTCGGCGCCCGCGCCTCAATCACCCGCTTCGGCCGCGGCGACGCCCCCCTCGACGAAGCCCTTTCCTGGGCCGTCATCGACCTCTCCTCGCGCGCCTGGTCCGTGATCAACATCGGTTTCCGGCGCGAAAAGATCGGCGATCTGAGCACGGAGATGATCACGCATGGACTGCACAGTTTCGCGCAGGCGGCGAATGTCACGCTGCATATTGGATGCACGTATGGGGATAATGACCACCATCGGGCGGAGAGTGCGTTTAAGGCGTTGGCTGTTGCGGTGCGGACGGCTTGTGCGAGGCGCGGGGAGGGGGAGGTTGGGGCGGGGGATATTGTTAGTACGAAGGGTGTTCTTTAGAGGAGTCCGAGTACGAAGTACGAGGATGAGGACTCTTGTAGAGATTGTCTATGATATGCAATAACGAACATACATCCAACCATAACCCTATTTATACACCATCCACTTACCCACCCACCCAATCTTATGAAACCTAAGAACTGACACCCAACGCCTTAACAGCACTCTCCCAATACCCCCTCCTCCCTTCATTCGCCTCCGTCCCAACACACCCACTAATATACCCCTGCCACCCCTCCTCACTCCCACTCTGCAAACTCTCCCTAACACCCTGATCACACTGCGTCGTCAAAAACCACGCCCCAGACCCGAAATCATACTCCTCATCCGCGAGGAGAATATCAAGTATCTGGCCCGCGTCGCCGTTCGCGGCAGATACTTTATCGCTGATCGCGGGGATCGAAGAGGCGTATTTAGCGTTGAAGGCGGGGGATTGCATATTCCGCGCTGTATCATCAAATTAGCCCTACCCTTCAACATTCACCCAACCAGGCGCAATCTGAATACAGGGAATACATACTCCCCTGCCCCTCAACCCCTGGAAAATGATTCCTACTATACCGAAACTCCTCACTCTCAAACGCCATCAGCGCAATAACAGCAGCCTGCTCTGCGCGACTCGTAACGCCATAGTTCTCAAAGGACTTTGCGATATTGGGTGCGGCTTGGTCTGCTGTTGCGCATTCGCCTTTTGCGGGGGGGTTGTCGCAGGTGGAGGATCTGGGTGCGATTTGTTGGATTTGCTGGGCTGTTATTTGGGCGTTTGATGAGCGGGTTGTTGGGGCTGCGGAAGCCAGGAAGGAAAGGAGAGGGAGGAGGAGGGTTGTGGTGTGCATCTTGGTGATTATCCTTGGAGAGTTGAGGATTTTCTGTGGTGTACTCCGTAGATGGGAGTGTAGAAGCCTTTTGTACTCGCTCACCCTGATCGCCAGGTCAACCGTTCATATTCAGCGCAACCGCCACCCAGGGGACAAAGAATGCGATGATCATTCTGAAGCACGACACCTCACATGTGCTAGCCTCGAAAAATGCTTAGCCGTGCCAAAGAAGGAAATAATCGTCCAAGAGGCAAATTGATCAGCTGGGGTTGGTCAATCACGGAAACCCTAAACACACCCAACCACCAATAGCCTTCCGGAACTAGAGGCGACTACGAGGACAAAACAGACTATTCCATAGAGGACAATGATTGAGAATATTAGTTGCAGGTGCATTTAGCGCCAGGCCTGTCTCCATAAAATAAACGGCGGCCGTCTATCAGCAGTCGAATCGAAGTCTATCTGTTAAAAAGGTGTATAACAAAAACAACAGGGGAAGAAGAATCAAAAAGGTGGTAAATCGAGACATCAGAAACAGAGCCAAATTCTATGCGAGCACCGCCTAGCAGTCCTTTTCCTCGCGAAAGAGAGAAAGAAAAAAAAAAAAAAAAAAAAAAAAAAAAAATCCAAAACTGTTGCCAAAGAAAAAAATGTACAACCCAATAATAAGGCTTCTATAGAAGCACCGGTCGATCCATGACCCAAAACTCCGTAAATGCACGCCAATATCAGCACAGGGAAAAAAGCCACTCGAGACAAACGTGACAAAGGAAAACGAAGAAACAAGCAGGAGTGAATGCTCAGATGCAAGTTATGCCAAACAATCGAACAAAATATATTGACACAAACAAGAGCAAACAACAACAGTAGATGTTGTAACAGTAGATGACCTCTTTTTTAATCATTTCTGCTGTAAAATTCATATGACGTCTCTGTGGGACCAGTTTCTTCGTCTTCTTTGTTGAAGCTGACCCGACGGAGCAGGGTAGGTACTGCCAATCGTGCCCGACGAGTGGGCGACAGGCCAGCCGGAGTGACAATTGTCGGTACCTTCGAGTAGCCGTGGCGATATCTGGAACTCAGGTGCATTACACGGCCATAGATCCACCAGGAACCAAGACCGACAACGCCGGCTAGAGCAAAGCCGCAGAGAGTCAGGAACATCCAATGTTGTCCCATCTGGAAAAGTCAGTCTCAGCTTCTCAATAAACGGTCGCCATGAAAACTTACCCAGAAAATCAGTTGAGCATCCTTGCCGTGCCAGCTGTTGCCAACGTGGTGGGTGAAGAAACTCCACGAGTAGCGGTTGTACTCGTCTTGCATGAGGATACGGACCCGGTCGGCCTCGCTGGGCTTGTCGAGCATGTATTCTTTCCACAGAACCGACAAGAAAAGAGGACCGGTCGAGTACATGACGGTGATGTAGGGAAGCAGCCAGCTGCGGTCGTAGGATTGCAAGAGTTCGATAACACGGAGGAAGAAGGGGTGCTGAGGAACAGATCCCATCGCATCGTTGGAGATACCAGTCGGAGCGGTACGACGAACCCACGCAGGGTAAGCGAGAAGAGGATCCAAGCGGCGGTTGCAGCCCTATAACTTGTTAGAGCGACTCAAAAAGTGAGCAATGGTATGAGGGGCGTACATCGTCAAGGTCAATGTAGGTTCCACCGTAGTGGGCCAGGACAAAGTAACGGATCGAGTCGGCGCGTTGGATGGGGTACTTGTAGCCATCGAAGGTGTCAAGGAACCAGGGGTATTCTTTGGCGATAAAGTCACGCGCTTTCTCGTTGGTCCAGAGCTGTTGCGAAGACACCAGTTAGTTGTCTGCTGCACGTGACCACCAGTAAGGGACGAGAATCAGCTTACAATGTACTCGTAATCCGGGTGCAGGTCGATACAGCTTCGTTGAGCATCAATCCAAACTTCAGGGATAGATTCATTCTTGTAGGTCTGGTGAATGATCTTGGGGATGACTTGAGGCCGTTGCTCGATCAGACTCGAATTGGGCGAAGGAAGCTCTGCGCGGTGGATTGCATCGGCCGAGGCATCTTCCACCAATAACGACAGAAGTGTAAAGACACTGCGGACCAGAAACGAGAGGATGATGAGGTTGACCACCAAAAAGATTAAGACGCCTCTCCGCATTGTGAAGAGATGGGATGAGATAGGGGGTTTTGGAGTAGGAAGGTGCAAGACGGGGAAGTCAATTGAACCAGATCCTCGCACAGTCGTAACCTCGTGTCAAGATAGGAAGGGTGCGATGATTGTTCCGGGGAGTGGTCAACAGGGAAACCACGGTTATTGTTGTTTTGCCGAAAGAAGGTCCCCGGGAACCGCAGGAGATTGTTTCAAACCGGAGTCAACAAGGGACTTTGACGCATGGAATATCGACACGGGGATGCCACAAGCGATGAGAGAGAAAGAGTTGTAATCTGGAACGTGATGAGGGAGAAAAGAAGATAGTAAAAGGCAAAGAGACCAGGAGGCGATGAAGACCTGGGGCGAAATTGGTTGAGTGGTGGCAGTGGCAGTGGCAGAGAGGCAGTAACCGCGGATAGGCAGAAAATGAAGGAACGACTAGGCGCCAGCAAGTCGGTAGTAGCGATTATAATTTAAAAACGCGTAACTTGAAGATTTCCACGACTTCTTTTTTGAAGAAGCAAAAGAAAATAAGGAATGACTGGCGTGGAATGAGAGTTTCGACCACGAGACGCTCAGGCACAGAATCAACAGGGGTGAAGTTGTTGTTGAGTATAAGACAAGACAAGATTGTCCACCAACAATTACAGAAAACAAATTCTGGATAATTAAGGAATGACCAGAATTAACAAGAAAGTGAGAAAATAGCTGATAGCAGAATAATATTCCGTGGATAGTGAGAATAGAGAAAAGGGGAGGCGGGGGGTAAAGAAGACGAATGATTGTAATGAAATCAAAATAGTTTAAAAAGAATTAAATAAATAAAAATGAATGTCAAGGCGTATTTTTTTTTTTTTTTTTAAAAAACCTTTTTTAGGGGCAAAAAAAAAAAATAAAATAAAATAAAATAAAATAGAAAATAAAAAAAGAGCGTGGTTGAGTGGTTGAGCGAATAGAGAAAAGAAAAGAGAGTGGAAAGGAAGAGAAAGAGAGGTTAGAACGCGGTGGCAGTGAGAGAGAGCAGCAGCAGAGAACAGTACGTGCGTAGTCCACTGCGCTGTCGTTGGTTAAGGAGACTTTAGCCCCAGACCAGACTCAAAGAGGAAACGGGGCGGAGTCCCGTGTCAGAGCCACTCCCGTCCTAATGGGGTAATCGACACAGCGGCTCCCATGGTTAGTCACCAGTAGTTTTCTTACGGGGAAGCGCGCTAGACTGGGTTTAGTATGTATATGTATCCCCACTGAAAATACCCCCACTCGGAAAGGTTCAGTAAGGTTGGAGCAGGAGCCAAGATTGCCAGGGGTAGTATGTGTGTTGAGTATGTACGATATATGAAATACTTGAGTATGTACAGAGTACAAACGGAGTATGAGTATGGAATAGATACATGTCAATCGACTCATCACTACAAGTATGGATTGGATACATACTTGTATCTATCACCCCAGTCTTGGTTCGTACTCGTACTTGTACTCTATGCTAAGCCACTCCAAGCGACCCCACATGATTGGTGGAGGACGAGCCCGTTTGGTCCATCCATCGCACGCCGTTAAAGAGTTAGCCTCGGCCTAGTCCTCGGTAGCTCGTCTCAGACGGCTGGGAAGATAGACAAGATAGACAGATAGACAGGATGATAGACATGGGGAAAGCGCTTAATTATCGTAAAAAAGGGGCCTCGTAAAGGAGATAATTACGCAAATACACATTATTCTCTGAAACACCAAGCAGCTGTCACAGGAGTTGACTTTTGTCTGGACCAATCATATAGTGGCGTTGGACACAGCACAATGTACGGTTTAGACAGTGTCTTATTATTTATCGCTCAGTATCGTTCAGGGATCGTACTCGTATTGCTATACAGTGGGGATGGTAACGATATCAACCATATTAAGGAGCTCGTACATAGTACTCTTTACTGACACTAGCCCTCAACCACTTTCTACAAGTACACTCTATAAGATAATGTAATTCACGGCCGAACCGCGGACCTCTGTATTCCATATAAAATGGCACTTTTTATAACCTCAATATCTCAACTGCAGAGTAATATACCTTCTTCTAGTGTGTGTATGCATACCCTTATCTTATAAATAAGCCTCTATATCTATATCTATTGGTGACAGATGTTGAGGTTATAAAAAGTGCCATTTTATATGGAATACGAGGTCCGCGGTTCGGCCGTGAATACGTTACTTCTCATTGGTTACGTGTTTCCTGCCACTGACTAGTGATCAACATCATCATTCCCCAAATTTCATCATAGACACCTCAGGCATTAAACCTTTTTTTCTTTCTGGAAGGCGATACGAACCCTGGATTGACATTTCCGTGTTGAATCGGGAATCAGACACCATGGTTCTCTCTCTCCGCATTAGGTATCTCCGGCACTTATCCAGAGATGCTTGACGCGAACATTGGAGTTATCTGTGTGGTTATCGGCATGATCCATAGCTCGGTAAAACTGAAAAATTGAGTGGTTGTTTATCGGGCGGATGGACAAGATCTGTCTGTACTCGGGACACCTGCCACTGTATATCAGAGAACGCTCTGTACCAACTAGCAGTTTAGTAGTACTAGTCCGTACGCAAAGGAGACTCGCTAACTGAATCTGGACCCTGCATCTTGGTACTTGTGGAGGTCCCAGAGATGCTATGTACTGTCATGCTCGGTATCCTGGGCAATCCAATCTCGTCCCAATTATTGCGTAGAGGCTTGTATAGTACTTTAAATCTCTCATGATCTTCCACTTCCCGCCATGTGTCATCTCTCCTCTTCTCTACCCGTGCAGACTACTCTGTATACAAGTACATACTCAATACAGTATGTACTCCAGACGGAGCGCTCTACGTACTCCACACAATGCCATGGTTAACCGACCGAACAGCCACTCAGCGTCGGCGGCAATTGTCAGACGCGTGGACAGAATGGAGTACAGATAAAGTCTCTGCGGTCTGTGCCCAGCCACATCTTTACCCTAACCATCGCATCGTTATTTGAACCCAGCACCAAGAGACCAAGAGACCAAGAATTCCCCAAGAAATCCAAGATTAACCCCACCCAACCCCACCCAGCACCACAATGACAACAGAATGGGCAACTTAACGGTTTCATTCCATCATTTATCGGCCGGGCGCTTGGATCTGCCGCGGAGGTATTCGTACAGAGTAGATAGAATACTTCGTACCGCGGAATTATCGAGGTCGATAAGTTGAACGTACGGACTACGGCCGAGTCCAAATACTAGACTGGATAATATCTCAATGGGGCACCTATGCTGTACTCCATACTCGCTCGCTCGCATTGTACATACGGAGTACAGTACAGTCGTATGCACGACTTCCGACTCTTCCAAACAGCCGACGAAAACCCCACAGCCCACCCAACAGAACAACACACACTTGTTATTCTTAGCAGCGCCCACTTTCCCTGCAAGACACTGTGCATGTACAGATACGGAGTACATTTTACTGCACACTGGGTGGCAAATGTCAAAACGAATACGCAAAGACAAGACAAGACAAGGCTCCATCCAGCCTCGCATTGCCCCGCCCCTACTACTCACCCACTCACACTCACAAAGAACCCTTGTGGTATTCTTTGGAACTGAACAGTTGATCAATGCTTACTTTTCTTCGGTGTACCAGAGTAGAGCAGAGCCTCATTGGCGTCATGTTGTACAGTGATGTCGTACGTGAGACGTTGCCCGGCCGGGCGTACTGTACCACGTCTTGTCTTGGTTACTCTGCATTATCATCCCGTTGTGTTACTGAAATCATGATGGCTGTGGAAGTCACACAAAGCAGCCTATATTTCACATGTTGACTGGATTCGTTGGGTATTTTGTATGCCTTGCGTGTTGCGTACACCCGCGGGATCGTCGGAGTTCTTTTGAAATAAACTTATCGGTGGGTATGTTATGCCATTTATAGTTCCGAGGCTTTCAGTTGCTCTATCTGCCCACGTTCAGAGACCAGCTACTGTAAAACCCCGTTATAAGCAACTATTTCGGCAGGTCGCAGAAATTGCTTATAACGGAGTATTGCTTATATCGGATTATATGAGCTTGCTGCTCCTCGAAAAGCCGGAGTTTATATAGACTCTCCAAAGCATCTATTATAAATATCTGTGGAAGAGACTCATAGTTTTCTTCCTCTTCCTCTTCCTCTAGCATGCTTGCAGATGAAAACTGGCTTAGAATTAGGTCATCTGCAGTTGCTAAGCTGTCGTCAACCTGCTCTTCTTCTGGATTTAGGAACTGGTGTATATCCATGGCATCTTGGGAGAGGCTACCAGCTTCACCATGCTGTATATTCTGTCGAATACTCCAGCGTGATTGAAAGCCACGGAGCCAGCCATTGCTGAAAGAAGGCATCTCCCTTCCTGGATAGATAGTTTGCCAATATTGCCTTGCTTTCTCCCGTATAACCTCCTGAGATATTGATATATGCCCCTCTGCACGTTGAGTGCACTCAAAGATAGCTCTCTCTAATTCTGGTCAGTTCTCATTACGTCGTCGCTTCTCTTGGTGGCGGTTGGTGGCTTCATCAAAGGAGGCGGAATCGGATGAAATGATTCGGGATACAGAGGATGGGTTGATTGACTAATTATAGGTGGTTTCAAACCAGATTTTCAGTGCGATGTTTGATAAATGTGGCTTAAGTTGATGTTGGGCTCAGAGGGCAGCCTTTTGGCTGTTTAAAATAGGTCGACGGGTTTGCTTTGGCATTGCGGAAGGGAGGGATGAAGTCAAAATAGCCTATTTTGGTTACTCCTATATTAGCAATTTTGTATTGGAGGAAGGAAGAATTTAAGCAACTTGCTAGTAATGGAGCATTAAGCAATTTTATATGGAGTTGTAATTTGAACAGCGCGGCCAGTTGCTTATAATGGACTATTGCTTATATCGGAGTTGCTTATAACGGGGTTTTACAGGTAGTTCAACGGCCGCGCGCTGTATTCACCCCAAGACTCTACCCCAGTTTCCACTTCCAACGGTATATCAGTGGAGGGTGAACAAATCGAGGGCTAATCGTTAGGCCTGGGACTGCAGATAATCCGCGCGAATCGTCAGGAAGGCTGGCGACAACGCAGCGGCCATTAATGATTATCAGAGCCTTGAAGCTGTGCTCTCATGCGGAAGGAACCGCTGTTGCATGGCGTCCAAGATAATCAGGATGGTAAATGGTGATCAGGGTCGCAACGCTATGATCTAAAATAAAACACAAGACGCACATCATCACCTTCAGCGCACTTCAGGCGCCGCAGCAGCGGCAAAGTCACCATTGACATTGTTCGTGTCCGTTTCACGTGCATCCGCCTGAGAATCAAACAACCGCCTCCACCACATCGGTGGATCAAGAGGGCGATGACCACCATGGAGCGGCGGGTAGACGTCGTTGAAAAAGTACCAGATATGGCCCACCACCACACCACAGATTTCGTCCTTGGGCACAATCCCGTGGACCACAAGGCTGAATGCCATCAAGACCCACGGAAGATACGGGGCCGTAAAGACAAGTAGCCCCAAGAAGCTGAGGCGAGTATCAGGGTTGCGGCGACTCCAAATGTAGACCAGGCTCGAGGAAAGCGACGTGCCCAGGAACGGAAGCGACAGAAACGGGGAGATGATCAAGAGCGACACCATCGCATAGAACAACAGCCACGAGAAATGAGCGGGAGATCGACCGGACGTTTCCTCAAGTAGGCGCGAGTACCGTTGCAGGAAAAACACGTGGAATAGTAGGTCTAGACTGAGCGGTCCGAAATAAAGAAACGTCGTTACTAGGCGCCAGTACTGTTCAAGTCAGCCACACCCGCTCCACAATCCTTCTTCTTTTTGCCCTTTTCGTTTTATTTTTGGTCGACGCACCTGCGACTTGAAGTACACAGCCCGGAAGCTGTAGAATAGCTGGAACGGTGTCAAGATATGGCACTGCACCAATACTGACGTAGCAACGGTGGCAGCCGTCCACCAACGGGTGACAGGCGGCATCTCATAGAACCATTGCTCAAGGGGGAACTGGCCTGCTTGCCCACCATTACCCCAGATGGCGGCCATTGCGTCGGACGTTCAAAGGTATCCAAATCGATAAGAGAGTAGGCAATGGTATCAACCGATACCAGAGGAGTCGCGGCGGAATAAACGTCGCGAATAAAGACACTACCAAATAACAGCAAGCTTGCAATTTGTTCCCCTCACCAGTTTATAAGTACCGAACGCAAACAAAGCTCCAGGGTGGCCTCTTCCGCCCTTGAAGCCATCCAACGATGTCATCTGCCCGCCGATTGTATCACGTGCATTACAGACAAACGCGCGCTTAAGCGGATAAGCACACGCTACGCGTCAAAATACCGGAGGCTGGGAAACACGCATCATGCCCTCGATATCAGCCAATAGCTCCTGAGCCAGCGATTGCTGGCGACTTTTGCGTTCAACTTTCCAATTGCCCCTCCACGGTTTCTCTCCAGTCAGACGAGAACCAATTTTGGTCGCAAGAGCATCTTTGTTGTCTGTTTACTGCGGTCTCCTTTTGTTCTTTTGTCGTTCTGCCCGCGTCAAAACAAAGGACTGTCCCGCCGAGCTCGATATCCATTAGACGAAACAACCATTTTCATTCATAAATCATTGCGCACATTATTGAATTTTCGATTGGGATTCATCGCATAGCGATCTCTCATAATATCACCCCTCACTTGAACGTCGAGTCGCGCATCGTTTTCATACCGGAATAGAAATCACCACCACCCGCGCAAACCGTCGCAATGCCACCAAAGACAGGAAAAGGCCGTAAAGTCGTCTCAGAACCGCGATCGCGCCCCAGCACCGGCGACGGAGAAGCAGGCCCATCATCAAAACCGCAACAAACCGCGTCGCCAGCAAACAAAAGGAAACCCAAGGCTTCCACTTCCGGAGAAGCAAGAGACAAGCGGCCATCGGGAGTAACAAAAACACCAAAGGCAGCAAAGACAGCAATAACATCAGACGTCCAACGTACGTTCCATGCCATTCAAACTCGCCTCTGCATGTAATGCAGATCACAAACTAATTCCCTATTTAGCCGGCGACCCAACCCCCCAAGGCCGTTCACGCCGCTACAAACCCGGAACCGTCGCTCTAAAAGAAATCCGCAAATACCAACGCTCCTTCGACCTCCTCATCCAAAAGCTCCCCTTCGCGCGCCTCGTCCGTGAAGTCGCCCTGGAACTGCTCCCCGCAGACGTAGGCGAACAGCTCCGGTGGCAGTCGCATGCGATCCAAGCACTACAAGAAGCCGCAGAGGCATTCCTCGTCCATTTATTCGAAGATACTAATTTGTGTGCTCTGCATGCTAAGCGCGTGACTATTATGCAAAAGGATATCCAGCTTGCACGGAGGATTCGTGGTGCTTGGGGTGGATTGGGATGATTTGTTTTCCGGCATTCTATTTTTTGTATTTATTCCCGTGATTTCTTCTTTCCTCTGGTTGATTGTTATCATATCCGACCATCAGCCTTTCGAGCTGTATGGGGTTGGTACATGGCGTCTTGTTGAGTGACGGAGTCAATCGGTCTGCTGTCTTTTTCTCTTTATTATTATTATTATTATTTTTTTTTTTTCTTTTTTTTTTTTTTTTTTGTACGCTGCTCTCCAAGGCGTGTTTTCTTTCTGCGTTCTGTGGATTTACATTTCAGATAGCAGCTTGATTTGATGCGTGGGTGTATATTGCATATATCGTATGGTGTGGGTTGTTTTTATGGATTCAAACGACGATGGCTGGATGGCTGGATGGCTGGATGGCTGATTTGTCTTTGAAAAGTCAAATGCTGTGTATTGAGTGAATAGCCTGTAATGGCATTGGATTTAATGAATGGTTTTGTGTCTTGGGTTTATACTGGTTAGTGGTCGATATATATCTGTAGAGTGTTGCTATTCCACATGAATTGAACTGAAAAAAAAAAAAAAAAGCAATGATATATATGCACCTATCTATACAATAAACAGCTCAATCTATGCGCCAGATGTCCATCAGCAGATATGGTATCTCAAAGCTCAAACCGACTAATTCGCAGGACTAAGACCAGCAAATCCCCAAGAAAATGACAATGAAAAATCAACATTAGAAAAGAGAAAAGATCAAACACCCCTCCTCAAATCCCCTGGCAACCCCGTTGAAACCCTCATTCCCTCATCCCTAACACCCCCCGCCTCCTCTCCCTTCCCTTGCCTCTCTAATGTCTCCGCGAGCATTTCGTCCGTAACGCTGACCCAAAGGCGATCATTCGCTTTCTTCGCCATTGCCCGGCCTGCTCGTGCACTCTTCTCCGCTTGTTCGCCCACCACGCCGCGGAAATACTTCCAGCTCATGAAGGTGAGCGTCATGCAGGTGATTTGGGAGTTGCTGATTGCGGTAGCGGATTGGAGGGCTTGTTGGAGGAATTGTTTTGTTTGGATTGTGGATTCGGTTTGCATGGTTGCGTTGATGAGGTAGTAGGCTGCTTGTATGTATTTGTTGGGACTTGATTTGGCGAAGGATTCGATGGTGGAGAGGACTGTTGGGAGGAGCGAGTGGGAGGGGTGGGATGGGTCACGGAGGATGAGGGCGGTGTTGATGGTTGCGAGGATGGCGATGTCGCGGCGGGGGTCGTTGCGTGTTATTTTGCTGGCGTTGGGGGAGAGTGAGAGGAGTGGGGATTGGAAGATTGTTAGGGCGGTTTTGAGATCTCCGGTTGCTTGTGCGATGGTTCCTGCGGTGTATTCCATCAGGCATTGGACGTCGTCTGAGAGGTTGTCACCGGTCTCTTGTGCGATTTGTCGGAGTTCCTTTAGATTTTGTCTGGCAAAGTCCCAATCGGTTCGTGAACATGCCAGGAATACTTGTTGTAATATGATGTTGCAGCATAGCGTCCTGCGCCATTCGATGCGTTTGTTTGCGTTCACCATCGATTCTGCGACATTTTCCGGTGTCTCGAAGCTGCCTGTAACTTTGTTAGATAACTATGTCAACGACTCAATTTGAAAGGGACACTAACTATTCAGCATGCGCCGTCCTTCTTGAAGGAACTTTTCAGCTTTACGACCGTCATGCGAGTTCTTAGCACTGAGCGTGACCGAACTGAGGAAATAGCACAGCGCGTAAAGATCATGCTGAGGCAACCAGCTGAAACTCAGAAGCAACGTGCCATTCTGGACTTGCAGAATATCACCGGTGTCAATTGATGAAGGGCCTGCAGATTTGCCGTTCAATGGAACGGAAAATGATCCGTCAACGCGCCAGTTAGGATAGTTCAACCTCTCATCCATTATTTCTTGCAACACTCGTAATTTTTGAGCTGATTGGTTGACATCGTACTCCAGAAGACTGCAGCAGATGTCAACCATCTGGACGAGAGTGATTAGTTGAGGTATGTGCCGAAGGTCATCATTGAGCTGATGACTTCGTGCCGTAGCCACTGCGCGCTGGGCTTGCTCAATAGAATCGAAATTCGAACCTAACTGCAGATGCGCAAGTGCCTCGACCACAGCAGCCATAGCTGATACAGCTTTGTCGCCGTTGCGATTGGCCATCTGGGAGATCTTGTGGAGATGGTGCAGCGCTGAAACCGAGTCTTGATGGGTTGGTGATGACAGAGATAAAGAAAGCGAGACTCGAAGGAAGCGAAAAGCATACTCCCAGGCCGAATGGCGATACCTATACCAATTTAGTCACATGTCACGCCATCAGTTTATAACAATAGCACTTACGCTTCCACATCCTGAATCATACCATCGACAGCCTTCAGCGAAGCTCTCGGATTGGTCTTGTGGAGCATCCGCGCTAGAAGATGCTGCATACTGTACTTGAGGTCCAACATGCGGTTCTGGAGAATCATAAGTATTAAGTCTAACATGACAGACGAAAAGATCACTCACTCTTTCACACAAGTCGATCTAATAAACCGTCAGTAAAGCAGCAAGTACCATGAGAGAAACATAGACATACCCCTTTACTCAATGCGGTTTCCGCTTCAAGGTCATTATCTGTTTCCTCGAACAAGACGCGTGCATATCGTAACCGCACAAGTGCCTCCATACGTGGTTGGAGTCTCCAGTTCTACACGAAATCAGCCAACCGTCCAGTTGTGGGACTTCCAACCAAGCAAAAATATCCCACCGACCTTCAAAACAGCCTCCAGACACCCAAGCCCCGTAGCAAGGAGTTTGTAGTATTCCTCCACGTCGTCATCCCTTCTCAACGAGGCAACAGTAGTTCCGTGGTTATGAGCAGCATTGAGATATTCGTCCGCCAATGACAACAGCAGTACCTGATAATCCACCGAAGGCTTCCCTTGCTTGCGCGCAGCCTGCTGACTGCCTTGCCGTTGTGCCTGTCCTTGTTTCCTGGCTGCTTGCTGTTTCAACAATTTCTGTTGGACCTCTGGCGAAGGAGCGGGAATCAACACCTGAGAAACCGGTCTCGGCATTGGTGTTGGAGCAGTAGGTGTCGAAGTCATAGATCTAGAGATGGACGCAGGAGCAATGGTCGGCGTAGAAGAAGGAACTGAAGGCATGGTGGCAGAAGCAGTTGTAGGAACGGGGTTAGGACTGGCGACTGGAGCAGGGACGGGAGTAGAAGCGGGAATCGGTGAGGGAGCGGGTTTTGTTTGTAACGGGGTCGCTTGCGGTTTCGGAGCGACCTGTGGATATTGATTGTATGCGTTGTTGCTGCCCGGGCTAGCACTAGGAGGAGGATAGAACGTTGGCTGCGTCGAGCCAGACACAGTGGGTAATGCGGGCGAGCGGTCGGGGTTGTTGTTTGCGACAGACGCGGCAGGCTGTCCGGTGTATTGGGAAGTACCAAAGGTATTGAATTGGGATGGTATGGCTGGACCAACGGATGGTTGTTGGAATAGATCTACCGGGTTCACATATTGCGGTTGGGGCGGCGGTACTGGTTGAGGTTGTTGTACGTGTTGCTGACTATTGAAAGCCTGCGCATAATTATTGAAATTCGGGATCACCTGTGGATAAACGACTGGCTTGCCATATTGGTATGGCGATTGCGGCGACTGCAGAGGATTGATGTTATTGTATAGAAACTGCGGCGGCTGAATGGGCTGTTGAGGATGTTGGCGTGGAGGTTGTTGTTGTAGGTATTGCGGAGGATAGTGACCGTTATGCGGCGGTGGATAGCTCATCGCCCCGGAACATAGATTATACTCATCGATTCTTTATTCACCAACGACGAAGGCCCGTTTGATGCTGTTTGTGTCTTTTCTCTTCGTCTTCACTGTCGTCTTCCGCGTCGCCAAAAGATCGTCGACGGTTCGGAGAAACTGCCGGGCGGTCGGGTCGATCATCACGTGGGATCCGTATCGGGAAGGCATGTGAAGTACCTGGGGAGTATGAAGTACGGAGTAGAAATTCTAGTTCTTGGATAGTTTGAAGCTATATTCGCATTAGACTGCAATAAACAGGGTATTATATATGTGATCGTGGCATTCGATTGCCATCTACAAGGATGGGTATTCCCAAACTATACAGGACGATGCATACATCCAAAGAGCAAGAGAAGGGAAAAGAACAAAATCGACAAGATACACAAAACAGAACGCCAAGCTCGCCGTAACCTGTACATCGACTCCTCACCCTGGTCACCAATCAGATCATGTGTATAGAAGAATATAGTTGGTTGAACGATTGATCATTCACCGCGGAGTCAATTATGTCCATTCCTAGAGACGGTGGTCCCTCGGGAGGGGGGTGCTCGCGGACCGTCCAGGGACACATTTCGCTGCAAGTGTCAATATTAACTGATGGCGCGGCAGGGTGAATTCTCTGATTTGCCCACTCGGAATCAGGGACCGGGGAAGTGCCACCGAGACATCGCTGGATCCAGAAGAAGTAGTTCGCTCGGTCTGAACCACCAGAATGCTTTGGATGTTTGTGCGGACATTTCAGCACTGCGTTGCAGGAATTGCAGATGGATATTCTCTTGCAGGAAGAGCAAATCTCCCTAGGAAGTCGACAGACGGAGGTTTGACAAGAACTGGCAAGCCATAGGTCGACAGACCGGTGCGCACACCCAAATCTTGGTGTCATGTTCTCCTCTTTCCCCAGTTGACCTGCCTCGATTGAAAGGCGGTACTCGGTTCGTATTTGAAGTTTATCTTCTTGATCTAACTCAGGGTAAATGCTGATATTCAATACTGTCGATCCATAATCCTGCGTGCAGGAATGCCAACAGAAACGTTCTTTGACGCCGTTTCCGAACTGTGCGTTCAGGAGACCTATAGATTGCTGTCGTAATTTTAAAAGCTCAATGAGGTCCATCTTATCCTGGAAGGTCAACTTTCTGCATGGACACAAGTCGACTACACCAGCCAGCTCGCCCAGATTACAGACGCGGTCTTCCGGTTTCCGTTTCAGTTCTCGCGATGTGAATGCACTCCTGGGGTGAAGCTTCAGACACCCAGAACATGATTGCCATTTGTGATCCTCCAGCGTGCTGATAAATTGCCATCGGGGGGTAAGGAAGTTGTGTCCGTTCCGGTAATGGTGAAAGAGAGGTGCGAAGTCTCGACTGAAATGAAGTGATTCATTCTCGAAGACTGCCCCCGAAATAAAAAAGAGACTCTTGCAGGTGAGCGCTAGAGATGCCTCTGGGACCTCAGTCAAATGTGAGATGATCTCCAGCAGCAGCTCTATGGGCAGCTCCAAAAGATGACACCGGCCGGAGCCATTTCCCTCACTAGTATGTCCACCACCTTGGTTTCGTAGCCAACGAGCCATTTTAATCACGCTCTTCAACTTTTCTCCGGAACGTCGAAGACTATATGTCATGTTGCTCGGGTAGCTGCGTTTGGTTCATGTGGTCGGGCAAGGGGGCAAACAAGGATCCTTTGTCTTTCTTTCAACAGTCGGGCGATTGGACGATTGGACGATTGTGCGAGTAGTCTTTGTTGTTGAATACTGGCACTGAATCATGGATGCGATTGGAACCGGCCGTTGTGTCGCAAGTTTTGAAGCTGCATAGTGCGACAGACAAAGAAAAGATAAAAGGACATAATGTTTTCTTCAGAGACGAGCACGAGAAGAAAGGACCTTTTAGACCCTGACAGTCATTGCCGCAAAGGGTTGTAGCAGTTGCGCGAAAACGGCGCACGCGCTTGGGTCACAGTAGTGTAGCAGATGCTATCAGTATTACATACAACGCCATGTGGAATCTCAGTCCGACCCAACGCCTCTTACTTTGGGGCGACATGTTCAACACCACAGCCGCATCCGACATAAAGATAAAATGGTTTCATTGTAAGTTTGATATCGCGAAAACCAGGATTTCCTTTTCTGGCATGGATTGAGTTTCCTCCTGACGTTTTCGAGTGACCCTGACTTTCCGCATCCGGAGAATTTCTGACGGCTAGCATTGGGTTTCGCATACGGGAGAGATAGGATGCAAAGAATGTTCATGCAAGACGACGGTTTCAACAGCGGGGAGTCTCAGTTGACAATGGCTGCTGACATGCAGAGGAAATTTTAGTTTAATCCTCCGTGCAGAATCAAATGACCCTACCATGACAGCAGGGCACAGAGAGTCACGTGACTATGGCTGGTTGGTTGAATAGAACCATGTGATTGTGGCGCCATGTGGCTGATAAGAGATAAGATTTTGTCAGCACTTCCTGATTGGGCACTGATGCCGAGGCTGAATAGAAATCATCGAGGCAATTGTTTAATATTTCCCTCTATTCTCTGCAATTCTTTTCTGTGTACAATTCCAATCATCATTATAGATTGCATTTTACCGGTGCTTTGGTCCAATTGCAATATAGGTCATGAGCTTTGCAGATCTCCAGGACTATCTTCTTAGTTCGCTGCCACTTTCGGCTCTACTCTGTGGGCTTATCACCATGGGCCTGCTGTCGTGGCTTCGTCCGCGGGGAAGGATTTCATTCTATCATGCCAAAGATAACAGTCTCCTGCTCACCAGAAAGTCCGAAAAGCCCGGTGCCGAAGAGAAAGTGACTTTCACAGACATCTGTCGTGAAGCAACACCAGCAAAGTGCAACCTGAACCCGTTTTTGTTTAACGGCCATCTGCAGACTGCCTATACTGCTATCAAGTATGATGGCGTCCCGGTATACTACAAGCGAACGATGTTCGAGTCCGACAGCCCTGCATTTAGCGGACAATTTGCAATGGATTTCGTTGTGGAGCCGTACGAGATGCCCAAAGACGACGTATTGATTGACAGCGAGAGAAAATACACACAGCCATCGGGTCTACCTGTACGGACGTCATTCTTCTCGGAAGATGAAGTTACTGCGCTGCCATCGGACGATACGAAGCCTATGCTGGTGACTCTGCACGGCCTCAGCGGCGGTTCACATGAAATTTACTTGCGCCATGTCCTTCACCCGCTGATCGCAGATGGAAACTGGGAAGCATGTGTGGTTAACTCTCGAGGCTGCGCACAAACCAAGATCTCTACCGGAGTGCTTTACAATGCTCGTGCTACCTGGGATCTTCGTCAGGCTATCAAGTGGCTTCGGAAGACGTATCCCAATCGCCCTCTGTTTGGAATTGGATTTTCGCTCGGTGCTAATATTCTTGCAAATGTAAGTGTTCATTATTCATTTTCCATTGGTAGGTCATTTACTGATGTTGATGCAGTACCTTGGTGAGGAGGGCGAAGCCTGTGAGCTGAAAGCAGCCGTACTCTGTGGCAGTCCCTGGAACCTGGAAGTTTGCTCTCTGAATTTAAAGCGGACCTGGTTAGGCATGGAAGTGTACAGCAAAACAATGGGCTCCAGCATGAAACGACTATTTGAACAGTATGTCAACCATCTTGCCCACAATTGCAATTGTTCTGTTGACTGACCTCTATCAGACATGTCGACGCAATTAAGAAGAACCCTAGAGTGGATATCGAAGCAGTGAGGAGAATCACTTATCTACATGAATTTGACCAGTATGCGCCACGTCTCCTATCTCAATGGGTGAATGATTTCTAATTTCAATTGCTCAGGGCCATACAATGTCCTACTTGGGGTTACCCGACAGAAGGCGCATACTACCGTGACGCTGCTACGACTGACTCCCTGCTTGCGATAAGAATCCCATTCCTGGCTATTCAAGCAGAGGATGATCCGGTACGTCTATGACTGCCTTCGCCTACTGGGAACACACTGACATTAGGCAGATTGCTTGCCGTGAAGGTCTCCCATTCTCGGAGATTCAGCGCACGCCTTATGGAGTCATGATGACTACTTCCTGGGGTGGTCATTTGGGATGGTACGAACTCGGAGGTGAAAGGTGGTTTGTGAAGCCGGTATGTACACGCTCGATAATTCCCCCGTGTTTCTTAACTAACACAACTAGGTAAACAACTTCTTCAACAAGATGGCCAAGGAGATCGACCTTTCATCGCCCTGTGTCGTGGAAAACCCAGACCTACTGCCTGGTCATATCGCCAACCACAGTGATCCGACCAAGGATCCCGACACAGCGCCTAAGCCCGAGTTCAATCCCATGCGTCGCAGGATGGACATGAATATTGACGTATAAAAAGTGTGACGTACATATGCATTACGAGGATCTAGCTTTTGTTTTTTCTGCTTTTGAAGATTCATGATGCACAGCGCAATTCAGTATATAGGCATAGACCGGAACGCCAGAAGTCAAACCCATCTAAGTACATAGTCTTTGGTATAGACAAGAAACACAGAACGAAACAGAACTTTTTGAATTTTACACCCCTCAAGCAAAAGCAACGCTCTTCCTCTTCCCCTTCTTCTCTTCTGTTGTAGACTTGGATTTCGAGTCTTCTTTGTCGTCACCCTTGCGCTTCTTGTTACGGATCGAATCTTTGACGTTGTCCTGTTGACGGACGCGTTAGAGTATCACTCAATTAAATAGAAGGGGAATGAAACATACCAACTTGGATTTCTTCTGCGCCTGCCTTGCCTCTGTCTCCTTAATCCTCGCTTGCCGGATCTCCTCTAGCTGACGAGCCTTCATCATCTTCGATTCAATCTGTCCCTCCTTATCCGCGTTCACCATCGCCATAATCGTCATCATACCCTCCTAAACCAACAGTTAACATCCATCCCGTTACCCATACCCATAAAAAAGAAGAAAGAGTTCCCCATTGGAAAAATTGTACGCACCGCATCATCAACAAACTTCTTCCCCTTTTTCTTCCCCTTGGGCTTAACCACGCCCGCTGGCGTGATCATATTCAGCTTCGGCAGATCAAGCTCGTCCTCTGTATACTCGCGCCTCTGCTTCTTCTTCAATTGGGACGGCTCGGTGCGGGCTTTGGCTTTGACTTCTTTGGGGGGTGGGCGCTTGACGTCCTTGTTCTTGGAGACTTTGGAGGATGAGGAGAGGGACTTGGAGGACTTCTTGGAGGAGTCTTTGGTTGGTTTTGTAGGGGCCATGATGGTTGTTCTTTTGGCGTTGGTGTTGGAGTATTCGTATGGGATTGCGCAATGTGAGATTAAGGTAAATCGAGGTGAAAAAACCGATCAAAATAACCCAGAAGAATAGAACACAGCTTCAACAATAAAATTAATAAAATAATACTCAAATGCAGAAAACCTGAAAACAATCAAACCCTTCGCATCCAAAACCGCCATCTTAATCTTGCGAAAGAAATTTTTAAAATAGGAAGGCGGTCAACCTTCACCACCCGCCCGCCGACGGACCTCCATCCCATCACCACCGTCCAACGCCGACACTACCCTTCTCCCTCACGCCAGAACCCGAACCCGCTTTGCAAACCGTCATTCGAAAATGACCATCAACCCGACTTACCTCGCGCAGCGCACGCGCTCCTGTACGTGCCCCTTCCACACCCTAAAACCGGGGATCGAAAGCCCTTAGAAATTGCTGCAATGTCAATGGACGAGAGGGATTGGCTGAGCTAATGGGTGCAATTGGATGGGGTTTTTAGCCGCGAGCTGGAATGATGCGAAGTATCGTGTGCTGAAGTCGTACCGGGAGTGGCTTCGTGCGGTTAGTTTCTCTTTTTCCTTGTTTTGGGTGCTATGCTATATGGAGAATGGGTTCGGTTGCTTGCTATGGACATTGGCTAATGGTTACGAACAGTCCCCCGAGATCCAGACCATGTACTCCCTGAACATGCCTGTCTCCGCTATCCGCACCAAGGTCCGTCAGGAATTCGAGAAGCACCGCTACGTCCAGCAGCTCAGCGCTGTTGATGTGCTTTTGTTCAAGAGCCATGCCGAGTTCCAGGTTAGCATCCGCTCCTCCCGAACTACACCCGGAGAAATGTCATTAACAACGTGTAGGAAACACTCAACTTCTGGAAGCAGCTGTCACACGTGATGAAGTACTTCCGGCCAGAGGAAAGCCCCGGTGCGCGGTTACCCCCCAACTTTGTGTCTGGGTTCTTGGAGGGCCGCAATTAGATTAGATTTCTTGATTGCGGTGAAGTTTGCATTGGGATTGTGTCATGGGTCGAGGGGTTATGTAAATATAGTCGGTTTAGTTCAGTTCGGTTTTTCATTCAAACAAACACGTCTATGTGATGATGCAAATCAAGTCATATCTACTAAAACAAACCGCTTATAACCAATCCCTTGGGAAACTTTTATAAACGAGAACGCCGGGAAAACAGTATTATTACAGAGAAGAAAGGAAGATCACGAGGTCATCTTGTCCGCTTCAGCGGCGTTAAAAGTGTCGCGCGACGTGGTGAACTTGTCCGTCACGACATCACAGAGATCCATGAGGTCGTCGAGACCCTTCTGGAGGGCATCAGTTGCGGTGGTTTCATCTATAATCCATTAGCTGAATTCGCACACTATGTATAGAGGGGGTAACCTACCAGTCGTCTGAATCCGCAGATTCATCTTCTGCTCCGAAGGATGGGGAATGGTGTAACCGCAGAATTCGACTTGGGGGCTATATAATGTCAATATCATATCCCCATATACTCAGCAAAGAAGGTAAGTGACGTACTTCTTCATAATCGAAAACCGCAACGCATTCCCCAATGTATGACCCTCGCCTTCAAACTGAAACGAAGCGGCTGTCTCGGTGGCGCCAGGGAGCTGTCTTCGTTAGAACCTCTCTTATTATATCTTCAAGTAAAGGAAACGAACAACGACTATGCGCTTCTCCTCCATCTCCAAAAGATCATCTTCCTCCTGGTATTGTTCCTGCTCCTGCGGGGCGGCGTCCATCATGGACTGGTCGTGGTCTTGGGAGTGCACGGAGGAGGGCATTTTGATTTATATTTGGTTGATTCGAATGCGACTGCGGATTCTTGGAGGTGTAGGTGTGGTGGGCGATGAATTTTTTGCGATGCGATCTTATCTCCGGCTGCGGCGGGCTCTTTCAATTTTCTGTGCTTGGGCGCGGCGAATATCTGCAATGGCCAGGCCGTTCAGGTCTGAGAGCTCCTCGATGCTGTTCTTTAATTAATATGCGTCGTAGATTTATTGAAGGACCTGGTCTGATACTATCGCGGTGATAAAATTTCCGGACGCAAAATGTTATCGATAGCAGACCGCCTTGCCTGAGGCACCTGCGGAGTAGTTAACTAGGATAACTGTTACAGAGTACTCTTTAAAGAAACGTTCACCATGCTAGCTGGGAAATTACTGGATATTATTAGAGTATGCAGTAATACTACTCTGTACTCCATCATCTTATCAATGAACGTTATCAAGGATAGCCTTGTTTCCGTGGAATTGCTTATTTGTTTGGTGAAAGTTTTCAGGGGACAACCCCTTACAGTTGTCAACTTGCTGCGTACCTACAGCACGAGGTGAATACTGTTGATACTACAGTTATGTACGGAGTACTCTGTACTTGTACGTACTACGTATGTACAGAATGATATCCTGATCTAAATATAACTAACCAAACTCCTGGAAAGCATGATTGCGATCGACCAGAAGGGTTAAACTATTGAAGCACTTGGACCAGCGGAGTCACACATGGGAGGCATTAACTGCTGGAGCGTGCATCGCAATGGGAAATCTGCTCATTTCAGGAAATTAAGAGCTGGTCATGACAGAGAGGGAAATGACAGAGGAGAACTAGATCCAATGGTTCGTACTGTCATAAATGAATCAGTCTCTACTCTCTACTCTCTACTCTCTACTCTCTACTCTCTACTTTCTACTCTCTACAGAGTACTCCGTACAGAGTTGGCGAATGGATACGGAGACAGACCATTGTCACAGCTGTAAAACCGTCCATGTCTCAGACAGACCCCCTCAGGCCAATCACCACGAATCTCTCCGCTTCAGTTCATATCCAGAGATCCTCTTTTTTGGTCTCCTTTCTGAGTCTCAACCCATAACTACGGAGTAGTAGTACTTGCACGGAGTACGGCATCTCATCTCTGTTAATTACTGACTGTGTTGCTCTGAACATCCTTACTTACTAATTAATTAACTTCCTTCACCCTCCTCCCACTCAGCCTCTCTTTTTACGGTGTTTCATTTCTTTTTCTCTTGTTTCATTTCTTTTCCTCTCTCTCTCTCTCTCTCTCTCTCTCTCTCTCTCTCTTTCTTTTCATTCCTTTTTCTCTTTCTTATTCTTTCTGCTTTCTCGTGTCCTCGTAACTGATCCGGTCCATTTCGCTCGCTTGCCGCTCTGGATCCTCCTCTTCCTTCTCCTTCCACTCCTCCCCCTCGTGCCCTGTCGGTTTCCGGTCTGTCGGTCGACCTCTCCTCGTTGTCACACTGCCGCCAGCCTTACTTCTAGCCGCCCGTGTGTGTTCTCTTTATTCGATCCGGATACACACGCTTAACAAGCATATTATTCCTCCCTCGCGTCCTCGTTCTTCTTCCTCTCCAATCAGTGCTCGTGTTGTTTCGCTGTGTTGGTGTTGTTGGGTGTTGCTCTCCCCCTCCACACCATCAACAAGCCTCACCCCGGCGTCTCAGAATTGGGAACAAAGAAAGGATATAACCGCCATATCCGCTCCTTGATACTCCGCGCGTCTCGATATCGATATCTCCTGGACCTAGACTCGACCGGACAATTTTCCAACACTTTTATTTCCTTTTTCTCCGGCCGACTTACAGCCCTCGTTGCATGCCCCCCCCCGTGAACGCCCCCCGAGGTACTGCACCGGTCTAGATTCGTACCTGTCACAAGAATTCTGTTCTTGTCTTTCTTATATATCCGTCGAGAACACGTTCAATTTTTCATCCTTCATCACACGTTTGTTATCTTCCCTACAACATGTCCACCGCTGTTGCGTCGGCCTCCGCGGCCTCGTTACCATCTCCGCATCAGAATCGGGACCCCAGTCCCAAGAGCTGTCCGACCCTGGCTCCCAACTCCCATCCTCAGCCATCGACTACTTCTCCTCGTGTGTCTATCTCTTCTCAAGATGGTTCCAAAATCTCACCATCAGAGAAGAAGCAAGTGTCTCCCTCGTCACAGAATGGAAAGAATGCCCCCAAAGTCACCGTCAAAAAGGAGCCCCCGTCGTCCCCAGCGATGCAGTCTCAGAGCACTCGACCCCGACCTCGCAAACTGGATCTGTCCAGCAGCCTGCCTACCTCTGGCGGGTTATCTGCTCGACCACCCGGAGGTCCCATGACTGCCCGGGAGGGAGTCAGTATGCAGCATGTAGGCATCGCTTGCTTGTCCCCAGGCTTCCAGACCCACGACCCGATCTTGCGGGAGCAGCTGCAGCGGAGTCTCTCTGTCCGTGATCAGCAGCGATCAATCATTGAATCCCGCCTCCACAGGACCGCCAAGGACGACGGATCCGATGGTCTCAAAACCTCCGATGCATTTGGGATCAAGGGCTCGAAGCGGAGGCCTCCGCCCGGCTTGTCCATCGTGCCTCCATCGGCAGCCCAATTTGCCAACGAGCGAGTGGTGCAGTCTGCGCCGCTGAACCAGACCTTTACCGGCCGACACCAACCTCAACCGCTGACCCGTCATATCGCCAACCAAAGTCCAACATTGGGTGCGACATCTCACGTCCACCATGTCCCCGCTACCCAAACCAACAACCGACTTCCTCCGCTGTCTGACGTCTTTGGGTCTGATGCCTTGGGATCGCGTGAGAGCCGTGCTGCGCCCGCTTATTACCAGGCTGCAGCGTCAGCCTCGACTTCGTCTCACTCCAACAACCTACCTCCCATGTCGTCCCCGGGTATCCCGGGCAGTGCCACGCAGGCTCGGTCTCGCGAGTACCGTTCGGCGGAGGAGGCAGTCCATGAACTCTCTGGTGGACGTGAAGACCTCCTTCCCCGTATCGTCCACTACTCCGGTCAACCCCAGGCTCGTTCCCCACCATCGAAGACAACTGCTCAAAACGGCGTAGCACCCGTCTCTGCTCACATCGCGCCGCCGCCACAACCCATGTTGCATCCAGAGGGAACGGCCCGCCGCCGTCCTCGCAGCGAATATGAACAAGACAACGGTAGCCCGCCGTTGGGCCATGGTCCAGACCACTATCGACCAAACCCAGCGATGGCACATGGTACTAATACCGCTTTCCACGGTCCATTTGGGGCTGGAAGAGACTCACCTGAGACACAGCGGCGCAAGAAGGAAGAATTCTTGAGCCTCTGTTCTCGGGCGTGGGATCTGTTTCACTCTTAAATTGGACTAAGTATATATGTTCTCTTGGATAAAAGCCGGAACAGGACTTGGACAAGTACCTGGGCTTGGTTCCTGCAAGTCATCCAGACACTGTATCTTTTGGTTATCAGAAAGCACCACGGTGCGGATCTGATATCCTGCATAAAAGAAAGCTGCAATAATTATGGACTCGAGGGTCTGCGAGTTGGATATGATATGAAAACTGAATGACCATTGATATGAACATGAACAAGCACATCTGAAACTGGAGGAATTTCAGTTGTCCTGTCTTTTGCGTTTATCATTTGTTTTTCTATGCACTGCATCTATACCATGCAAGTTGCCTCATCTATTTTTCACCTTTTTTTGGTCGTCTTCAGGCGTTTTGGTTTTCTATTTTGATTGTTGTCATTTGAGATTCATGTTCGTCATCCATTTGCCTTCTTGACCATTGGCGTTTTTTCCTTGGTTCAACGTTCTACTGCCATATACCATCAATATCTTCTTGTTTCATTTTTTGGTCTATAAAATTGCGCACTTTTGGACCGAGTACTATACGCCTTTTTAATTTCTCTTCGAACTGCATAATTGCCCTAGCGCCTTTTGGGATGTTTTCGGAAGGAGGATTGTATGAAGGGTCTTATATACGAAATGGATATCTCAACTTTTTTAAACATACACTTCAACATGTATAACGAAGCAAAGCCATCTATGCAGCACGCTTCCGCTTCATTGCACCACCCTGCCTAGATGGAGGAGGATCACCCTCAAACCCTCTCCGTTCCATAGGCATCTCCTTGATCTCCTTCGAAGCCACCTTCTTCCTTCTCCTCTCCAACGCCTTCGTCCGATCCTTCGAGTTCATCTCATTATACTTCCGCATAATTACCTCCTTCTTCAGTTCCGACTTCTTCATATAGTACGGGTTACTCTTCTTTCCCTCCTTAATCAACTCTTTCTCCTTCCTCTTATGATCCGCCAGAACCTTCTGCTCGCGCTTCCGGTTCTCACTCTCCCTTAACCTATCCGTCGCAGACCGCACCTGGTTCTTCAACCTCTCCTTCTGGAACGGATCCTTTGTCTTGGCCATTTGCTCCTTCAAGTCCTTGAGTTCCTTGGCGCGGTAGTCGTTTAGGAATCCGTAAGCTTTTTCGGAGGAGTCGATGGACATGTGCGTGTTCTTGCCGACGACTGTGGGGTCGAAGCGTGGATCGCGGGAGCGGGCTGTGGCGGGGGGCTCGATGATGGTGCGTCTTCGGGTGACGGCGCGTTTGGTGGATTGGACCATGGGGGCGTGTTTGGAGGAGCGCTTTTCGAGATCTTTCTTTGACGAGTTTGAGGACGAGGAGGATTGTTTTTGTTCGCGGGTTTCGCGGATGCGTGCGCGGATGTCGTCGAGGGGGTTGACGGGTTGGGTGTCTGCGTCTTCTGTGGTTGAGGACTTTGCGCGCTTGGTTTTTCGGGGGCCCATGGAGGATTGGGCTTTTGCGAGGGCGCCGAAGGAGATGTTGTTTAGGGAGGATTGGATGTCTTCTTGGTCGTCTTCCTCATCTTCATCGTCGTCGTCGTCGTCGTCGTCGTCGTCGTCGTCCATCTGATCTAGTTAGATCTTGTTATTCACAAATAGGCGCACAGGACTAACCACTTCATCTCCTGAACCCTCGTCATCTTGCTCTTCACCCGACTGATCTGAGCCTTCGTCCTGCTCTTGCTCTGACCCAGAACCCTGCGAGTAGACCTCCTCGTCATCGTCATCGTCAGGCTTCGCTCGCACGCGGCGATTGAGAAGATCAGAAATCGCCATTTTCTTTTCTTCTTTCTCTCTTCAATGATTAGATGCTGAAAATGAAGGTCAATGGCGGCGGTAAAGTCGGAGGAAAAAATAATACTGCCAATATTAAAGGCGGTAAATCCTTATCAGAAACTCTTATTGGTGAATCGCCGATCAGTCGCATATTTTCTCTCCAGATTGATAGACGTCGCCTCCGAATGTTGGTCAATTCACCATTTCCTAGCGTTCCTTCGTTTTTCGTCTGTTCGTTATTCACTTGTTTAGAATTTAATACCCACGACTCCAGGGCTTAAGTCCCATCCGTTCCTTCTATTTTCGCCCAATATTCGACACTTGTATTCGAGCCGGATGCTCCAGCGCGGGGCGTTTAAGGTACGACTAAGCACTGCATATTAGTCGCAATTCAAATAACTAATAAGACCTACAGCATATAGCGAAATTGACCTTGGATACGCGCTTAACTCTACCGACAAAACCATTATTTTCTCAGACGGAGAGCGCCAGGATCGCTTGCGACAGACAGATGAATCCCCCGAATACAGGTCGGGGGAGGGCGTTGAGATCGCATACTCGACCGGGTGGTGGACAGGATAATGGTCATGGCAGTGGAAATGGTGGTTCTGGGCGCGGCAGGGGCTCCTCGAGAGGATATCGCCCTCGTAGGGGGAGAGGGGGAGGGCAGAATTCAAGGAGGGGAGACGCTATGAATGCGGAGGGAAATGCTGGACTTGCTTCTGATAACTGGCGAAGGCAAAGTCAGCCGCGAAATAATGCGAACCAAGGTTGGGGGCAGGCACAGGCAAACGGGAGTGAGGCTACAACTCTAGGCGCATTTACGGGGATGCCTACGAATGAACAGTTTATGCCGCCGTTTACACCGTTTACTTTATTACCGGGGATGGACCAGTGGAATCCTATGAACATGCCCTTCCTACCACCACATCTCATGATGAATCCTAACATCCCGAACCCGATGACGATGCCGCCAATGTTTAATCCTACGATGCCGTTGTTCAATCCTTTCGACCCTATGAACCAGGTACCTGCGTCGGGAGGGTTTCCAGATACTGTGCCTGCACAAAGACAAAAGTCGCCCACTCCTGCACCACCAGAGGCAGCGGAGCTTTATCTACAGCAAGCATCCCTACCGCCGACACCTCTACCATCAAAATCAAACCCTCAGCCCCTCCTCATCATCCTCGACCTCAATGGAACCCTCATCTACCGCAAACATCGCAAGTTCCCGCCCTCATTCGTCAAACGCGCAGGCCTGGATAACTTCCTCGACATGCTCATGCGGAAACACAAAGTCATGATCTGGTCCAGCTCGCAGCCGCAAACGGTCAAAGCAGTCTGCGAAAAACTACTCACCGACGGACAGCGAAAGCGACTCGTCGCGGAATGGGGACGCGATAAATTCAATCTCTCCAAATCGCAATATAAAAACAAGGTGCAGGTGTACAAGACCCTTGAAACCGTCTGGGCAAATGAGTCTATCCAATCTTCTTACCCAGGCAAAGCGGGCAAAGCAGGGAAACGGTGGGACCAGACAAACACGATCCTCATCGACGATAGTAAACTCAAAGCGCTCAGCGAACCGTACAATATCCTCGAGATCCCAGAATTTACGAACACACCTGTCCCCGGCGTCGACGAGACAGCAATCTTCCCAAAGGTACTCGCTCGCCTCGAGACGTTAGCCAAACACGATGACGTGAGCAATATGATGCGCGTTTGGAATGATCAGGGACAGGGTGTCCTTGATTTCGAGCTCGAAGAAGATGTATACAGCCCTAGAAGTACCGTTTCAACTACGACTACCTCTTCGACTTCCGATGGCACATCAACGCCCCTCGACCCAGTCGAAGCCCGCAAAGAAAAACGGAAAGCTCGCAAATGGGAGCGAAAAGCTGCAAGACGCGCTGCATCGGTGAACTCAAGAAGTCATACTAGTACTCCTACAAATGCGCTGAACACACCTGCATCTGCCTCTGCAACACAGGCTGAACGCTCACCATCTCCTGTTTCTGTCTCTGGTGGGTCTGTTCAGTCGGAGAATCATCTTTTGGATAAGTTGGAGGAATCTTTGAATGTTTAGGGAACATATTTTTGGACGCACATTGCTCATGGTGTATATTATTTATTACGTCGCATCTAATGATTACTTGGATATCCAACCACCACAATCCGCCACAAAAGCCTCAACCCAAATCACCTCAAACAAACCTACATAACCCCCGGCATCCCCCTCTTAACCCCGGGCTCACCCAACCCAGGAACCAAAAGTGGCCTCTGCCTCTCCATTCCACTCCTAAAAATCGGAAAGAACCTCGCAACCCCACTACTCGGCCCATACGCCTCCTCAATCAGATACACAGTCACACGCCACCACGCCAGAATCGCACTGAAAATCCAGAAATACGCGGCGGCTTTCATGCCCGTGTGCACGGAGGTGCCGTAGGCGAAGAGGCAGCAGGCGATTGTGGAACCGATGGCGAGGAAGACTAGGACTAGGCAGAGGATTATGTCGCGGGCTGTTGCTGCGATTGCCTGGTTTACCACTGTGTTAGTGGTTGGGATTGGTGGTTGAGGAGGGACGTACGCCAGACCAGGTGAAGAAGGTTAGAATGATGAACCATGATGCTAGTTCGGGGAAATGCTCATCAATGGGGTGTGGTGGAAGTACACGGGTTGCCTTCACATCACACATTAGCCCTAGTTCCAATACCGCATACTTAACCACCAAGAACCAGGGGAAGAAAGACGTACAACCAACAAATAAAGCAACCCAATACTCATCCAAAAACTCCCCCAAAGCGCATGAATAACCGTAACCAGCGTATCCCTCGCCGCATACCCAAAAAACGCAGCCACAAACTGCCCCAGCCCACCCCAAAACGCAACAAACGGGAAGAATATCAACGGCGAATCTTCGTTGCCCCACCAGCGTGCTATGTAGGTTGCTGTGATGAAGGTTGAGCCGGCGAAGCCGGCAAGGCCTAGGGCCGCGGGGGGTGCGATTGGGCGGAGGAAGATTGTGACGTGGGGTTCGCGGGCGAGGGTGTCTTGGATTTTTTGGGATTCGGAGGTGTCGAGGGACATTTTGGTGTCGATTGGTGATATTAGGGATTAGGGATTAGGGGTGTAGTATTATTGCTAGGGTATATGGTTGGTGTAGAGAAGCATGGTTGCTATTGCTCAGGATAAGGGTATCCTTGTTATATATTCTATGGATATAGAGTTTTGACATAAGACTCGTTTTTGACGTCAAACTTCCATAAGGTTATGTGAAGTTACATATATACTCTTGATCCGCAGCATCCGCGCCAAGAAACAAGGTCGTGCACCAGGGCAATTGAGTTTGAATCACAATTGCCTGGCCAAGGAACAATCAATCCTACACAGCGGAGTCATGCTCTACAGGCAGCCTAGAACAGCCATTGTGGCTGACAATGCGAGATCATAATTGTTTGGTTCGAAACCTTCATTCATTCAGCATCATAGCGTGAGACATCAACGCGTGACATTTTCTATGCTCTCAACGAGAAAACACATCAAGACGTTTCATCGTGGACAGCGTAAACCAGGACGCAGTGGGATAAGGCGGGATGACGTAGAGAACCTGACCAACTGACCCTGTAGGACTTTTTGTATCTCAAAACTGGCCTCCACGGGTATAATAATCATCATCGCAAAGATATGTTGAGGCCGAAGTCATCATCGATAAGTCAAACAAGAGAAATGCTACGTCTTAGTGCATTCCTCTATTTGAGGACGTGACCGTCAACCCAGGGGTACTCCTTGCCTTCGACGACAACAGGGACGTCCCAGGCCCACAAGTCCTCAACGGCCTTGCGGTCCTCCTCCTTGGTGTGGTCGAGCTTGGTGAAAGCGTAGCTCTCATAGTCGGGACCAACTTCGAAAGCGGGGGCCCACTCCTGGCCACGGATAAGGTAGACACCGCTGATGAGGCAGTCATAGTTGGTACCGTACACGGACTGAGCACCGAAAATGTACTTGCGGGAGGCCTCAAGACGAGTCTGGGTACCACCTGTAAGAACAGTTAGATAGGTTCAAAATGAAGGTTCAAAAAGCGGGTACGTACCAATCAGGTTGTTGGCCATGAAGGTAAGCTTGAGCTCGCTGTTGTACTTGTAGTCAACCTTGTACAGAGAGAACTCCTCAGGGTTGTAGTTCTGCCAGAACCAAGGGAGAACGGTGGGACGGGTGTCCTCGTTGGAGTAGAAACGCTTGAAGTCCTCAAGGTTGATGGAAGAAGCGTTGCCAAGAGCAGCAAGAGGGTGCTTGGGCTTCTCAGCAGGCTTCTCCTCAGCAGCGGGGGCGGGGGCGGGAGCAGCCTTGGGGGCAGCCTTGGGCTTCTCCTCCTTCTTGGGGGGAGTGTACTTGATGCACTCCTCAGCGAAGACAGGGTTGGGGACGACAGCCTTGAAGACGGGCTGGTCGATGATAGTGTTGTACCACCGGGAGACGGCGGGGTTCTTGGAGCGCCATTCCTTGTCAAGGACAGTAGCGAAAGCGCGGGTGAGGAGAGAGGCGGCGAAAAGATCAGCCAGGGTGACACGCTCGCCAACGAGGTAGGTGTTGGCAGTGAGGTGAGACTCGAGGACACCGGTGGCCTTCAGAGCAGCCTTGGCAGCCTCGTCGACGGTCTTCTTGTTGTAGCCGTCGAGGCCAAGGAGAGGACGGTACCAACCACCGAAGCGGGGCAGAACCTCAGCGTTGATGAAGGACAACCAGCGGAGGATGGAAGCGTAGTCCTGCTTGGTCTTACCCAAGAGGGTGGTCTTCTCGTTCTGGGAGGTCACTTTAAGGTAAAGTCAGCTTCGAGCTTCTCAAATCACGCAATGTGCAAACAATGCCAGAAGAAAAAAAAAATCCCCCTGAAAGCGGGGTAGTAAAAAGTTTCAGAAGTGAGTTCTCAACATAGTTATTTGTTATTCTGCCAGGGATAACTAGTAAAATAAAACATTCATCATATAAAGGAGGCAAGCATTTCAACAGAGCAAGAAATTTCTTCAAATACATACCGTAGACAACCAGAGCAATGACCTCGGACAGAACGAAGCCATTGGCACCCTCGAAAGCAGGGATCTTGCCGAGAGGGTTGACCTTGGTGTACTCAGCAGACTGGTTGAAAGCAGCAGCCGAGTTGGCCTCAGTCTTGACCAGCTCGATCTCCAAGTCGTTACTCTTAGCAGCGACTTGGACGGCGATGGTACGGCCGTTTTCCTATGCATGAAGCGGGTTAGTGTGATCCATAGTGATATAGAGGAATAAAGCAGAGAGGAAAGCACATACAGGAGTACCGTAAAGCTTTCCGAAAGACATTTTGAAAGATTTTGTTGGGAGAGAAAAGGAAGAGAAAGAGGGACGAAGCTGTCAGAGGGGTTGAATTTTGTGATTCAGATGGGGCCCGGCGCCGGCGGAATGTTTGGCCGCGCACGTGAGCGGTATTCGAAAAACCTCTGGATGGATTAATGTTTGCTTGCCGGAGTCGCCAGTCAAGCCGTGGTATACGTCTTCCCCCAGGGCCCTTGTCCTTATTATTATCGCATCCCGCTGCTTCTGTCAGCCTGAATTCGTTCAGTATGGCTTGGCAGAGGCCCAGTTGTATCGTTCAGGCGATGCAATCGCTTCGACTGCAACCTCTCCGGTCCTCCGCATCCCCTCTTTCTCCGACTCCCACACAGTTCCTCTTGCGGTCCCAGAAGGCCAATGCTCGCGGCTATGCGACAGAGACATCGTCCGATTCCTCAGTACAGGTGGTGCCCGATGCTGCACCAGCAGCACCCGCAATCGACTTCGACCAATTCCCGTACCGACCTGCCCGAATTGTTCCCGCGTCTCCCTCATACTTCTCTGGAAGCCCCAAATTCATCGATCACCTGTTGAGATTGGAGAACCTGCTGGCCGAGAACGAACGTCTGCCGAAAACATCGCCGATGCACGTCCCGCGAAAGGCCTGGCTCAAATTGGCCCAGTTCCGCGACTTTGTCGGCGAGCCTGTGCCAACGAAGAAATACAAGAGCCTGATCAAGATCCTCCAGCGAATCAACCGGATCAGACCGGAGATCATTCCTGATTATGCGAACAATATCATCAAAGAATACGTCCGTCCCGGAAACCCGTACGGAGTCAAGCCGGCACCCCCAACGTTGGATGAAATGGGTCGGGCCCGTGGTCGTGGGAAGCGAAAGACTTCGTCCGCCGTCGTTTATTTGGTCGAAGGTGAAGGTGAGGTGCTTGTGAACGGGAAGACTCTGTCGGAGGCATTCCCGCGCGAGCATGACCGGGAAAGTGTGGTGTGGCCGTTGAGCTCCACCGAGAGACTGGACAAGTATAACGTGTGGGCTACTGCCAAGGGAGGCGGTACGACTGGACAAGCGGAGTCCATTACATTGGCCCTTGCTCGGGCATTGCTGGTTCATGAGCCTGGTCTGAAGCAAGCTCTGCGGAAGGGTATGTTCTTCCCTTTGTATATGAAGTTGCCATCAACTAACTCGATCACACAGCTGGTACGGTTACCGTCGACGCTCGTCGTGTGGAGAGGAAGAAGCCTGGTCATGTCAAGGCCCGCAAGAAGCCCGCCTGGGTCAAGCGGTAAAGACATACGAATATCTTTTTATGCCGTTTCTTTTCTTCCTTGCTGTACTATTATCCCGCGTTTTCGACGAAAGTATATCCTGTATTCAAAAAGCATCCCGGACTTTGTTCTGGGACTCGCATGTTCTATGGTAAGAGCAATGTAACTATGGCGTTGGTTTATGATTTGGATTATCTGTACGTGTGATGGTGAAATACAAAATCTTCAACAACTAAGGGCCACAGGGGATTTCCCAAATCAAGGTATACATTCGAGGATCGAAGGGGTGCCATGTGCACAATCAAGCTGCCTTGTCTATGGTTCCATAAAACAACACTCCAGGAGATTCAATCAAATCCCTCAAGACTCGGCCATACATAGACATACATTCATGCAATTCATAGCACAAGAACAGGCGAGATCCACTGATAATCATTAGCATTAAATGAGCAAGCATCCATTGTAAAGTCATTCTACTGAATAGTCACAATATATGCACTGTCCATCAAACTATCATCCGCATGTACTCTACATGACGCAACGCACAAGGCATTCGCCATTCCTGGATTAAACAACGAAGGTGGCGATACTCAGCGTCGTCACCTCCAATCAATTTGCAATCGGTCGTTCGAGGCTCGCAGTTGCATCCTTGTGAGGAAGTAGTATTACAATGATGCAAAGGATGAACAATGCAGCGGCACGAGGACAGACTCCATCTCCCACTCGGCAACCTCCGTACTGTGTATTAAGCTGCATATAAGTGGATAGTTTAACTAAACTAGGCTGGAGGATCGATAAATGGATGCCCTAGGCTCTACCCGGCGATGTACTTTTGCATCTGCTCCTGCTTCTCATCTAAATTGCAGATCTGGAGAACTGGGAACTCAATGCCAGCCGTGCGGTCCCTGCATGGCATAGCCAAATAAAATTTCCGCATACTTGGCCTCGGCCGTGGCCGTGAAGATTATTGATTTAGCATGGCCTGGCCTGGCCTGGTCTGGTCTGACGATGTACTCTAGTGTGAGGTCTGCTGCCCGGTAGATCCCGATGGCTCGTTGCTAAAGTACGAGGGCTTTTCTGTAAGTATGGAGTACAAGTCGGTTTTGGAGTAGACGTGCCCCAATGGTTCGCTGCAAGAGCGAACTGTGCACTGCACTGCATGCACCACGGTCGAGGATCTACAGCATGAGCCACTGCTGACAGATACCTTTCCCCAAATGGGAAGCAAAGCGACCACAATGACAAAAACCGGGTCGTACAAAGCCCGAGCTGAGAATCCGGAGGAAAGCTGTCATCGTATCATTGGCTCAGGGGTCTGGTTTTGAGGCTATTTCTATTCGTCCATACAGAGTGGGATATGTATTCGGGATTCGATCTGGACTGCCTTTTTGAGCATGACATGGCATGGTGACATGAGTCGTTGTCAGCAATTGCCCTTTTCGAATTAGTATTATGTCCTCTTTAGACTGCAACGGACGAGACAAAGCGACGTTTAGGCCTTTCCTTTTTTGGGTTGGTCTAAGCATAACACCATGTCGCGGGCCGTCATTGTCTCCCATGAAGGCTACCAGGATGGTTAAACGTGGTACCGGTAGCAGCAATGAGGATCAGAGTACATGTGTGGCTATCAGCATGACTAGCATTGACTTAGCGCGCTAGGCCCCAATAAGGAAATGTAATAGTCGCTGTATTGTGTACGATGTATGCGTACAAAATAGTACCCATACTGACAGAGCATGTCTGGACCCTTAGCGGCGGAGTGCCTGACGAAGATCACAAACCATACTGCGTATAGGAGGAGTCTAATACGGCTGACACCATGAGAACCAATTCCGGGTCAATTATGCATGAACAGGATTCATTCGTGGATATGAGGAAATTTCCGCTGATCGTACTCCGTACGTTACAGCGGTACGAAGGAGATTCCCCAATCGGTAATAATTCGCTTCTCCGGGGTGAGCCCAACGAGCCGGAAAATCTCCTCCATACGGGAGGGGGGAATAAGACAAACGAATAGATCGGGGTTTGTAATGCTCTATATTCTGTATCGACCCCAGAAAAACAGCAATCAGATCGGTTCCGGGTCTCCGATTGAGACATGCGATTGATGCAAGAGAACGCTGGATTTCCTTCCTCTGCGCGCGCTTGTTCCAGAGATCGCTTCCTTCTGTCTACATCCGTATGTAATGATCCGCTGTCAGGATCACGAATACCGAAAGTACTATGATTGTTACTCTGGCCAAGGCTGTCCAATATGGTGGCAGACAGTATTATTGAGATCATGAATCCAGCTGTGGGGAATCACGAATCGCATTGGGGAGCGTACGTGGCGTCTGGAGAAGGATTTGTATTTTGTGATCTATTTCAAGATGGTATTGGCGATGATCCTGATATTCTGCTAGCGGCCCTTTTTTTTTTTTTTTTCCCTCTTTTGGCGGCCTTTCTCTGCTGCGGTCACGTTGTCAGGGGAGTAGTCCGGATACGTTCTGTATACTCTGCCCGGTGTGATTGTAGTCAACAATCACTGTGCGATAATAATTCTCCTGTTGGACCGCCAATGTCAATGTTTTCTTTTCCCGCCTCAATTTCATGCTCCCGCATGCGCCATGCCCACAACACCCACGCACCATCAGGTACTAGTTTGAAGTCTAGCATGTATATACACCGGGCACCAACGGGATGGTTTTCGGGCACAATTTGGAATCAACGCAACAAATTTCCGTATCACTGTTTTCTCTTTTTGTTTTTAAAAGTCCCAACAATTGGAATTAACTTCTCGGGAACCCACACAAGACTGACCGGTCCACCGGGTTCCTGAGCAAAGACCCAGCGTTCAATCAATGTCATTAAAACAGCTGTATGGAGACGGATTGGGAGAGGATAGACAGGTGGAGGGTTCAGCGGCATCCACTTGGTTTCTCTGGGGATCACGATCCGGAAGTTTAAGCGGATCCAATCCCAGCAGCTATCCAGGTGTCAGTCAGGTAAAACAGCAAACCCTAGTGACGGGTCACCCTTGACAATAGTATCGTTTATCGTCATTCGTTCGTTTCATTCGTTGTCTGCTGTCCGCCTGTCTGCTTGCTGTCTCTCGCCGTGTACCACTTTGGGGTCCCTGGGAGGCTATCATCTATGGATTTCCATAGGTTCAAAAAAAAAATAGTACACCAACAATCAATCAGACGGAAAAGCACGAGTTATGTTGTTGTCTGTCTCTCACAGCAGTTAGATGGGCGTTTAATTTCCTGCTTGCGATTCTTCAGTCAGAATGGATCAATCAAAAGCACCCAGTGGCCCCGAGAAGTAAGAGACACAGGGAAGAAAAAGAAAACCTACAGGAAGATCGAACGAGGGGCACCTTTCTCTGTCCCTCTTTCTGTGTGTGCTTTCCCTCTTTCACTAAAAAAAAAAATCAAATCAAATAAAAAAAAAAAGGATCTAAATAGATTGACATTTTTCTGTCATTTCTTCCTTTTTTTTATTTATTTATTATTTTTTTATGGCAAACTATTTTCTTTTTCTCTCGCTTTGTCCCGTTTGGTGTGTTTCTGCTGCTGTCTGTAAGCATAAAAAGCACACAGCAACATCCACTGAAGATGATGCTTCAGCCTCTTCATTGTTCCTTCTCTTTAGTCTTTGCCTGTGATTGATTGATTCGGGATCTGCTTTGCTACCCCCCTTGGAGCTGTTGAGATAGAGTTCTCCACGGCGCTTCTTCTGTCATCCATCCGTTCCGGTTCGGCTGAAGTATATATATATATACTGCTGTCCTCCCCGCGTTCTGACAGCATCTTCCAAGGCTCATTTTTATGAGACATTTCCTGGAGTATACTTAAGACTCGCTTCTTCTCTCTTTTGTGCTCCTTATCTTGGTGGCATTCGTTCACTTTCTGCTCTTCTCGTCGCTCTGAAGTACATCTCACTCGTCCGCCGCTTCGGTATCTCAAGGTTCGCAAGAACATCTTTCTTTTCATCTCATATTGCTTTTTCCTGCATCGTATCACTGTGCTGACATATGTGATTTATACCAGACGTGAGATTGTCGTGGACATTTATATCAGCTCATCCTCGAGTCACTCGCGCACGAGGGTTGTCAGTTGCGATATCAACCGGAGAAACAAAAAGCTCAAAATTCCTGAAATCAAGAAAAAAGCGTCAGCACAAAATAACCGACAAACTGGAATCCTACGCAAGTCCTCCAATCTCCCCTCAGTCGCTTTGGCCTGTCGACTTTGATCCCATACTCAAGGGCTCAACTTTTTTCTGGGACGGGTCGAGTGGCATGGATGGCGACGGCCAGAACTTCAGGAATCATGACCAACCCATTTATCCATCGAGATTTAGAATGGGCCGGCGCGCAGTTTCCAGACAGCCTAATGGTGGTGCTACGGATCGTTTCAGACAGACTGGTGCTCTACCCTCAGCAGCACGTGGTGATGCTACCATGCTGTCGCAAGCAACGGGGAGCGTTCAGATGCCATCTTCGTACGTGGACTATGGATACACAGACACGTCTTTCCCGGGAGGCACACAGCTGCAACCATACCCTCAAGGCCAGAACTCGCAACAGCAGCAACAACAACAACAACAACAACAACAACAACCGACCTTTAGCGACTACGAGCAAGAGGTAGTCTATAGCATACAACAGCAGGGTCCACCACACGACTCTTTCTCGATCGTTCCACAGTATCCCGCACGACAGCCCGCCGCAACGATCGAAGCGTTATCGAGCCAATTTGCCGTTCCACAGTACTTTCCGGCCGGGGAACCGACGGAAACCGGTGTTGGTGGTCTGCTTTCGCCTTACTTGAATACACGATTCCCTCCTGCTACTTACCCTCCACCAGGTCCCGCTGGACACGCGAGCGCATCGGCGCAGCTCTTTTGCACAACTATGGCGGATTTAACGAATCCTTTGGGGGCAGCAGCAGGGCAGCAGCAGCAACCGCCACCACAACAACAACCGCAACAGACACAACAAGCACAGGCGCAGCCACAGCAATCAGCCGCAAATCCAGCGACAGCGATAGCACATTTGGAGGACGTTTATTCGCAGTACCAACGAGCCATACGAGTCACGCTGGACCACAGTCGCGCGGGAAGCCTGGTGGAAGCTGGTCAATCAATCTTGGAAATCTCCGAGTGGGTTTTAACTAATGCGGAACAGCTCGGTATGTTTTCTTTTTTGTATTTGTCTTTTTTTCTGCACCGGTGCTTTTCGCCTTCTTTCATCGAAACAATCCGTCCTTTGTCCCTACAATAGGTCGAGGTACGTTCGTATACGTATATGCGGGGATCTGCTGCATATATTGTTCGCGTACTAAAACCGGTGATCCATGTCGATTCATATCATTCTCCTGAAAATCAGCCTGTCAGAGTGGAGAAAAAGTCCCAAACAAAGAGCATGATTGCTGACTCGTGCCGTTCTGATTTACCAGGAATCTTCCGTGACGATGTTCAAATATACCCGTATCAAATGCGCCTCTGGAACGACTTCAACATCTGCTGGTTATCCGTTTGCCAGATGCAAAAGGACCTGACTCAGGAAATTATACAAAGCGGCCAACAGCGGCCCCATGTCAGTCTCATTAGCGCGGAGTATCTGGACCATATGGGGAAGCAACTGATCCGCCTCTGCGACCAAGTGGAGGAGCATGGGTTAGTGGATTACCAGATTGGGTTTTGGGAGGAGGAAATCCTCAGTAGTACGTCTTTACTTTGTCGGAAATGCGACATTACATGGCAGGAAATATATACTGACTTGGTTCTCTAGCTTTGTCCCAATGTCTCGATCTCATGGAAATCAGACCGGAGATTTTGCGCACTCGTCCGATGGCACCTCCTGTGACAGTGGTATCGCGATCGTGATATTTCGCTTGGATTTCTCCGACGAAGTACTTTTGTCTTCCTCGGTAGCCAATCAACCTGCGACCAAAGCCGAATGGGGACTGGAAGCTGCCGCTGGAATATCACATGCTTACCGGAGCCCTTGTCGATCAGCCGTACTACGATGACGATGATGACCGAGAAACAGAATGATCTCAGCTCCGTGGCAACCCTAGCCAACATCAGAGACAAGAAAGTCTTAGGGCTGTTGCCTCGAGATGAAGAAAACAACAGAATCATCGTCTCGACATCGTTTTGATTGACGTTTGATATCCCGACCGAACCCGGATGTTTTCTTTTTCTCCCAACAAAGACTCGGTTTTGCATAGAACGTGGTAACGTGGAGGGTGGCGCAGCACAGCGTTGGTCCACCACGATATAACCAGAATTACGGATACGCGAACACGGGACGATGACGATCTTTCGACTCGTCGATTTCACTACTGACAAACCGATCATGACTGATTCTGACTATTGTAGCCATGTTTGGATGCGTGCATGCATGGAAGGAAAGGGGAAGGGCAGACGGCAAGCCCGTCTAAAAATTGAGATTGGTGTCCTTGGCGTTGGTACTGATTGACAATTTGCATTGGATTTTGGATATAGCGGGTGTTGCAGATTTTTTTTTTTGGGTTTATTATATGATATTTGGAGTTTGGGAGGGCATTTTTGTGTCTTATCTTTTGGTTTTGTTAATAATTAATGAGATACCCATTGCCATTTTTTGGATTGACCATTGCCAATAACCCTAGTTCACGACACTCACTATCCGAAAGACTTAAGCAAACAAGCTGCTTGAATATTTCTTCCATTACCCTTGTTCATTCTGATAGTCACTAGAAAGAGTAGCAGCCCACAAATACATGCATCATGTGATTAAGCAAATATGGCGGGATTGGTCTTGGTCAGTCGTCGATGATGGCCCCTGGCTAGCCATACAGTCGAGTAAGTGCCATAACCCAACTTCTCGGATGTGTCATGGTAGATGTCGCCTAGTTTAACGGGATGATGCCTTCTACGGGGGTTTCATATCATGGATGTGTGATAACGGTGAGTTGGGATTGCTTGTTGTACCCCCAAAAAACTCAAGAGGCCGCCATAACTCCAAGTATGCAACAATCACCCCGACCGCTGAACATCGTCCTCTGAGACTGGGATATCGCTGGCTGGATGCACAAGCACCTAACCGACCACATGCAGTCGATCCTCCTGCGCGTACCCGAATGTCTCCTCCGCGGATCCTGGGGCACAGCACGTCTGTAGATATCCGGCTGGGCGCGAGTTGAGGTCTTCGATGCGGTGAGGTTGTTTGATGGTCGGGCACCAGGCTGGTGGCGTGTATTGGGTGAGGCATTGTTTGGAGGGATGGGTAGGTTATTTGGGCCGTTTTCTAAGATGTTCCTGGGGACGTGTGATTCAGAGGTTGTGAAGAGTATTTTGATGAGGGATCGGTTTCGATCCCTAGGACGGAGGCTAATTCAGATGATTTGGAGAGGCGCTTTTCATATATGAAGATTAACCCTGAGCAGCAGAAGACTGCTAAGGAGCTGTTGAGGAACTTCGTCTTGACTAGCATGGACGATGTATCAAGTCTAGAAGTCGGTTATATGGTCTATTATGCTGTAGCACCGTAGCAAATCCGAAAGAATATAAACAGCATTTTTAACTTTCATTCGCATCCAAAACACCCACTCCAGACTCCGAGAATCGTGTATCAGGTTCATAACCGCCGTAGCATATGGTCTTGTTTATCAGATGTTGGTCGTTTAAGATACAAGGGGTCATCACGGATCATTATCATGTCAGAACCAGAAATATGCACAAAGAATATGGCAACCAAGACAACATTAAATGCCATGCTTAAATATAGTCTGCAATAAATCAGCATCATTCTACACACATACACACACTTTTGGATGTGAAGGGGGATGGTGGGACATACTCAACGTCATGCTCATGCTCACATCTGTATTCTCAACCATCTCCATAAACTCTTCGAAACTAATCTTGCCGTCGCGGTCCTTGTCCGCCTCCATAATTGTCTTATCCACAATCTGCTGCAGCTGGTCGTTCTTCAGGTTCGTGCCGACCATCATCTTCAATACGATAAATAGCTCGCCGTTGGAGATGTAACCGTCTCGGTCGACGTCGTAGACTTTGAATGCGAAGCGGAGCTTTTCTTCTTTGTTGCCCTTGGAGCTGAAGGCTGATAGGCCGGAGACGAATTCTTGGAAGTCGACGTCGCCACCGCCGTCTTCGTCGAAGATTGCGATCATTCTGTCCGTGTTGTGAGCTACCGCTTCCGGAACTGTATTATGACGGCACGTACCTCGTTGCGAGCGGGTTCGAGGACACCTGAGGAAGGGAAAGGAATTCATCTCGATCGATGGCACCGGAGCTATCCTGTAGAACAAACAGTTCAGCGGGGTTGAGGGGCAAATGGCCTTATCGCGAGTCAACGGACCTTGTCGAGTTTCATAAACCGCTTGCGAAGTCTCTCCACCTCATCTCTGTCGACTGTACCGAGTTAGTTGTGACCATTGTTTCAAAGCGATAGATAGGAATGCGAACAGTTGGAGGCTGATACGATGGTATCAAAGAGCTGGGATGTGCCGACGGAGCCGCGTCGCCTTCGCGCATCGTACATGGCGGCATTATTGGGAGAGGGATCCATGGTGATATATAAGAATGCAAGCAAGTAGAGAAAAGAAAGGAGTATGAATGGGTATCTGGAATGTATGGTAGGTATCAACAACGTAGGTTAAGGCGAAGTCTGCCAAGGAATGCCAAGACGCTAATCCCCCCTCGTCCGTAGCGAGGGGGCAAAGAAGAGTCCCACACCGTGTTCACAGCGCAGCGCTGACACATCCGCGTACTGAATTAATCAAAATCCTCACCAAACCGCCTGTTTTGCTACGAGACTTCAGCCATCAATATCTCCCACCACCTATCCTTTTTCATCAAAAAAATACCACTACGCGATTTCGCATGATCTGGGCTATTGATTAATACGAATTTCGGGACCTCTCGGCCCATGGCCATCGCTCTACTGACGCGCTAAAAATACGCATGACTAGAGACGGCCGTAATGGGCAGAACGCGACCCAAGAAGCTCACGCCAAAGGCTTCGATCCCCATTGTCGGCGAGACTGAAATTGATATCATCGATGATGAGGTCCAGAGCACTCTACAACAGATTGAAACTGGTGTTGAGAAGGCGGAGGAGTCGGTGAGTGCGGTTGCCCCGGCTAATTTTGGCCCACCCCTGTACAACATCACGTGATGACATCACCAACTTTCAACCCTCAGTTGCTGATGCCATTTTTTGATAGGAATTCCATCTGCAAGCTGCAATCAATGCAACCGCCCAGGGAAAAGTAAACGAGGCGCATATCCCCACGCCCGAAACCATCCTCAGTAATGTTCGATATGACGCCCTCTATCCCCCGGTCTTCTCGCAGCCAGCGACGTACATCCGCTTCTCGTCGACGGTCGAGGATTGTTGCGGATGTCCGTATAACATGACTGAGGAGGATGATTCCTTCCTCATCGCCTTAAACGGGAAGCGGGATGCGTCCAACCAATGTACCGAGGACCAGTTCGAGGAGGTTATGCACTTCTTCGAAGAGACTACCCAGACGAAACAACCTTATGCGGCTGTAGATAGCCCACCAGTTCTTTCGTTTGAGGAGATCCAAGAGTCCATGGACGCCGCTGTAGAACAAAGCGTAAAGCATTTCGCCAAGGACATCTACCCGCACTGGAAGGAGACGCGGATCGGTGCCGGAAATCAAGTATTGACTTCTAACTTGAAGGTGTGCAACCCTTTGCGAATTCGTCCAGACTTCCGTGCTGACTGTCACAGTTCGAAACGGGCCAAGAGACCGACGATACCGATCCATATGTCTGCTTCCGTAGGCGTGAAGTCCGCCAGATTCGCAAGACTCGCGGCAGAGATGCGCAGAGTGCCGACAAGCTGCGGAGACTCAGAAAAGAGCTCGAAGATGCCCGGCAGTTGGTTGCACTGGTGCGGCAGCGCGAACTGGCGCGGAAGGAGATGCTTGCTGTTGAACGGCATGTCTTCTTGCAGCGTTCTGAGGTGAAGGACATGAAGAGGAAGCTCAACGTCAAAGACGACGACGAGGACCTCATCAACCAGAAGGTAAGAAGCCCTGGACTGTCTAAGGTTGTCCATACTGTGCTAACCCAACAAAACAGCCGAAGAAGAAGCCTGCAGATGCGGCCATGCAACGACCTATTCCTTCTCAGCTTCGTATGCCGCCAAAGGCTGTTTCCCAGGCTGCCGAAGATTTACAGCTGCTGGAAGACGTCCAAGCAGAAAAGGAAAACGAAATTCTGCGCGACATCAGGCAAAATATTGCCAAGCATATCAAGTGGAACGAAGGCTATGTGGATTTCACAAGAGCACCTCTCTCCCCATCCCCCGAAAGAACCTTCGAAGCCGCTTTCCGTCCGGCAATCACTACCCAATTGCCAACTCCACCATCTTCGGATACCTCGGAAAACATGATGGACACATCATTAGATACCACCAGTGCCCTGTCGTTCCGAGATAAGCTAGCACCGCGTACGATGATGGAACTGCATGAGGATACTAGCAGAATACCCTCATTTAGGAGACGTATTGGGCGTGGCGGTCGTCTGCTGATTGATCGTCGGAATATTGCTGCGCCGTGTAGAGTGGAGTTGGATCCGCTGAAGGCCGATCGCTTCAAGTATGATCGCGAGGATTCGGACGAAGAACTCGACTATGAGCGAGACCAGTACGACATCCAGATCATGCAGCATCGAGCCATCATGGCGGCCAAAGCCCGAGACCAAGCTGCAGCTGCAGCTCAGGCACATGCGCAGGCGCAAGCAGCCCATGCCCAAGCCCAGGTTCAGGCGCAGCGACGGCTGCAGGCTGATCAGGTCGCGGGCAACCATAACAACATGGGGCAAACAATGGGGTCAAACCCTGGGCCTGGTGCCGCTGCCCCAACATCAGAGGCATGAGCTGGGCTTGTCCTCTGAGTTCCTCCACTCTTTGCATGATGCAGGCGTTGTTGCTTTTCGACTCTTTTCTCGACACCTTCACCTCTTCCCCGACGTGTACTTTTATTCCCATTCCGACGCCTTGTTCACGCGTTACCGCTTTTATAATCTCCGCCATCTTCTTTTCATACCCTCTCACCCTTCGAACACACCTTGATCATTCGACGACCTTAAAAGCCATCAAAAGTCAGGTTTATGTTGGGGAAGCAGTTCTTCCCCTTTTCTTTTTGACGACATGACCTGGATTATGCAACCATTAGTGTACATAGCAGCCCTTTTTTTTCTTCCCCTCTCCTTTTTCTTTTTAATCCGAGAAAACCAACCAGTCAATAGACTCATGTATGGATAGCTATGAGGTCAGCAACGAAGAAACAAACAAAATAATAATACCAAATTTATGACAAAGAAATCAACTTTTCCTGTTTCCCTTAACATCCATAACATCATCCAAACAATCACGTCCTCTGGGCCTTCGTTCTCCTCGAGTCTTCTTCATCATCGGCACTCCGTTTCGTAGAAAGCAAACGGTCCAGCTGAGTGGACAATTTCTGGAGAATCTCCTTCTCTCCAATGCGCACCGAGACGGCCATCTTAAGCCGGCGCTGGGATCCTTCCAGCGGACCGGTGGCATCCATTGGGTTCAACTCGGCTAGGAGTCCCTGGTCCAGTTCGATGTTCGTGGCGTACTGGGAGCATTTCAGTTGAACTGCTTTCTGGAGGATGCTCATCTCCGGCCGGCCGACTGCGAGCTTGGGGGGTTTATTCTTCGACTTCTGCTGCTCCAGTTGCTCCGGCGATAAGGCCAGGGTTTTGAGTAGGAGCAGGAGTTCGTCAGGGAGGACATCCGGCAGGGGATCTTCGGATGAGAATCTCGGGATGATATATCCGTCGTCAAGGAAGTCCAACTCTGCAAGGAATTCCAGCTAAGAGTGCGTTAGCATGACTGGATCGGGGATATGGAAAGGAGAAACGGGGAATAATACCGGAGGCTGAGACTCAACATCGTCATTGCTCAATCCTGCAGCTTGGCAAATGTTGGACAAAGAGAGCTCCACCACATCGTACTGGGCGTAGTTATCTGTCACATAGCCATAACGTCTCAAAAGATCCGCACGGGGGAGTTCGCCGTAGTCGTTGAAGATCTCCTCGCCAGCCGCGATAGGCTTTATTGCCTTCATAACAAAGTCTTCTTCTTGGAACAGCCGCGCCTAGATTGATTCCAAGATAAGTATGCAAATCGTGCCATGGTAGGAGATAAGAGAAAACTCACGTTGTTCCGGTCTGCATCTGCATTCAACAGGTCTGCCATGGGTACCATTCCCTTGGCCGGTTGTTCTTCTTCCTCATCCGTTTGATATCCATCTTCGCCATCACCATCACCATCTTCATCCTCGTCTTCCGTCTTGCCAATGTCGAACGCATAGGCCAAGATCAGGGAGCCCACCATATGAGCAATGTGCAAGAGGGCCTGGGTGCCAGCATCGCCATCATAGGAGGAAACGCCCTCGATAGGAGGGAAGATAGAAGGATTCGCTCGCACAATGGGTGCAATAGTCTCGAGAATCGACTCCTCCGCGCCCTGCTTACCAATCTTGTCGACTACCGCACTACCCTGAAGCTCCTGAAGTTCGGACGGAGACCAGAACATGAGAGTATCGAACTGTCTGGGAAGGACCTTGAAATACTGGTACCAAGCAGACTTCTCTCCTGCAAGGTACTCATAGATCATAACCAGCATGAGTGACATCCAAGGACCGAGCTCGTCGACGTTCTGAGACAGTAATTCAGGCAATTTCGAATTCTGCACGGAGAGGATGAGACAACGGGGGATGGCAAACAACTCTTCGCCTTCGGGGATGTCGGTCTGGGCCACTAGTGGAACAGCGTGATACCTGCCTGATCAGAGATGACAATCCCATAAACATCACTGAATTCAAGTTGAAGCACAATGCGAGCGAAGTAATGGGGGGTTGGGTGCGGGTGCTTGTAGTGTGAACGTACCGACTCCTCTTCCAGCATTCAGGGATCTCAGATCAGCCATACGGATATTCGAGTTCATCCGTACGCCAGGTCGGCTTGTGAGCCAGCCGAGGAAGTCATTGGACTGCTTCTGGAAGCTGACAGGGTCAGGAAAGTGGGAGGTGGAAGACATGGTGCGAGGGTAGGCGAAGAAAAAAAAGAAAAGAGAGAAAAGGTTGTGAGTGAGAAACGCCGGGTGAAAAAAAGATAGACAATCTAGCAAGATGCTCTCAGAGACCTCCCAAGCGAGACTTTAGCACAATAGAAAAGAAAGTGGACAAAAACCGTGCACAATGGAGAAGTGGAATGGAGGTAAATACTTCGTGGGCGAGATCTTAGTCTTAGTACTAAAACAGACGACACTTCGGACTTCCGTCGGATAAATGGCGGAGCTGCCACCCGCCCGCCGCACCGCCGTCGCAACCAATCGATAACGCTGCTGATAAAAAAGCACATTCTGCCCCTCTGATATCGATTATTACCAAACAACGTGCAAGAAGATATACAGACACTCAACCAGCACCAGGCACAATGATTGGTATCGGAATGGAAGGCTCTGCCAACAAACTTGGCGTGGGCATCATGCTACACCCCAACGACGGCAGCCCGCCTCGAGTCCTCGCGAATGTCAGACACACCTACGTCTCCCCTCCCGGTGAGGGGTTCCTCCCCAAGGACACGGCGCGACACCATCGGTCGTGGGTGGTGAAGCTGGTGAAGAAGGCGCTCAGGGATGCTGGCGTTTCTGTCAAGGATGTGGACTGCATTTGCTATACTAAGGGCCCCGGGATGGGTGCGCCTTTGCAGAGTGTGGCTGTCGCGGCGCGGATGTTGAGCTTGTTATGGGGGAAGGAATTGGTTGGAGTGAATCATTGTGTTGGACGTATGTATCTTTACAAAGAGAAAGAGATCGTAGCTAATACAGTGCAATGCAGATATCGAAATGGGTCGATTGATTACAGGCTCCACAAACCCCGTCGTACTCTACGTCTCCGGAGGAAACACACAAGTAATCGCATACAGCTCGCAACGATACCGCATCTTCGGAGAGACCCTCGATATCGCAGTTGGCAACTGTCTGGACCGATTCGCCCGCACATTACACATCTCCAACGACCCAGCGCCGGGGTACAACATCGAGCAATTGGCCAAGAAGGGCAACAAACTGATCGAGCTTCCTTACACCGTCAAGGGCATGGACTGCTCATTCTCGGGAATCTTGGCTGCCATTGATGGATTAGCAGCAAGCTACGGTCTAGGTGGACAGGGCAAAGATGACGAAAGTAATGGCGACGATGATAAACCCACCCGCGCGGACCTGTGTTTCTCACTCCAGGAGAACATTTTCTCGATGTTGGTTGAGATTACAGAGCGCGCCATGGCACATGTCGGTTCGAAGGAAGTCTTGATCGTCGGTGGTGTAGGATGCAACGAACGACTGCAGGACATGATGGGGATCATGGCTCGAGACCGTGGTGGTAGCGTCCATGCGACGGACGAACGCTTCTGTATCGACAACGGAATCATGATTGCGCAGGCTGGTATGCTCGCCTACGAAACAGGTCTCCGGACGCCATTGAAGGAATCGACCTGTACGCAACGGTTCCGGACGGATGATGTGTTTGTCAAGTGGAGGGAATAATCGTGTTTCTCAGTTGATGGAATAAACGTCTTCGATGCCCGTATGATAAATTACGAATAATAAAAGCTTCTGGTGTGTGTTGTCATATAAATCGGACGGCCTTATGAATAGCCCTATATAGTGCCCGCCACGGACATTCGATGAGCGAGCATGTCAATACTTAATCAACCAAACTTCCTCGACCAAAAAATACTCAACAGTAATACACATTTGAAAGAAATTAAAATAAGAAATGTCACATTGTTAGACACACTCCGCTTGCTTGCAACATCAAACGTATAGAATGAACCGAGAAAAACGCCGTAAACACAATAAACAAGGATTTTTATTCCATAACCACATACCGAATCTACCTGATCCAAGTTGTAACCGAATGTGCAAAACGTGGGATTGAAGGCCGTGACATCATGTGTATATGCATTTCAATAATGACGTCCCATCATCAATGATTATAATCGAACAAGCGTTGTTATGTTCCATGTAGTATGGTTTGATGACAGAAGTGTACAAGCATGAAATCCATCAAGCGCCGCTTCCCGTTGAGGTAGTCATAAACAGTGTCCAATGGCGTGCATGATGAAATTCTCGACTGCTAAACTGATGACGAAATATACTGTTGCATCATACATCCGTGTAACAACTAACCCGAGGGATCTCCAGCCGGCTTGTACAGGATTGTTGTAACATACTGTTCGAGGATGTCGTGTCAGTAATTAGAAAGGATTCGAGAGATGTGCAGCAGAGCCTCCGCTTACCTTCCGTTTGTACCGAGTTGTTACACTAGTAGCCAGCACACCATTCTTTATGCTACTTGTAGCAAGGTGATTCAGAACAGTGTGGTTGGGATAGTTCAGAACGCTGCTGTCATCCTTCATCGGTGTGGTGCCGTTCAATATAGACTTGCCCAGGAACAAAGGAAGACTTGGGGGCGTAGGTGCATCGCCAATAACATTTGCGGCCTGTTGATAGGCCGGGACCTCTTCCTCTTTGTCTAGGTCAACCAGATATTGGGGTATTATGTTACGGAAATCCCCAAGCGGAATCTCTTCTGGCTCATCAATCTCGGTATCTTCCACCTGGCCCTCTTCATCATGGGTTCCAAGGAGCTCTGGGACAACCTGCGGGGCACGAACACCCGAGGGAGCCACAACGCTCGCTTTGCGCGATCGTCTAGAATCATCCGAACTGACCTCAATGTAGTTGACCAAGTGATTCGTAAAGTCTACCGCCGTAGGCAAACTGTCCGAGGCTCGCATTTCACCGTCCACAATGAACTTTAGATGATGTGTTCCAGGACGAAGATTCAGAGTCGTGGCCATGGTGGTGCCTCCGCTACTGTCAACCCTTAGCAGACGGCAATCAGCATATCCGAAATATCAAACACGAGGCCAATAGATGACGCATAGAAGAAAGACACGAGAAACATGCCCGATTGGAACCATTCAATGTCTGCCAAGAGGATGTTTACTCCAATGACATGCAAACGGCTAGTCTCGGGCAGGAGATAGATAGTTCAAACAGAAAGAGATAGGGAAGCAAAGACAGTACTACATACCTTCTATGTAAACGGAACTTTTTCTCCCAATTGACAAATGTTCCGGTCACATAAACTTTATCGCCATGGGAGGCCCATTCGATGGTGGTCGGGACAGCTTTCCCTACACCACTTGGAGTGTATGGTGCAAGATCCTCTGCTCCTTCATCTTCATCAACTGGAACACTGGATTGTTCATGTCCCGCTTGCTCATCCACGAAACGATCCTGAGCCACATCCTCTCCGATATGCGAATCTTCGGGACCAAGGAGTGGAGAGCCTGGTGTCGCTGTCGCATCCCCAATCGGCAAAGGCATTCTGGGCGGACGTTGAAGATGGGCAGAGGCATTGTAGTAACTTTGCGGCGCCATACCGGGCGGAAGAGTGTCGCGCCTCATGCGCTGATTCGGAACTTGAACAGGGTTGGAGGTATCGGGAGTAGGGATGCCCCTGGGCTCAGGGTCTGGAATCTTCGCATCTTGATAGTCGGGCTGGTCTAGCGTACGCGCGGAGGGCTCCGTAGGTTGACTGGATTGGAGATGCTGCTGAACAGCTGCCTGGTTCTGTGTAGCCGAATGTCCGATTGCAGTCTCTTTAGTGGCAGAGGGGTCGGCCGCAGCGGCTTTCGCCGTGCCCGATAATGTATTGATGGAAGGTTGTTGAGTCACCTTCCTCTCATGTCCAGATCCCGTCACGTACGGAGACCCCGCTGCCGACGGGACATCTGGCTTGGAAGGATTGTTGCCCATATGCAGTGTAGTAGCGAAAAAAGGGGCGAGAATGAAGAGGAAAGGAAAAGGTGGTAAAGGTGAGGAGTCGGGGTTTGGCTATCGCGGGGGTCGTCGGAGAGAACGGCGAGGGACGATGAGAGACCAGGCAGGTTAAGATGCCAGCATCAAAACAACCACAAGCTCTCAGTCGGCGAGAAGAAGAGGGGTTGAATTTTTGCCCAGCAACGGTGTATATTTAATTGGTGGAACGACTTTTGACCAGCGATTCCGAGCGATCGAGCGATTTTGCCGGGGAAGCATCGGAAGCTTCTCTGTACAAGAAGGCAGGGATGCCGAGTGGTGATGATGTCGATGTTCCCGATCGGGACAGTTAGGGCTTAGGGCATGGGATAGCAGTTCAGCTTCCATCTTCCTTTCAACTTTGATCAACAACCAACGCCAATCACCGTTTGGGCTCATTGAAAGATGGGTGCAGGTTGACAGTGTACATTTACAACTAGACAATAAGCCAATAAAAGCCAGGATACCGTCACAATGGCTTGGGAATCAGTCATCGGGACCATACTGTCCATCCTCTACCTGATCTTATATCCTCTGGTTTATGCGCTATGGGGGATCTTTAAGCTATTGCAATTACTGGCCACGCCGTTCATGAGTCTGGGTCTCAGCGTCCTTCATCTTTCACTCTGGCCTTTCAGATTCCTTGCGAGATTCGAGGTACGTCCATGTTATCAAGTTAGCCGATATGCTGAATACTTACGCTCAATAGGTAATCTTCATATACCTGGCAATGGCCATACTTATTGGCGCAATTTCAGGCTTGGTCATATATTGCACCTGCACCTTCACCGTGGACTATCTTCCTGGTTTTGTCCTAGGATCATCACGGTCTCCTTCGCTATCAAAAGAGCATCCAAAAGAGAAAGATCGCCAGCCGAAGCCTGAGCTGAAAAGTCGAAGTCTTTCTGATATCCCTTCTTACAAGTATGACACTGTGCCCAGCGACTACTATGCGAGATGGGGTGATCGAAAGGACGCCGGACCGCTCTCTTCGACGATCCTGGAGGAAGAAGAATCCGACCGGGAGTCTGACGACAGCCTTGGACATGGATATAAACAGGGAAAAAGGGAAAATGTCTCTATCCGATTGAGAAGCGACTGACATACTGCGAAACAATACTGATTCCGGTTCGAGGAAGACGCTGGTCGTCATTCCACTGCGACAGATAATATTCTTAATTCTGTATATACATATAGTCGACTATATAAGATGACAGTATATAGTTATGACTGGGGAAGGGAGTGGCTCTTATCGTCTTACATGCTTAGTTCATCATATCAGCCTCCAACAACCAGCTGCGATTTCCGCTCTCGTCCTCTTTTCACCTCTCCTATGATCAAACCAATCTGAATGACCGCAATGACTGCATGTCACCATTAATCCTAATCCATGACATTGTTGTGCTGAAGTTCTCCAGCCGATGCAACGGTGCACCTGGACGGAGCTTCACATAGCTGCGACCGCCTACGACCAGTGACCACACCCCGGATTTCTGTCCCACCCCTCCATTCACACCTCAGACGAATCAAAAACAATAATGCTATTCCCCCGGGCGCGATCGCGGATGCGAACGTTGCTCCTTGCGCTATTTCTCGTATCCGTTATCACCTGGTATCTATCGCGCTCGCAACCATCGGACGGACAAGCCGGACAAACACCGATCATTCACAGCCCCAAAGGCCATATCAAATTCTGGCGCCAATTCGAACCGCTCCTATCGAAATACGAACCGAAATGCCTCCCTCCGGAACGTCTTGGATCGGCGGAGTCGATCAGGTTCGAGCAAGCGGATCCCGATTATCGCCCAGAGCTCATCGAGATGTCGGCGGAGGATGTGGCTATCATGAAGCAAGCGCATCGCGGGTTCGTGACTGAGATCGAAAAGGATGGACCGAAACTTCATTATGAATCGCATACGAGGGGTATCGTGTCGACTGCGGGAGGGTCATACTTGCCGGTGCTGGTGATCTCGCTCCGCATGCTTCGGAGGACGGGCTCGGAGATCCCAGTGGAGGTTTTCTTAGCGGATGAGTCTGAATATGAGGAATACATCTGCGAAACGGTTCTCCCTTCTTTGAACGCCCGGTGCGTTATCCTATGGGACATCCTGAGTGCGGTTCCGGATGGCGTACAGGTCGAGAAGTACCAGTATAAGCTCTTTGCGATACTCTTTTCCTCGTTCGAGGAGATATTCTTCCTGGACGCTGATGCGTTCCCGTTAATGAAGCCGGAGAGTGTGTTTGCGAGCGAGCCATTCAGATCTAGCCAGATGATCACCTGGCCGGACTTCTGGCTCCCTACACCTTCGTCACTCTTCTACAAGATTTCTTCTATACCTGTTCCCCGCAAGGCGCAGAGACAGTCGAGTGAATCCGGAGAGATCTTCCTCTCTAAACGAACCCACCTCAAGACCCTTTTGCTCGCTACATACTATAACTTCTGGGGACCAACCCACTACTGGCCCCTCCTCTCCCAAGGCGCCGCAGGCGAAGGCGACAAAGAAACCTTCATCGCAGCAGCCACAGTAGTCAACGAACCCTTCTACCAAGTCAGCGAACCCATTTGCGCCATCGGCCACCGTACCGCAGGCGGCCTAGCGGGCTCAGCCATGGCCCAATTCAACCCCGTCGAAGACTACACCCTCATACAAAAGGGCCAGTGGCGTATCATGGGCGCAAAAGCTCCTCCTCCCCAGACATACGTGATTCACGCAAACTTCCCCAAGTTCAACCCGGCTACCGTGTTCAATCCGGGAGATGTGAATCCGGCATTCGCGGATGATGGTAGTTACACGCGGGCGTGGACCATCCCGGAAGAAGTCATTGGGAAGTTCCCTACGGATGTGGAGAGGGAGTTCTGGAGTGAAATTCTCTGGACTGCTTGTGAACTTGAGGATAAGTTTGAGACTTGGAAGGGGCAGGCTGATATTTGCCAGAGGGTTAAGGATTACTGGAATGCTATCTTTGTGGATTCGAAGTCTGGGGGTTCTTAAGCCAGACCGACCACTACTAGTTCGCCGGAACGAATGCGAGTGGTTCATTTCTGATCGATTCATCTCCCTCCGGTTGTGACTTATCCTGGCATCAGTACACTGACTCTAACGGCCAACGGCCAGTTCTAAGCTGGAGCAAGCCATGTGAAAAGTTAAAACGACTTGTTTATAACCGTTATCGGTATACAGGTATCCCTATCCATGCCATCCTGATGGTGATGTACTTTTAAGGAATGTTTATCAACTGCCTAGCCAGCACTTGGTGTATATCGTTAGAAAGCTGCACGATACTTATACAGTGTTATAATATACAAGAGCCGAATTTTATCTATCCTATCGTAAATACTAGTACATCTCTAGGAGCGACCAAAAAGAACCCCCGTCAAACTACCTTAACCGAAGATCAAGCCCCGTCTCATTCGCCCTCTTAATGGCATTCGCAAACAACTCCTTACAAGGCACACGACTCCCCAGCCTTGCGCATAGCAAGAACGCCCCGCTCAACTTCCGATGCAAACTATACGTCTCCTCCGGCGGCGGCGAGAGTCTCTCCCGAAGCATAATCGGGATGAACCCACGCACTCGGTCAGTAATAGTCTGGTTATTGAAATCGTAAACATCTGGAGATGAATCCATGAATGGTTCCGCGATGGTGCAGACAGATGAGATATGCGCGTCGACCATGGCCTGTGATTCATGGCCGGTCAAGTAACCCAGCTGGATGGAGAGGTCGTGGCAGCTCTTGCGGTCGTCGCGGGAGGCTGCGAGGAGAGTGCGAATGTACTTTGTGGAGAATTCGATGGGGTAATCGCGGGAGGCGCCAAAGTCGAGGAGTTCGAGGCGGGCTGTTTCGGCGTTGTAGAGGAAGTTGGTCCAGTTGGGGTCTGTTTGCATGTATCTGAATTCGGTGATTTCGCGGAGACACAGGCGCATGATCTGCGTGCCGATCCAGTCGCGTTGCTCTTGGGAGAAGGTTGTGATTCTGGTGACGGGGACGCCGTTAAGGCGTTCCATGGTTAAGACGTGTTTTCCTGATGCTTCGGGGATGATTTCTGGGATCATGAAGACTGGGTCGTCCTGGAGGAGTTCTCTGAAGCGGTGAGCGCATTCTGCTTCCCGGATGTAGTCGCATTCCCAGGCGAGTTCGGTCCGAGCATTGGCGATGGTCTTGTCCAGGTACAGTCCCCTGGGGAGAAGGCGGGATGCCGTAAGGAGGATGGACAGGTTGTTCAGATCAGAGTCAATTGAATCTGCCACTCCAGGATATTGCACCTTCACAGCGACTGGTTGGCTGGTCTTCTTGAGGACTGCACCGTGGACTTGGCCTATTGATGCCGCAGCCATGGGGACGTCATCGAAGCTCGAGTAGAGATCGCGCCAGTTAGGGCCCAAATTGTCAGCCAAGACCTTGTCGCGCTGGGATGCAGGCATGTAGTCAGCCCGATCTTGAACCCGCTGGAGGACAGCGTGAATAGGTTCCGGGAGCATTTTCGAGTCTATAGCATGTTTAGCCGCCGTGTCACCAAAAGATTATGGGTCTCTGTTCCCGAACCTTGGAAACTCATCATCTGGCCGAGTTTAAGCGCAGCTCCTCGCATTTTGGAAAGTTTCGCAACAAGACGCTCCATATTACCAGCGCTGAACATAACAGACCCAGCATTGTCCCCACTGCCCGTGGCTCGTCTGAATGTTTCTCCGACAGCTCCAAAAGCCATGGACGTTGCTAGCCCTCCGTATTGCCATATCCTACTGAGTCGTGACGATGGTACGCGGGATTCAACCATTCTATACGCTTGTTCTTTCTTGCCTTCCGCAAGTTTCGCGGCAGCCTGCACAGGCGTCAGCATTTTCTCGATAATCCTAGTTCAATCCAGTCTTGTATACCTCTTGCTCAACAGAATTCTCCGCGAGACTGGACCCAAGCTCTGCCATTTCTTCCTTTTCAGACTGTCCCTTCACACTCGAAGTCGCCTTATCACCCATGGGGGAATGAAAAACATCCGCATTGATCTCCCCATCTATCCCAACCTGCTCTTTACCACCGGCCTTGGGCAACTTCACTCTGGGAAGCCCAGACAGCTCTGGGGCCTTTCTCTGAGAAGGCTCGTAGAAAACATCCTGCTGTTGACTGACGCGCAGCTGTTCCGGAACCTCACCGCCACTATACGTCGCCCCAGAGACCGGAATATGAGACTCTGCTTGCCGCTGCGCCTTCCTAGCTTCATCTGGCGATAACGACGGTGATCGTGCGTATTCCGGCCTCGCGGCCGACGGCGTCTGAGAGGTCACAGGGACATCGGCGGACGTCGGAGGGTGATAGGGTTCGTTGAATCGTCGAGCAAGCGCTGCAGCAGCCTTAGCGGAAAGGATCAAGCCCTCAGTCTGGCTCTGAATGCCCTTGGTGAGGGAAGAGGTTCTGGTAAACACATCTAGCTGCCGTTGCCGCACGGCCAGATGCTTCGCCGCCACCGCCGTGGTGACATTGAGGAATTGGATAGCGTCAAGCAGACGCTTTCCCGACATGTTCCTGTATAATTCAGTGAGCTGGAATTTTTTATGCCAGTAACATCATGCGGACCCCTCCAATCAATTGGGTTGTGGGCGTTTCCGTGGTACTACTATGCTAGACAGCCCACTCCGCAAAGGACCTCCGATCTGTCGGCCGATTTTATGCCAAGCTTTACCGCCCATCGGGGAGTGCCGGTATGCATTCGGTGGCGACTGATAAGAGCGTCACATTTTCTCCCTATTTAACCTCTGCGCCCCCGAGATGACGGTCAATGGCTCTGATTTGTTTTGGATAAGAAAGCCTCCATGAATACAAAGAATAATACTGAAGATTTGGAGCAGGAGATCGCGGATCTCGAGTCTCGTCTGCACAATGCGAAGGCGGAATTAGCTTCTTCGCACCCTGCGCCGCGCAGCGCAAAGCCCTTGTCTTTGTCGCGTGAGCCCAATGGTATGCTATCAAGATTTTTATGTTCTTTTCTATAGTCGCATTAAGCACTTGGGGCGCTGACCATGGTTGATCGCTATTAGGGATACCTCCTTCGATCCCTATCCATCACGCCTTGCTTCTCCTGTCAGACTCCGCCCTGCCGCTGGGCTCATTCGCGTACTCCAGCGGTCTCGAGTCCTACCTGGCGCACAACAAGCCTCTCCCGCGGTCAGTGACCTCAATCGCATCGTTCCGTCGATTTCTCAAACTCTCCATTGCATCGCTAGCGAGTACCTCGCTCCCGTACGTTCTAAACGCCCACCGATACCCAGAGACATTGGAAACGTTGGATAACGACCTGGACGCATCAACACCGTGCGTGGTAGCGCAGAGAGCAAGTCTGGCTCAAGGGCGAGCGCTGCTAGGACTTTGGGAACGTGCTTTCCGGCGATCATATGGTTTGTACGCGTCTTCTGAATCTTCCATGGCTAATGGCACCGGCACTGCTGCCAAGGCTGTGAAAGCCCTCGAGGATTTCTTGGATGCGCTCAAGTCTTGCTTTGACCATGTAGATGAACTCGGGCCTAAGGGGCATTTCCCGCCATTGTGGGGTGTGGTTTGTTTTATTATGGGCATGGATCTTCACCAGACGGCCTATGTCTTCATGTTGAACCATGCCAAAGCAGTTCTCAGCGCCGCGGTGCGGGCCTCGGTCATGGGCCCTTACCAGTCACAGGCTATCTTGGCCAGCAAGGGGCTTCAGGAAATGATAGTGCAGCGAATAGAACGGGAATGGGAGACCAACGTAGAAGATGCAGGCCAGGTGGTTCCGCCGCTGGACCTATGGGTTGGGAGGCATGAGCTTCTTTATAGCAGAATATTCAATTCATGACATTTATGCCAAAAACAAAGAAAACTCAACTGTGTCCTTGATCTCAAAGTAGAATTCATCATCATCGCGAAGAACGCCATCGATATCGCTGCATTCAGCCATTCATCTTTTACTCATCCAAACGGCCCTAACTAATCCTACATCTCGCGAAAAAGTCAGAAATGTGCGCCTGCGACATTCCCACCCGTGTGCCAGTCAAACAGTCACCGAAGTGGGTATCCAAAAAGCAATAGAAAAGAAGTATAATCAACAAACGTAGCTTGATGGCCAGAATATCCACCATTGCTCTGGCCGATATGCAAAAGAAGACACTTGCTCAGAAGCACAAAATCAGCTCGAACGCCGGCTCCTGAGACCCCTGTCCTGCTAAAAATCAGACAAACACCGCACCGTTAACTTCCCATAATGAAGAGCAATGAACAGAAATTCAAACAGAAAACCTTGATATAAAAAATGTCAAGATGTGAAGAGGTAATCGCGGCAGATATTAGGGAAAGAGAAGAAGAAAAAAAAGCTGAAGAAGAAACTATGGTACAAGAAGTTAAAATCCTCTAAAGTCGAGAAAGCAAAGATCGGAAGGAAGCGAAAAGAATAACGACCTCGGGATCGGGGAGTAATCAGAGGGTGATGTGCATGTAGTCATTATTCCCAAAGGATTTGTTGCAATTCGGGCACTTGCGCGATCGCGAAGTGAGACGTTCTTCGACGCAATCTTTGCAGAAGACATGACCGCATGTCTTGATTGCCGTGTTCTTGAAGTTCCTGCGGCATACTGTGCAGATGGCAAGCGTCTGCGAAACAAGTCAGCAAAGATATCAAACCCTAAAAGTCAATGATCGAAAACATACTCTCAGCATTTCGTACTCAGACGAAGAGTTCCCAAGGCTCTTGTTCTTCCAGTTGTCCAAGCTCTTCTTAGTATCTGTCAGCGATGCCTTCAAGCCTTCAATCTCCATCTCTGCCCGACGACAAGCACTAGAAGTATTTGCCAGTGTGGAATCCTTCGAAGTCGACAGAGCCTTCAGTTCGGCTATCTGGTTTCTCAAGCCGTCCGTGACTATACCGTTCTCTGTGAGTTGCTGTTGAGCCGCATACATTTTGCTAGTGACGGTGTTCAAGGTCTCTTTGTTTTCGCTGGCCTGCTTTTCCATGTTTGCGACCAAGGAACGTGTGGCTGCTTCCGAGTCCTTTAACTGGGAGATAATGTCGGAACTCTTCGAATTCTGCATTCGCAGGGTCCGGACCTCCAACTCACGCGCCTCTTTCGCTTTCATCGCTGCGAAGAATTTCTGATCGGCCTTGGACTTCTCGGCGACTAAACGAGCAACCTTCTCTTCTAGAGCGCTGAAATCGGCCACTTTTTGCGAAGCTAATGTTGAATATTTCCTGCATGCCGTTTGCATGGACGCCAATTCAGTGTTAAGCATCGCATACTGCCGTTCCAAAGTCTGGTATTTGGTCCGAAGCTCTTCAACGGGAATTCCTGCGACATCCGTGGATTGCGCACTGTCGACCTGCACCCGTAGCCTCTCCACTTCGGATTCTAGAGAAGCGATCCGAGCCTCCCCGGCACTTGCGAGTTCCTGAATCTTGATGGTCGCTGTCTTTTCCTGCTCCTGTGCTGCCTTTCTCATCTGTTGGTCGGCCAGTAGTTCATCACGAGCATTCCGTATCCTCGCCAAATCTGTTTCCGCCCGTACAAGTTGCGCTTCCTTCTCGGCGACAACGTTTTGTGTTTCATCGTCGATATGCATACGGTACGAAGTCCGTTCCGATCGTAACTTCTCGGCTTCTTCACGTAGTTGTGTATTCGTCGCTTCAGAATGGTTTATCCGTTTAACCACATCGTCGTATTGCGATCTCAACTGCTTGAACAGATCCGTATGCGCGTAATCGTCGTCACTAGGTTTGGAATGCTGTGGCGAGATGTCAGCGAAAGCTTTGCCGTGTCGCGAGATAAAATACCGACCTTGATATTCAATTCGGTGACTTGGTTCAGCAGGCTGGCATTTTCAGCCTCCAGTTTCTGTAATTGTTCCTTCTGCTTCTCGGATACTGCCACAAGCTTGTGATGCGTCTCTTCAAGCTCCGGATTGCGTTCACCCCGGGTAGCTACACCGTTGGTAGCAGACGGCTCTTCTCGACTTCCGGATGCGCTGTCTGCGCCAGGTCGTTGTGCACCAAGGATATATTGTTTCTCCAATTTGGCGACTGTCACGCTCCGCGCACGATCCAGTTTCTTCTCTGCCACCATGTACCGCAGGGATGCTGCCTCTAAGCTTTCTTCAAGTTGTTGCTTATCCGCTAAGGCTTTCTCGAGTTCGCCAATGGTGACCTTTTCCTCGGCCAATTTCTTGGCCAGCTGGCTTTGCAGATCGGAAACCTCAGGCGGGGCCTTTGCCAAATTTGCTGTAAGTCGCGATATAATGTCACGTATTTCATCCGATCGGGCTTTCAAATGCTTTTCGAAATCTTCCGCATCTTCGAATTGCAAGGAGCTCCGAAAAACCGATTGCTCTGCATGTTTGTTAGTAAGGTCGAGTTCCCATGAAAATATATCGGACGAACAAATAGCGCGCCTACCCTTGCTGTCTTCTTCCCTTTTTACAGGGTCCAACAGTATTTTGACTTCGTCGATCAACTGCAGAGAGAGTTAGAATTTGTATAACCGAATTTCCGAAAATGAACGCACCTGGTTGTACCATGCATCGATAACGCGAAGGTGATCGTTGTGGTAATTTGCAGCCTTGGACAGTTCCTTCACTTTTGTCTCCAGGGAAACCTTTTCGCGTTTGTATTCCTGCATTTGGCGCCATATCGCGTCTTTTTGGAATCGCTGTCGTAGAAATCTCAGTCAGTATCGATACCGGACGAGTAGAACTCAAATCCTGAAACAATCAGAGAATAAGAATCCTGCCGTGTCAATTATCTGCTTACCTCCAGGTCATCCTTCCACGGCATATCCGCGTCGGGATGCGGTTTGCTGCCACCATTGACAGAAGTTGCTTGCTTCTTCGACGGCGGAGCGGAATCATTGTGATCATTAGTAGCGCTTCTCTTCCGGTCTTCCATCTTGACGAGACCTGGATCGGAAGATACGACGGGGGTTGCTTCGGCGGCCGGCATCAGTGGCTAGGACGGCATACGGAGCAGCAGCCACCACCACCGAGCAGCAACTGACCGGAGGTGTTTTAAAATAAAGAAAACGAGAAGTACTCTAACCGTGAGGATAACAGCGTGAGATAGTCGAGAAAGTAAAGAAGAGAGGTGGTGGGTTCAAGATAAGCAGGACAGGGTAGGGGAATGGATCATGGAAGCCAGGAGGATTTTCGACTGGACGTTAGCGTCCCTTAGTGCCTCTCACGTGACCATGCCCACTTTCCCCCCCAGAGTTCAGGACGAACAGCCGGCATCTAGACTTTTTTTTTCTATTGCGCGTCGTCGATTTGTTACCCACCGGGCCATGTAAAGATGAAGGCTTTCTCTAGCTCGGTCATCAGTAAGTATTCTCTTGCATCTGACTATTTCTATTTTTACCTCTACTCCCGCGCAGTCATCTGATTCCTCCGTTTCCGCAGACAAGTCGGGGAAGAAGTTTGCCCCCAAAGCGCCCGTCCGACGCGCCGCGCCAGCTGCACCACCCAGGAGACCAAGTGCAGCCCAACAAACACCCGCTCCGACTCCCCAGCAATCCCAGCCTGTTGCGACAGATACTGCGACTGCTCCCACACCTGAGCCGCCTGTTTCCGCGCCTGAGCCGTCCGTCGCTACCAGTGTCCCAGCGGAACCGCCGGTCGCAGAACCATCCGTTACCCAGAAGACGGCAGATGCAAAGCCAACCCAAGCCGTGACGGCTATTCCGATCCCTGCGCCAAAGCGAAAACCGTCCGTTTCTACACCTATTCCTAGACCTGCGACAAAACCTGCCGCTCCTCAACCTACCCCGCCCCCGCGCAAGGCACCCTCTATTGAGCCCGTCCCTGTATCTGCGCCTGCGCCTTCAAGACCTGAGCCCGAGGTCAGAGCCGAAGAGAGCGTACTCCCAGACGCTTCCCAGGAGACAGCTCGCGATGATACCTTAGTATCACCCCCGCCGTCGCAGCCTCGACACCCTTCAGCCAGTGCGGCTGAGATCCGTCCAACGAAACGTCAGAAAACCGTTGCTACTACGGAATCAGTAGCGCCATCCGTGGAAGCTCCATCAGCCGAAGCGCAACCACTTACTCCTCCAGCTACACAGACCGAAACCGAAGAGACCGCCAACCCCGAAACCGATTCGCAACCTGCCCCTGCCAGCAAAGCTCGGAAGATAACGAAACCAAGGACTAGGAAACCAGTGCAGAATAAGACGGAGGATGGAACGACTTCTCAGCGAAAACGGCGACCGCGTGTGCGACAGCCGCGTGAACCGACCCCCGAAGGCGCAGAGAATATCGAGATTGCGCCGACAGCCATGAAGATGTCAGATCTCTGCAAGGATCTACGGACAGGAAAGATGTCAAAGAGAGAAGTGGAATTACGGAATATGGAAACGGCAGAGCAAGAACGCAAAGAGAAGGCACAACACGGGGGCGAAGATACCGAGTCGACACCTACTAAGCAGAATGGGGAAGCAGCATCTTCGGCACCAGAGCAAGACGGAAATTCCGACGATAAGCACGGAGGGCAAGCAGGACCGGTGATGAGAATCGTCAATGGAGAAATTGTGCTTGATACAGCGTCTTTGCAAGTCGACCGTCACGCCGACGCGGCGCGAGACATGGGAGAACTGGAGGATGTGGTGGAAAACTCGCTCACACGCAAGGTCAACCAAGCCAGTTATGGCAAGCGATCCAAAACCGAATCTTGGGACGAAGAGATGACCGACCTCTTCTACAGAGGTCTGCGCATGTTCGGCACTGATTTCATGATGATCAGTAAAATGTTCCCCGGCCGATCCCGACGCCAAATAAAGCTCAAGTTCAACAACGAAGAGCGCAAAAACCCCGGCCTAATCAAGGATACGCTTCTTGGCCCGACCGAATCCATCGACATCGCAACATACTCTGAGATGACAAACACGGTCTACGATGATCCCAAGCACATCCAGCAGGAGCTGGACGAAGAGAAGAAACGCATTGAAGACCAGCATTCCAAAGAAAAGGTGGCGCAGGAAGAGTTGCTTCGCAATCCGGACGGCGCCAATGAGGGCAACGCTGCTGATAAGAACAATGGAACAGCAACCAAGAAGCGGAATAGCAAAAAACAAGCTAAGAACGCGGCCGGCGGGACGGAAGAAGTTGTTGGTTCGATTGATGATTTTCCTTGATACGGTCTAAAATGTATTGAGTAATGAATTGGCGTTTTGTGAAAGGCGTTTATGGGGTTTGGGTTATACGATCTAGGATCTGATGACTATATCTGGAGGATGGTTTGGATTTTACCTGGTTTTTACACTGCGCAGCATGTTTTATTGTCTATTTGACTTGTTGACTGGCTTATGCATTGGTTGTCGCTGCGTTACGACCAAGTAATTAGCCAAAATGAAATCAAAACTGCTTCAAGCGGTCCTGCTCACATTCACCTCCTCCTGGTCGACCCAAACCCGGTCCCCGTAGTAGTAGTTGAGAACCCCGGCGATGAACGAGTCCGTGAACTGCCTTCCCAAGGGTCACGATCATATCTCGTACCCATCCGTCGGCCACCAAAAGGCGAGCCATACCTCTCGCTTCTTCTCCCCATCTCGTAGCCAGCAGCGGTACCACCCATTGCACCAGTCCAGAAGCCCGGTCTCCAGCCGCCACTCAGCGAGGAAGTACTGTGATCGGGATATCTGGAATATGGCGGCGGGGGCCCAGGATATCCACCATTACCGCCAGGTCCTCCACCACCACCACCACCACCACCCCAGAACGTTCCCCAACCACGACGCTGATCCGGCCGGTCTCTGCGTATACCAAAGCAACTCAGAACCATAGGCCACAAGATAAATAGAAAAGCAGCCACCATAAACCCAAAGAAAACCAAATTCCCCACCGCACCCAACGCATTACTCTCATCCCGCATCCTCCCAAACCTCTCCTCCCCGACATCCGTCAACAACAACCGATACTCAACCCCACAACTCCCCTTCAACACCCACTTATCATTCGCATCTCTGTATCCCTCACAGATAACATCCGTAGCACCCAGTTTGAACTCCGGCGGGAGAGGCGCAGTGCAGGTCCATTGGATGTCTTCCTCGTCGTACTCGGAGCCTGCGTTTGTGCAGCGCATTGCGTCGATGGTGTAGAGGTTGCATACTCGTTTTGAGGGGCCGATGCATGTGAGTTGGGAGATTGGAGAGACTCGGCGGGAGGTGGTGCGTTGGTTTGCTCGGAGGGTTAGGGATTTGACGTGGGAGAGGAGGATGGCGTTTTTAGCGGATTTTTGGGAGGAGCCATATCCGAATGAGATGGCAGAGGAGGCGTGTAGGAGGAGGGATAAGAGGAATATGAGGGTTAACGATCCTAACGATCTCATGTTTGTCACTTTATGGTGTGACGTATATACTTGGGTATCGACTATGTATGTGCCTTATCTGATCAAGGGCGGTAAATATACACGTGACTCGACAGGGCAAAATGGCCTGGGGGTCAAACCGTCAAATGGGAAGAGTGGTCGATCTAGGAGTACAGAGTAGTATGTACTCTGAATACAGAGCGGACCTGTCGATCACTTAACACAGCCTCGTGCTTATATGCTTGATTCATAAGGCTGCTGTCCGCCGCTGGCGTTCATGAATTTCTTAAGAATATTATGCGACGAAATATCTCCTTTTGACCATTGCAATCTTCCCTTTCAACACACGTTAGTCGGCGCTCATTACAATAACCACTACATTCCGATGTGGAATCCTATTTGCTGTTGGCCATCACTGCTTCTACCAAAGTTCAAATGCTCAGCTTCTCTCCGATGAAACCTATTCTATCTCATCATACAAAAGTGTCCAGGCAGCAAATCAATTCTGTAGTGGGAACACTCTTCGCCTTCATAGTTAAAGCTTTACTAGCGGTGACTGTATCCGATGTATTCAGTCAACTTGCATGGAACACAGTCACAACCCGAACCACGGAGATTGGCGTCAACGATGATCTCTTCTCGATACTCACCAATGGCTTCTATATCCTTGACTTACCTCTATAGTGTCATCATCCATTGACCATGGGCCTTACCCTGGTTTTTTGGCTACTTCCTGCTGCATCCGTGATAGCCTCTGCAACGCTGAATGTTGACCTCGCACCGATCACCAACTCGAGTATCTTGCGTGTTCCCTGTGTTGACTTCACAAGCTTAAATTTCCCTTGGATGACGGTCTTCCCAGATGATGATTCATATACAATATATATAGGTCCCTTGGATGCCGTTAAAAAGGTCGTCCCTGCCACCACAGCCGAGGGTAAAATCCTACCAATCCAAGCTCCATCGACCAACTCTTCATGGACCCTAAATTTCCATGACCCGGCTCTGAGCTGCGAGGTAGTTGACGAGGGGCTTCAGAATGATATCATGTAGAACATTAGGGATGCAGTCAATCAACTTATCAGCCATACCATAGCAAAGACCTTATATGGATACAATTCCTGGGCCTACCTGGCGCAGAAAGTAACGGCCATCTGCCCTTCTACAAGAATAATGCAACCAATGCAACCTACATCCAACGTGCAAGTTCGATTGGCCCCCTAGGGAATTCGAATGTTAAAGGTGGTCAAGTGTCAGGGCTTTCCTCACATATCAGACAATGCAACCATCACTCAAACACAGCTTCTTGCGGCGTTACGGGATCCACACATTCTGGAATGCACACTCTATAATGCTTCATATGCTACCAGCTTTGCCTACGTGAATGGCAACCAGAATGTGAAGGTTGAGAGCCTCGAACACTTGAATGATGTTTGGTTTCTTGCCAGTACGAATGGCCAAGAACCCCTTACTACAGTAAATCATTCGACTACGAATTCTCACCTGTCTTCAAGTGGCTATAGCACTACCTTAGTTGAGAACTTTTCGTATCAGTCGGTTATGGGAGCTTTTGGGTCTAATGGTTGGGAATATCGCGAATTTACTGGACGAAGAAAACCTAGACACGACCGAGTTGAATACGACTATCATGATGACCCCGTTATCAGATACAAAAGAACTCTCCTTCCTGACACAGGAATAAGCTGATTATAATCTCAATATTTTCCAACAAGTCTGGGATGGCGACTCGGTTATACCATTGACCAACAGCTCTGCATCCTTATTGCAAAGTATTGAGGAAATGTTTCAGAATATTATGATATTTCTCATGAGATCTAATTTCCTACAGTATGTACCATCCGTCTGTCTTTTGAATGAAAGCCATTGATCTTTTCGATTCACCACAAGAAAATACTTGCACATAACTAATACGTATATAAACCAAACTATTCCTCCTCCCTACGCACCCCCAGACACTAACGTGACATTGACAACCTACCACAACGTCTACATCTACTCGCTGAGCATCCTGTGGCTTGCTTACGGGACTGCTATTGCAGTAACTTGCCTCAGTGTTTTAGTGGGGATTATGGCATATACATCTAACAAGGGGTCTTACAGCACCAAATCCTCGACTATTCTCAGAACAACGCGCGATGCGTCTCTTTCGGTACCGATAATAGCAGAGGATACTGGTGGTTTGGATCCTCTTCCGGAATATTTAGCGAAAGGGAGCATTACTTTCAATGGTCCGGAAAGGATACACCCTTCCCACAAAAGATCCATCCAACAATCAGACAGAAAAGATCCAGTCGACAGTCGGACAGAATTGTCACCATCGCTTGTAGAATAGGAAGGAGTCCTTGTTGTATTGCTAATGCGTATACGGAGTAACTATATATACATACTCGTATCCTCGAAGTATTGCTAGCCCCAATAGGCAACCCGCTCGGGTAGATCACCGCGGAGGCGGCGAGCTCTCAGCTAACTATCGATAAAATAACTTTTCGACCACTTCGATTTACACCTCAACTGCCACCTCTGCCATTTCAACGGCAATGGGCTAAGACAGGTGTTTTGAAGGTCTACAGCGGCTGACAATGAGTCTTCAAAGTACGTTCTTATTCTATTCTTCTTCCTTTTCAGCTTCTGAGCTGACTTGATCCAGACGGAACCTCGCCGGTGCCGGCTCCATCCTCGTACGTGAAGACATCGTGAAATCATAACTCGAAAACGCGCATTACTGACAATTGGCAGGCTATCATTTACACAGGGGTTTCTTCTCGGGCAGCTCTCTGTCGTGCTGTTGATCGGGGCCTTCATCAAGTTCTTCATTTTCGGCGAAGCACCTCCGTCCCCATCCCGCGGACTTTCCCACCGCAACGCAACTCAAAGACGAACCAACTCCGTCTACAATGCTTCCCCGAACGAGGAGACGTCCAGATCATTGAGAGAAAAGCCTTCGACATCCAATGTCCTCCGTCCAGTTCCCTCATCCGCAACGAACACCCGATCCATCCTCCGAAAAACCTACTACAATGCTATTCCTTCCACGCCCTCCAAACATGGTCGTCAGAGGATGCACCATTCGTCGCATCAGCCGGAATCGATGGACTGGTTTAATGTGTTAATTGCTCAGACCATTGCACAATATAGACAAACGGCCTATTTGCTGAAAGACTCGCCTACGTCTTCGATTCTCAGCTCTCTAAATGCGGCGTTGAATAACCCGGAGAAGAAACCGTCGTTCGTGGAGAAAATAGCAGTCACGGATATTTCTCTAGGGGAAGAGTTTCCGATTTTTAGTAACTGTCGTATTATTGCTGTTGATGATCCCAATACCGATGGTGGGCGACTCCAGGCGTTATTAGATGTGGATTTGAGCGACGATAACCTCTCCATCGCTGTCGAGACATCGTTGGTACTTAATTATCCCAAACCACGTTCTGCCATCCTACCCGTCGCACTATCGGTCTCTGTTGTTCGATTCTCGGGGACATTATGTATCTCTTTGGTCCCAGCATCTACGCCTCCCCTCCACACGCCGTCCCCATCTCCGTCGCGCGATGCAGATGCGCGCCCGCAAACTGGTTCTGCTGAGGCCAACCAATCTGCAGCTGATGCGCAGGATGATTTTACGAGCTCTAATAGTCCGAAAAGCAACGTCGCATTCTCGTTTCTGCCCGATTATCGGCTCGATCTCTCGGTCCGCTCGCTCATTGGCTCACGGAGTAGGCTCCAGGATGTGCCCAAGGTTGCACAGCTAGTCGAGGCTCGGGTGCATGCATGGTTTGAGGAACGGGTTGTCGAGCCTCGAGTCCAAGTCGTCGGGCTACCAGATCTCTGGCCGCGTATGGGTCGGACAGGCGTGAGGACGGGTGACGAATCCGAAACAGCCTCGAATCCAGCGTCGCACACCGGTCAGGCAACCGATATAGCCGTCCCTATTCAGAACGATGGGAATGATGGAGAAGCACCGGGGCTAAGGTTCCGCGGGTCGTGCCCATCATATGATAGTGCTTCGCGGACCAGCAGCTATAACGTCGAGATGGGGGGCCTTCGGAGTCGGAGTATGACTCGGGATGATAGCGGCGGAGAGTTCCAGATGCCTGGGTCTATGCCTGGCAGCGTGGTTGCTAACTGAGTCTACACGCTGCTGTTTTTCATGCCGTTATGTCTGGCAAGGAGTTCAAGGAGATTCTACTCATGTAACATTACTCTTGAAGCATTAGAGAAAAGTCTCAGTCATAAATCCATTGATGCGTTGAGGTATATACAGGCTTAAACGTGCAAATAGATTGTCCAACAAGAGCATTCAATGCTCACGCTTAGTTTGCGGCAACAGCAGGGCTGGGGACGGTGTCCAGGTATGTCTTCCGGTGCGGGTTGACATCAACCTCAGGGCCACGGTTCAAGGGCGTCCACTTGGGCTCCGCCTGGAAGAGACGCATAGCCTTGACATACTATTATCCACAATCAGCAAATACCCTACACCCCTAGACAAGAAGCACTTACGTTCTTATCATCCGTTGTAAACCGATGATAAATCCCAGCCGGAAGAATAATCAAATCATCCTTACTCAACCGAATGCGCACCCACTCATCCTCCTGCCCACGCACATCAAAGTATCCCTCCCCATCGCGAATGTATCGAATCTCCTCGTCCTCATGCAGATGCTCACTGAAGAACGTTTTCACCTTCTCCTCGTAGATGTCGCCCATAGTCTGCGGCGAGACGCAGACTTCGTCACGGTTCTTGTAGCCGCGCTCGGCGGCCAGGGTGTCGACGAGGTCGATGGTTGGGCAGTGGCGGTAGAAGACGCCGATGGACTCGAGGTAGGACTCGGTGACGGGGCGGCCGGAGTCGTGGGCCTCGCGCTGGTCGCCCTGTTGATTGTTAGCTTCAATTCTGAAAAGAGAAGTATGCGAAATTTTTCGGGCAATGAATGTAGGCAGACTTACCGGTTGGTTATCGTACCAGTATGCCTTCATTTTGCCTATATCTGACGGACAAGATATCTCAAATGTAAGAAATTCTGCAAATGATGCGAATGACCTGCAGTTATATGCCGAAGATCCAATATCAAAACCAATCGAACGCGGGGTGTGAAAATGCTGCCCCGCAATTGGCCGACGATGGCGCAAAAGTTGCCGGAAATGGGCTTATGTCATCACACCACCGCCTTCGGAGTTAGCGGCAATAAGCGCTCCACGTGATCCTATCGCTTTTTTTTTTTTTTTTTTTTTTCGGTACCTGGCAGTGTATCAAGGTGCAGGGGATAACATTCATTGTTGCTGTGTTTTTGGTCAATTCGTTATCAGCATTATGGCTTTTCGAGCACGATCAGTGGCTCTCTTCCGCTGGAGCCACGGTCCTCGCTCGGGGATGCTATGTAGGGGCCGTGGTATTGCTACGGTCTCCGAGGGTGCAAGGTATACCCCCTTCCCCAAGTGCTCACCATCGTATTTACTCACTATTTGTGCTAGACCATACGATGTCGTCGTTATCGGAGGTGGCCACGCAGGCTCCGAAGCCTGCGCCGCCGCAGCCCGTTCCGGTGCTCGAACCGCACTCGTCACACCCTCGCTCTCGAACATCGGCGTCTGTTCATGCAATCCCAGTTTCGGAGGAATTGGAAAGGGTACAATGATTCGGGAGGTGGATGCAATGGACGGAGTCGCCGGCCGGATCATCGACAAAGCGGGTATTATGTTTCGGATGCTTAATAGGAAACAGGGCCCTGCGGTTTGGGGTCCCCGCGCGCAGATCGATCGTGATTTGTATAAGAGGTATATGCAGGAGGAGCTTGTTGGGACGGAGGGATTGAGTATTGTGGAGGGGAAGGTCGCAGATATTGTGGTTTCTAAGGAGGGGATGGAGGATACTCCTGGGGCGCAGGGAAAGATTGTCGGGGTGAGGCTGGAATCTGGAGAGGTCATTCCTACTGGGAAGGTTGTTATTACGACTGGGACTTTCCTCGGTGGGGAAATTCATATCGGACTTGATGTTTTCCCATCGGGGCGTATGGGAGAAGCTGCGACTTTTGGATTGAGCAAGTCTCTTCGTGATGCTGGCTTCCAATTAGGACGATTGAAGACGGGGACTCCGCCACGATTGGACTCGAAGACGATTGACTACGCGCCTCTGGAGGTTCAGAAAGCCGATTCGCCGCCGCAGCCGTTCTCCTATCTCAATAATACCGTGCAGGTGGGCGATGAAGGTCAGCTCACATGCTGGCTAACCTATACCAACGAGGCCGCCCACGATATCATCCGCGCCAACCTGGACAAGTCCGTCCACATTCGTGAAACAGTCAGAGGTCCCCGGTACTGTCCATCTTTGGAATCAAAAATCATTCGGTTCCACGATAAGCAGAGGCACTTGATCTGGCTGGAACCGGAAGGGTTCGCACCCAATGATGTTATCTATCCGAACGGTATCTCGATGACTGTTCCCGCAGATGCGCAGTACGAAATGCTGCGGAAGGTTCGTGGCTTGGAGAATGTGACTATGCTCCAACCGGGCTACGGTGTTGAATACGACTACATCGATCCCCGCAATCTCAAACCGACATTGGAAACCAAACTGATCAGCGGTCTCTACCTTGCTGGACAAATCAACGGTACAACCGGCTACGAAGAAGCAGCCGGACAAGGTATCATCGCCGGAACCAACGCCGGTCTAGATGCACAAGGCCGAACACCCTTCACCCTAGGCCGCTCAGACGGCTTCATCGGCATCATGATCGACGACCTCATCACCAAGGGCGTCTCAGAACCCTACCGCATGTTCACAACCCGAAGCGAATACCGCATCTCCAGCCGGGCAGACAACGCAGACCTCCGCCTAACCCGCAAAGCTCGCGACGCCGGCATCGTCACAGAGAAGCGCTGGCGCCACTTCAGCGACACAGAAGGCCAAATCGGCGAACTCATGGATCTCCTCGGGAACACGCGCCTCACATCCAACGCATGGTCCCGCAGGGGCTTCGGTGTGCGCGCTGATACCTCCACCCGCTCCGCACTCGACATCCTCGCCCTACCGAACATCGAAGTCGACTCTCTAATCCCCCATATCACCTCCGCCCCCGGCACAGCATACACCCCTTCTTCCTTCCCCCCAGAAGTCCGCATCCGCGTCGGCATCGAAGGCCGCTACGCACCATACGTCAAACGCCAAGAAACAATGGCAAGAAAATACCAGCACGACGAGAACCTCACCCTCCCCGCTGATCTCGATTACTCCAAGATCCGCGGTATCAGTACGGAGGAGCGCCATGCACTGGAGCGCGTACGGCCTGTTAGCATCGGTATGGCGAGACGCATTGAAGGCGTTACGCCCGCTGGTGCGTTACAGTTGGTGTTTCATTTGAAGAAGTTTGGAGGGAAGAAGGGGCTTGCGGGGAGGGATGCTGAGGGTGTAACGGAGGAGGTTTTGGGGGCTGCTCCTTGATTTGTGAGAGTTCTCGTTTAATGTGTTATGTACAACATGGGATATAAAGCATCTATACATCGGCGCTTGGGATTGATTATAGGATATGGGAGGAGTCTTTGTTTTGCTCATCGGATGATATAAAATTTCTGCTTCGATACCACGTCTACCATTTGGTTATGATATGTCCATCTTATGTATATTAGGAATATCCACTCAACCTGAATGACTTCAAGTATGAAATTAAATTACTTACGAAGAATCAGAACCAACTATGAAGCGATAAATGCAATGCTATGCAACTCATTTACAGGACTTCAAGTACACAAACCATTCACCCCGTATGTACAACTGTACGATCACGACTTTTTCCCTTTCTCCATCGAAAAGTTTCGAAAACATTAAGAAGACCCCTTCTTCGTACTACCTCTAGCAATCCTCTTCTGGACTTCTTCCTTGGTCAAGATCTTAACTGCGTTCTTCGAGAAGACGTAGCTAAGACCGGACCAGATGGTGGTTCCTGCGACGAGGTATCTACACAATTAGCATCGGTGAACAAGAAATCGAAAAATAAAAACAACAGCTGTAAAAAAAAAAAAGAGAATACTCGCTCGCAAAAAAAGCAAAAACATACAACAGCCGGGATTCGCTGGTGGTCACCCACCCAACTACTAACCGGCCGGCGTGTGGCTTAAGTACGGCTGAGCGGACGGGAAGCCCTGTTCTCCACACCCTATGGTCGTATGTACTAACTTTATCCTCAAAGAGAACTATACAGCGTTGATACGCCCCTATACACCCACAACGAAAAGAGCAAAATAGAGGAAAAGAGAATAGGAAACTTACTGAAATCCAGTCATAGCCTCTCTAAGATGCCAAGCATCCAAGAACGTCTCCGGAAGCACAGGCAGAGCGATCGCAGAGCCAACGAGCAAAAGCTGCAATGCGGTGTTGATCTTGGATATCTCGGTCGGTTTCACCTCTGCAGAGGGGAGCGAGAAGTCCCAATACCGGGCCATTGTTTTGGGTGGTGGAAGGGAGATCCAGCGGTAGTAGATCGCGGATATTGCGAGGCCTACGTCGCGGCCGAGGATGATCACGGCGAGCCAGACTGGTTGTCTCAGTTATATATTCTGAAAGTGGGTGGGAGAGGCATACCGGGAATAGATCCGTTTACTGCTAAACAAGCAACACCGATGGTCATTAGTAGCTTGTCGGCCATTGGGTCGATAATGGTCCCCACAACTGTCTGTAGGTTCCATCGACGGGCGATATACCCGTCGACGAGGTCCGTCACGCCGGCATAGGCAAACAAGGACAAGGCAGCAGCGTGGTGGTGCTGGACGAGAAAGTACCCTACAGCGGGGGCAGCAAGCAGACGAGAGAAGGTCAGGATATTCGGAACAGTGTAGATGTTTTCGTGAGTTTTTTGAGGGACTTGTATCCGAGGTTGTTCAGGTCTGGCTCAAATTGTCAGACAGAAATTGTGGATGGCGCTTGGCGAGGCCTGAATATAGATATCCTGGAATAGTATGGGATATAACATACTCTTTCGTAGGTTGTGCCTGATCTTCTGGGCTTTTGTTTGTCGTCCATCTCTTCTGACTGAGTATCTGTATGCAGCTTGCATTTGCGCCACGCACGAAGCAATCTTTCGTCCTCGGAGCCCTGAAACTGGTTAGATTTCTCGTTTAAGGTCAGCGAAGGCAGGCGATCAAACCTCGATAACCCCGACAAAGTAACAATAGACCGGTTGAACATCCCATGCTGCCGAAACCCTCCCCTCAATGCACCCGAACCGAGCGAGCGAGTACTTGGGCCTAGTAACCGCGGACACTGCCGGGACAATAAAAATGCACTTGTTGCCATGATGACTTCCAGTCCAAAGACAGAGTAGGCAAATAGGATAACGAGTCAAATAGATTGTTTTCTTTTCAAGGTATGCTCCCGTGGCGCAGGAATTTGTCGTCCTTAGTTCAATTCAGAGCGTCTCTTCGACCCGAATTAACAAGTAAGCGTGTTAATTCCTATGGCATCACAGGCAGCCTGTCAATGCCGATACTTCGCAGATTGCTTATTGGTCTGGTTTGCGACAAACACCGGTCAAATCAGACTCACGAGCTGGCAATCGGAAAGCAAACACACAGATTCGGTACCTCACTAGCCGTTCAACTGGCCATTCAATTCTATACAGACACGAAAGGATACAAATAATTTGTCGGGAGTTCTGTTTTGAAGCCGAGTTTATACAAAACGAAGCCCGTAACTTCTGGGGAGAAACCGCGGAAAAGCTGTTTGTCCGGTCACATGACTCTATACAGAGTGACGTTTGCCGATTCGGGCAATATTCTTTCTACTCTATGCCATACTTAGACGATAGCAGAGTTATATGATCCTCTGTGACTAGATATTATGTGGCGTTACACAGACAAGATAATATTCACTGCACATGCCCCCCATCATCATCAAGGCTAATCATCAAACAACTAACTGCAAACATTCACCAACAGTCTAACTGGAGGAATACACATCAAAGCGCCTGATTTATACACTGCAAAGTTATACAGGCAGCCTAATTCACTGGGTTTGTCATGCTTTTACTGCCTTTGTCTCTGTCACTGTCAGTCTTCAGAACGCCGTCATGCCCTCTTTCATCTGACCTCCGACTCTCACCTGACAGCATCAACAGCTGCTCCTGCCGCTCTTCGTTCAAATCCAAAGAGAACTTACGTCAACAGCGGATATCGCACAAGCTTACAGCGCCAGCTAAATAGTCGGTTTCTTATCTCTGTTCATGGATCTCGACTACATGAATCGTATCTGGCGTTCGACTCGCATGGATATTGCAAATGGGGCTCTGGAATGACGGCTTCTTAAACTTACAGAAGGCAGACATGGTTTCCGTGGCTAAAAAGCAGGATGAAGCAGAAGGAGAAGCACCCGTGTCTGCTCCAGCACCTCCAGCGCACCCTCCACTTCCCAGCGTTCCTCCAACAAAGCAAGACAGCAATGGCAGCAAACCGTCTCAAGACCCTAACCTCGCCAATCCCCGACTACTGGTCAACAGATCCTGCATTTACGAGCGTCGACTACCTGGCGATGCCTATATTACAGCACACGTCCAACGGCTCCAACACGGTTACTACTCCTGTCCCGCCGTGTCAGACAAAGACTTTGAACACGTCGACTTCCTCGCCGTTAACTTCGTCTTTCATTCACCTAATACGTTAGATCACCGGTTCATGGCAGCTACCATTCGCGCATCCGTCCATGGCAACCGCAAAATGTCCACTCCCGGCCAGATACAACCCCGGTTCATAATGCACGCACCACATCTGATCTACGGAGCCGTATCGCCAGAGACACTACAATGGAATTTTGGACTAGCAGGCAGTTTAGGTGTTTCAGAGTTCCCCGTGAGCGCGAGTATCTCACCATCCGGAGGTGTGCTTGGACGATACCGACGATACGAAATGATGCGAATTCAAGGGTCTGCGCGGACGTTGAAAAGCCCCCATGGACAACAATATGACATTGAATCCGGGGAGATCGTCTGGTCACTGGAGGAGAACTCACTGCAGCGCTCTGGTCTACCGCGGGAATTTACATTCGCCATGCTAATTCACAAACCACGCGCCGAGAGTCGAATCCATTTCTCCTTGGACATCGATCCGGTAATCCAATCGTGGTATGGAAGCTATCCGAAGTGCTGGTTATCACTTTCACGGTACCAACCTGTACAACGACGACCGATTGATTTCAGACGGGATATAGGACAACGGTTTGAGACGGGGTCATCATCGAAAAAGAAACGATTCAACTTCGCAACTCTTGAAAGCTCGTTTGACGAGTATGTTAACATGCCAGGAAGAAGGTTCACGACGGGCGTAAGTCCCAGTTGGCTAGATGGGGATGAAGCAGTCATTGACATCAAAATCAGACCAACCCGGATAACAACCTTTTCCGAGACGATAATGAATTCAATCCAGATGTTGTCAGGGGGTTGTCCGCAGTTGAATCTCGTGGGAAGACCGCCCCGCGCAAACCTGCGAATCACCCGCCAAACGAACCCCCAGCTGCCAATTTGAACGTCCGCGTCCTGTTAGATACAGCGTCGAGTAGCACGACGAAACGACGTAGGAGAATGTCTAACCCAGAGAGAGGCATGCGCAGGACAGAGCCACTTCGGAGAACTAGGTCTGGGGATACTACGTATCAGTATCAGTCGAAGATGTTGGCTTTAGAGCAGGCGGACGATTATTAGGATCGCAGATTTTTCCTTGTTTTTGTTTTGTTTTCGAGTATGATACCACTGAGCATGATGTATTTAGCATTGAAGGGCCTATACATATTGTACAGTCTATACCTGAATGTACCAACAAGTGCGCATGAGATATGTTGCTGCGTCACCATAATACAAGATAGCCATGCTAACTTCAGGTCTTGTTCTATTGAGTCTCGATCAATCCTTTCAGTTAATCTGATCCAGTAATGGATCATTCGTCTACAATAGTTCTTCATCTCGCCTGGGTGAGGGTATGAGAGTGATGGTAGATGGAAGTTGTAGTATTTCATGAAAACTACGGTCTTGATGGATTCTCGGATTACTGCATGGCCACAGAGTATGGGGTATTACTGCTTTGGAGGTGTAGTGTAGTGCATATTAAACAATAATCATATGTTCTATCTATTCTATTAACTAAACGCTAAATGCCATGACGCTAACGACTTTTCTCTATTTGCATCACATAACATCGAATCAAGCACATATACCATGAGATCAAGAACCACTAGACATGAGACATGTCACACATAACCAATAACCAGTGAAAACGAGGCCAGGTCAGGGCAGAGGACAAGAAAAAGGGCAAAGCAAGAAGCTTACTCCTTCTTCCTAAACAACCCCTTGATTTTATCAACACACAATCCCGCAAACCCAAACACATACCCAATTCCAAACGACCAACCACGCACACGAACAGTGTAAATGAAAAAGTAAACAAGGAACCAATTCACAATAACAAACGCAAGGAAGATACCGAAACACCTCCACTTGTCGCCCTCGTGCACGTTCAGATTCTGCATGTACTGACTACCTGACTTGTAGGGGCAGTAGCCGCAGTTCGACGTGGCGTTGTCGTCGAGCAGGTACCCCGCCTGGGCGATATTGTCGACGAAGTTACCCGCGTATTGCCGGCAGGTTTGGCCAGGGGGCGGGCTGAAGCGGGTTGCTTCGGAGGGTTGGCATTGGATGTGGACGGACGGGAAGGTGGTGGAGATAACGCCGCGCATCCACCAGGTTGTCGGGTTGAGGTAGTACATCCAGTACTTCCAGAAGACGGGATAATCGGAGTAGGGGCGGACGATACCGTTGAACAGGTTGACCATGACGAAGAAGAAGGGGAGGACGTTGGAGATGACCGTGAAGGAGGGCGCGAAGGCACAGATCCATTGTCCCCAGCTAGCCTGGAACAGGAAGAAGAGCATCGACATGAGGAAGACGTATCCGGCGGACGAGGAGTCTGTCGGGAAGCCGACGGGGTAGTACCAGAGGAGCCAGTAGATGAGACCAGTGACGATGGCGGCGGGGATTTCGCAGACAACGTTGGCCGTGCAGAAAGCGACCCAGCCGTAGATACGGGAGGGGTATTCACGGGCTTCCCAGAGAGCGCGGTTGATGTAGAATTTGGGGACGACGGAGTTGAGAACGATGGGAGGGATAAGGATGATCAAGAAGATAGAGAACATCCGGTTTTGCATGCTTGCGACCGAGCTGTCCAACATCCAGAAAGTAAATCCGTTGAAGATACCAATGATAACACTGACAAATAGCTTTCCGTAGTAGTACGACGGATCGCGCCAGTATTGTGTGAATAACCGCATGGTAAGCTGCTCAATCTGGGTGATCGTCGGCGCCGCAAACTCATACTGCTCTCCGGCAGTGGGAGCAGGCAACTTGCCTCTCTCCTCCCGGATCTTTGTAATCTCGTTCAAAACCCGGTGGTTCTGTTCCGAGTTCTTCCACTCCTCGTTCCAATCAACCTTGTCAGCCTTGGCGGCCGTCTCGAGGATGAATTCCGCAACGTTCTTGGTGGGCGGGCACACGACGCCACGGTCCGCGAAGTACTTTACGACGTCTGCGCCTTCCTTGCCGACGGGGCCGAAGTAGAAGGTGTTACCGCCGGGGTTGAGGGCGAGAATCATATCGAATTGCTGGATGAGCATGGACGAGGGCTGGTGAATGGTGCAGACGATGGCCTGACCAGCCTGAGAGAGCTTCTTAAGGAATCGAACGATCGAGAACGCGGCTTGACTGTCCAGACCACTGGTGGGTTCATCAAGGAAGAGCAGAAGGCTGGGCTTGGCGGCAAGCTCGACACCAATGGTGACACGCTTCTTCTGTTCGACGCTCAGCGAGCCGATGATGGCATCTTGGATCTCTTCGAGTTCCAGCAGGTCGATGATCCGGTCAACGTAGTCGATCTTCTCCTGGCGCGGGGTCTTGCGGTCCTGGCGGAGGATGGCGGAGAACTCGAACGCTTCGCGGATAGTCGAAGTGTTGTCGTGCAGATCCATCTGTTCACAGAAACCGGTTCCACGCTGGAAGTCGGCACCAAGGGCGTGTCCATCGACCAGCATGTCACCAGTCACCACACCCATCTTCTGACGCTGGGCCAGGGTGTTGAGCAAGGTAGTCTTACCCGCACCGGAAGCACCCATCAGAGCGATCATGAGACCGGGCTTCGCGTATCCGTTGACACCGTTCAGTAGCTTGCGTGTTCCATTGCCGTAGGGCACCGTGTACTCGACGTCGGACCAGGTGAAGATCCGGTCACTGGACGAAAGGCGGTTGAAGGTTTCGTCGTTGCCACTCGAGCGTCCTTCCACCGCAGCACCGTCACCGCCAACCTGTTCTTCATCGTTGCCCTTGGCAGCCTGCTTTTTGAGGTTCTTGGAGCGCTTGGAGCGCTTGAAGACCAGCGCACCACCGCCACCACCGACGAAGGAAAGGAACTCAGCAGCAAGGACAGTGACAAGGAGATACAGGACTGTAAACGCAATAACCACACCAAAGTTGCGCCACAAATGGTTCCGTGTGAATTGGAAGCTGGAATCGAGGTAATTAGCACCCGAGACCCTCGTGCTGTCCAATTCCGAACCAGTCAGGGCGCAGCCTTGGTATGCCGGATCGACACCAGGACCCTGAGGCACCAATTGCGAAGGGTTGCACTCCATGTGTCGATTCGAGAACTCATTTGTCAAGACCGATTCGTAACTGTACGAGAGCGGGTTCACGTAGAACAGCCATCCGAACCAAATGGAACCGCTGATCAGGTCCTGTTTCGGAATCACATAACCGACGTAGAGAATCAGAATGTTCAAAGCAATTCCACTGAACCGGACAGCATCATCGATAGTTGGCGACAAGGCGGCGAACATCCGATACATCGAGGTGATACAGAACGTGGTCGTGTACACGAACAGGAAGTAAATCCAAAACTTGGACACGTCCACATCCAACTGAGTCATGAAATAGACGATAATCGTGAACGGAGCAACCATGCAGAAAATTGCCGGGAAATCGACGACAACACGAGCGATGGACACGGCAGACGGACGGTAAAACGCATAATCCTTGTGACGAGCGACGATGCCTCTTCCGGTAACAGCAGGCATCAGTTCGGTCAACTGCAACCAACCCAGGAACAGAATGGAGAAGAACAGAGCACCGCCACGGGAGAAAGCACCGCTAGTATCGAGGGATTCACCGTAGAACAGAGACGAGACGATAAGACCGTTGGAGACGATAATGAAGTACTTGGTGTAGAGAGACGTCTTGTCACCCAACAGCAACCAGAACTCACGCTGCACACAGGCAAGGACCTGGCGCACCAGAGAAACGGTGTAGGGAGACTTCTTGGGGACCGTTTTACTCTTGGATTGCGCAACCATCTTCTCGAACCGACGAGTATCCTCCTGGTTGGTGTCCTGGAGTTGCTTTTCGTAGCTGCTCACATCGTCCAAGATGCGCTTGTAGGTATCGCTCTTGCGGAAGATATCCTCGAGCTCCTCAGCCGTCTTGGGAGTCGAAGCCTCGCGACCCTCCTGGAATTGACGGGCGTTGGGGTCACAAAGCGAAGTCAAGAAATCGGCCGTAGTGCTGCAACTGTCAGTATCAATTTGCCAGAGGAAGAAAAGGGAGAGAAACATACGATTGATCAGGGCAGTAGAAACCAAGGTTAACAAAGTACTGCTTGGCCTGGTTGGCAGGGCCTTGGTAGAGCATGCGACCCTGGTCAATAACCATAACCTTGTCCATAAGCTCATAGATACTTTCACCAGCCTGGTAAAGGGTGAGGAATGTAGTCCGCTTGCTGACATCTGTCATGATGCGCAGAGACTTGGCGTAATCCAAGGCAGTGCTGGCATCAAGACCACGAGTGGAGTTGTCCCAGCAGACAACAGACGACTTAGTAGCCAGCGTCTCAGCAATACTGACACGCTTGCGCTCACCACCAGAAACACCGCGAACATACTCGTTACCGACAACGGTGTTCCTAGTATGGGTGATACCGAACATCTTGAGCAGGGCGTCGATGATGACGGGAATACTGGCGCGGTCGTGCTTCTTGGTCTTGTTGATCAAAGAGAACTTGAGGGTCTGCCAGACGGTGAGGTTGGGGAAATGCTGGTCATCTTCGGGGTTGTAGTTGACCTCGCCGCGGAAGCGCTGGTGCTGTTCCTCAGCGGAGAGACCACCGTAGCTGACCTCACCCTCGACGCCCGCGTAGGCCCCGCGGTCGTTGGAAATGGCCTTGAGGAAGGTCGTGCAACCGGCACCGGGGCGTCCGAGAACGAGCATCATCTCACCCTCACGGATGGTACCGGTGAAGTCGTGCAGCAGATCCCTAACCGGCGGAGATCTACCAAAGCGCAAAGGAGGAATAAAGTTGCAGAGGAGGTTGTAGAGATCCGGTCCAAAAGTACCAACCACGGCGTGAGGCAGCGTGCGCACAAACGACGCGCCGGTCAGAACACCCTTGACGGTCAAGTTCTTGAACACCACACCAACCTTCTTGGCGGGCTCGCCAGCAGTCGTGCGCCGTTCCAGATGGCCACCCATCAAGAACTCGTTGAGGTCGAAACCACCATATTCCTCCTCGTCTTCTTCTTCGCCCTTCTCCTCATCCTTGGGGTGACTGGCGCGGCGCGAGGTCAGGGAGCGCAAACGACCGCCGTTATTGGGATGCGATTGCGACTGACTGAGGCGCGTCAACTCGCGGCGCATTTCCTCAAAGTCCTCCATGGCGCCGCGGCGCGAGACGGGCTCGCCCTGGTCCCGCTCTCCCCAGCGGCCATCGAGACTGGGCTGGGAGGAATTGGCGGTGGAAGAAGTGTCATCTGTCTCTGCGCCCGGAGGGTGAAGCTGGCTGGTGGTAGTGGCGTTGGTGGGATTGGCGTGGTCTGGGCCAGCGGAGGCCCCCAACGCCGGCCGTGGGTTGTCGGCCATGGTGATGGTGATGGTGATTAAAATAAACAATAGACAATTACTATGTATATGTGTATAGAGAAGAAAATGAAATGTTCAAATAGAAAGAGAAAAAGGTATTAAAAAGTAGAACAGTTGAATAGATATAGGAAGATCTATGAACGACCAATCAGACAGCCACAGTAACAGTAGCAGAGCCACCGAATCCCAACGGGGAAGACAATTGACAGTTAGCGAGAGGGACACCAGAAGAAAAAGAGAAGGAAAAGAGAAGGAAAGACAGAAGGGAGAAAGCTTCATATATACGAGTTCAGCATTGCATCATTTAGTCTAAACTCCGAAGAAAAAGAAGAGAAAAAAAGCTGGATTTGTAAGGTGTGCACCAGGGTATGCACATTATACCTGGGAGTTATGAAGTTGCGCCAAACCCGAGTGGATTCGGTGCTCAGCATTTGCCGTAAGAATTTTCTGGCAAACCAATGCCTGAATCATTCATTAGTATTGTTGGAAGGGATTTATCAGCATAGCTGAGTCCGTCCGTGAGCGGCGGTTTACCCGGTGAGCGGGTCCCGAAGATATACCTACTTCCCAATTGGCCGAGAGCCATGGCTCACGATGAGTCGAGGTGAGTCTCCATAGGCGGAGATTACGGCGTTTACAGTCAGTCATCCTATATGTCCGGTTTGGGTCGCCACCGCATCACGGTACTATTGACTATATTCTTGACTATGTCCGGAGATTTACAGGGTACAAAGGACCCATCAACTCTAGTCGTCTATCCCGGACCGTGATAACACACCGCCATGTGCGCACATACATCTTGCAGGCATCTGCACCCCCGGGCATACTATGCAGCATACCGCCATCGCTTATCACGCAGTCAATAATACAAACCAATCATTGAGACCACGTCGTCGTAATCGCTGAGTGATATTGCCGGCACAACGACCGGTGCATAGACATTGATTTATGCACCGTGAGTCCGTACCGAATTCATCTGAGTTTGATATCCGATCCAAAATATAAATTTGTACCCAGTATTTTATGTACGCCCGTTCAACTCGCATAACCGTTGGCCAATCAGCTGTGTGTTCTTTCAGGGTCCAGACATCGCGTCCTACGTGGTCATTTATCAATCTCACTACATACAGATCTATGGATCCTATAAAATTCCACCACGCTTACAGTCAAACTGTCAGACAAATGCTATTCTAAGATTCATAATATCAATCAAAGGTACCGATAACGACATTGATATCCGAGACCAGGCGCAAAGCCGTTTGAAGGCATTCGCTTAATCCGGCTATCTAACCAAAAATGGAGATGCTGAGGAATATGTATTCCGGTATTATGGAAACTCCATCATCGGTCACTTATCTCCACTACGGGGTAATATCTCCCCGTACTATGGACAGCTTTATACTAGTAATGCCGGAATCCTCTGGTGATCGCACAGTCAGCCTCTCGGAATCGCAATCGAATTAATCAGTACTCCGGAGTATACTCCGTGCACAGCACGATGTACACTAGCATAACAACAATTCCTCGCATGACTTGTTGGCGACCTTGTTGGCATCTCACTGATTGTGCATTACATATTAATTGCCCATTATTAATATCGTGGAACCTGCTAGTTAGTAGTTACCCTAATCTGACGTCGATTATCAATCCGGAATTATGGTCTCTATACTCAAAACTCCGCCCCCATGTTTACTTTATCTACGGAGTTCCGAGCAGAACAAAGAATCTCATCTTATCCCGGGTGACTATTTTCAATAAATCCAGCCATCACGATCATGACAACCAATGATCAACATGGCGTTCTTGATCACCAGTTTCATTGTCCACGGAATCCCCGAAACAGTCACTGATGACTGCCGGGTCGCCAGGTCAGCATATCATTCTGACAGTACTTGTGTCTTATGCCCGGTTTCATCTTCACCGAGGATTTGGACCCAACAGGCACAGTCAGATACGATTCAGTTATCAGGATGCTATCCCACTAATCGATCCATCGCGAGTCATTGATCGACTGTCAGCGCTCGCTCCGTAATCACGGTTGCTTCCCTTCCGTTTTATTGACGACACAGACCGGGGCCACAATCCTTCACGGATACATGTATCGTCTTTTTCTCTTGCCAAAGAACGCTATACCATAACCTTGGTCCCAGCAGACATCCGCTCTCAACATTGATCTCAGCGCAGTATACTTGGACACAAGCTCCATTTCGGTCAGTATGCCCATCTTAATCTACTCCGTAGGTGCCGCGACGTAGGTCTCCGTATTCCACCTACATAAAAGTGAGCATGAAATAGGACCAACTGTGACCGACTGTGCTTTTTCTTTTTCTTTTCTTTTCTTTTTTTTTTTCTTTTTCTCCCCGTATCCGTATTCATGCCGGTCAACTTCGACTCCGCTCCATCTAGGTCTATGGTAAGCTCACTTCCCTTGAAGACCTCGTGATAAGCAGATCTTGAAGACCAGGTCGCAGTACTAGCCGCGGTGCTGTACTAGCTATGATCTCTGCAAGGCGTACACGCGGATGCTCTACCAGTGCACTACTATACTATATATGTGCCCTACGAACCTCAATTCAAACCACCTTGGCCCTCCTTTCCCAATGCAAACCAAACTTAGTCAGTCTAGAAGCCTGTTTTTCTGTAAACTGCTACGTTCACGACAGTTCAGGCGATCTGGTGGCATAGGCACCAGGTTGCCGAGGCACTCTTTGTATCACTTATGAGTCTACCCCTGGGGTATTAGAATGTGTCATACGACCATTCAGGCCTCCGCTGAGCGTATCTCACACATTCGTCGCAAGTCACATATTGTCGTTCGACTCGTTCTTCACCTTTAATCCCCATCGAAGGTGCAATGGAGAAAAGAGGTGAAGGATTATGTCACAGACTCAAGCCAGTAGTAGTCTCCCGACGAGAATCTCGAAAGTGGGGAGAGAAGACCTGCGAAGCATCGCTCTGCCGTCTCATCACTCTGATTGGTTATTCCTGTCAACAGGCTTTCTCATCGGTTATACCATCGCTCTGTGACTTTGCTCTACATATATTCAGTGGCTTACCGACCACCGTTCCACCACTATCCGCTAGTAATCTTACTGTTTGTTGAAAGTCCCATTTTCAAAGACTCATAAACATTTAGCCCCCACCACAGCCACCCCTCGGGAATGACTCAAAGCGAGTATCTGTAGTAGTTGCTCCTCTATCTCGATATACAATATGGAGTATGATCCTCCCTCAGCTGAAAGCTCGGTCTCGGGTATAAAGCGGGCAAGTCTGCACTTTTTGCAATAGGAATTACTGTTTCTATCACACCCTTTTCTTCCAACCAGACCACCCCCGAGTCCATAACATACCCTGCAAAATGATAACATACGTTAGTCTCCCTTGAGTTCCTGTTGAAGCAACATACTAACCAGTTTTACCTCCAGGAAGTCCAGTTATTTGGAGAGTCATTGGAAAATCACCTAGACAATGACAATGTCGAACAATCGTACTGTTTCCCAAGCACGCAAAACCCCGGTATACCTATCTAACAATCAAGCAGGATAGAGAACCTACTTGGTGAGATATTATTAGGTGCTTCGAATGTTTCTGTGCTTGGTGTTGAAGGTGACCCTCCTGTATATAGCATTCTGTATGACATTGCCATCCTTAAACCATCTCTTTATGTAGAATGCTAATGGACACCAGGTTTGACTGCCAGGATTACTCACTGGTGGACAGAGGTCAGATAAAAATTGCAGAGGGAGTCATCATGGAAACTCACTTGGAGGATGATTAATTCGCTTCAGTTATGAGCATTACGGCCATTGCTATGATTTATATCTAACCTAGGAAGTCTTCCAATGATGGCGGAGTCCAATTGGTATTGCAAAGCATCGCTCTATCATCTCATCACTCTGATTGATCGGTTAAATACCATCGCTCTGTAGCTTTACTCTACATATATTCCAGAGTACTCGGTGGTTTACTATGGACATCTTGAAATTCCCGTTGGCAAGGACTGGATGATAACATGACCATACTTACTGCAGAGTATATAGCACGGATACACAGCCAGCCACCAACATAACCCCACCACAGCCAGGCCCAACACGTCGATGTAGAAATGAAGAGAATGACGCAAAGAGCCAGCCTCAGTTCAGCTCAGCTCCCCAGCTCATGGTCGTCGTGCATACATCGTACATACGCGCTAGGAAGTAGTTTTCCCCTCCATCTGGCCTATGATACTCTATTGGGTCTAGATCTATCACAATATGCGGGCATATCTGCATGCTACGTGTCAAGGCTTTCAGCTGAAAGCTCGATCTCGTATAAACTGGGCAAGGTTGCTGCACATATTGTGCAAGTTTCTATCACACCCTAACCAGACCAGACCAAACCCCTAAATCTATAACAACAACTGCAGAATGCCGAAATACGTTATGTCTCTTAACTCTTTTGAGTCTCTGAAGAATCAGTCTAAAGCAACATACCAACCTACCCATCTTACCTCTACAGGGTATCAGTATCCGCTTCAAAAGCACGGAAGACGCCGAGAAATGCAATGTGAATTTCGAAGAAGCGTACTATATTGTCCCCATCCCTCTACAGATTTCCCTGGTACATACATAATTTTGTAATCGGCTAACAATGCAGCAGTGCACGGGACAAGTTTGGTACGCTAGGCGCTTCCAACTTTGACATGTTCCTTTCTCCTCCAAACTATCCTGTGTATTACTTGAGTATTGTGACGGCCTGATCATGTGCATACCTCTCACGTGCCTGGAAGCGGGGTTATTAGCCACGTCAACGCTCGAGGCCACATTCTTCCTTTTCCTTCTTTCCTCATGTTGATTATTCTCGTCGATAGCTACCTAGGTAGAGCACATGAGTTGATGTTCCATTATCCTGGCTGAGCTCCGTGACAAGTATGATTATGACTGTTGAAATGCTAGAAAAAAAAAAAAAAAAAAAAAAAAAAAAAAAAAAAAAGAAAAAAAAAGAAAAAAAAAAGAAAAAGAAAAAACCGCCAGTTTCGAGCCCCGAGTACCGTGTAGCTGGAGGAACTGTAGGAAGTAGAACTCGACGATGCAGTCGACGTGGGGGTTCATTCGATGGATGAGATTTGATTTCGTGTATGAGCATTATAGGTGTTGGAGATGCACTCTAGATTCTTGTCAAGATACTGCCGAGAATATATACATGG